GGTGACTCGAAGGTAGAACATTCACAGCTTGGCAGGCAAGTCCAACATTCTCCCCAGGAAGCCGGGCTCAACATGACGAAGAATATCGTCCAAATCGATTCAGTTCCTCTGCTCCTACGGTTTGCAGCATACTTTGGCATATCAATGGGAGAGAAACACCGAAGGAAGCACAGAGAGCAGGAGAGAGGTCCAGCTGGAGTAGGATTCGGGGGATTGATATCACCTTCAGTGGCCCCTGAGACCAGGCTGCACCTAAAAGTGGATGTTACTGAGCAGCAACTGCATTTGACTGACATATCTCATGACGGTTGTGATGTCGGAGGTATGAGTTGAATCACGTCGGTGTCAGTCCTGTGTCGCCACAGGCTCTTACTTTGACGGGGAGAGAGTACTGTTCGTCATCTTTAACACCCAGCCATGCAATTCTCCAACTTTCATAGGGCCAATTTGATACTAGGTCCTCGACATTATTCGGAATCATGCCAAACTGAATGATCACATCTGGTTTCTTTCGATCACTTCTAATATCGTGATCGTCCACGCAAGGCGTTGCTGAGGAGGAGGAGAAGTCAGATCTGAACCTTAGTTTTGAATTTCAGGACTATTGCGATTGTTACGGTTTCGATCCATCTCCCCCGCTGGTGCATGCTGAGATAACTTTTTAGGAGTAAGTATTGCAAATGAGGGTTTGAAGTCTGGCCCCGTGTGAATGAAAATGTTTGTGACAAAAGTTGGCTGCAGTATCTTGCGCGATCTAACCACCGATTTACAAAGCACGGATACTGTTCTTTCTTCTCGATATCCTCAACCTTTAACATGTCTCCATATTCTCCCAACCTTTGAACAACCTCGATCGAAGCCCGAACAGTGATAATCATACGCATCTCTCTCTCTATCTCTCTCTCTCTCTCACATAATTCTCCGGGAGCGAATAGTATGTAAGATAGTGACACACTGCATTTGGTGCTAGAATCAATCTGGTAGCTCGTTTCGGGGTCACTGGGCTCAAGCAATTGAGGTGACAGAAACTGACATCGTCCATACATATGTTGGACGTATTCACAACCTCTCGCAATAAAATTTGGTGTCGCCTCAGATACAGATCCGATATTTGGTACCACCGGGTGAAGCTATTATAGAAGAAAGGACTGCAACAATAGCCCCGAAGATTTCTCATCTACTTGCCAGTGCATGCGCATGCGCAGTTTCAGTTTTATCACCCCAGATCTTCTAGTGAATAGCCAGGTTACGGACGACAGCTCCAAGTCCAACTTGACTTGCTAAGACTGGCTGGTTGGAGCACATCACCATCATCGTGATCGCGCACCTAGTACCAATCACCGTTGCTCCAACAAATTAACATCTGAAAAAATCCTCGACCCCCGAATTCTAGATCATGATCATCGAGAGGGGACAGGGGCTATGCCTTGTTCCAGAACGAAGTCGTAAAATGTCAAATATAGTGTCCTCAGAAGCAGAGTTGATTTCTTGCTCCTTTTTGGATATCCAAGAGTGGAGAACTCGACGTCTTATGAGGTCTCATATGAGACCAGGGAGCACATCGGATTCCATAGGAAAGTAGGTACAGGCATTCAGTACAGTCGCGCTAGTATTCTGAATGATAGACGTCGTGATTCTACAGGCTCCAGCATGACGCCACGCTGACCTTCTCAGGATAAGAAACTGGTAGTTGCGAGGGCACAAAGCATACGATCACAGTGTTGACCAGAACCTGAGCATGAGGCTCACTCCAATCCAACAGTTACAGCGCTTTTCAACAGCCTCAGGAGAATGGAGAAAACGACTCCAAAAGAAAAGTTAGGAGATGCCGGTCACTGCTGAAGTAGTCGGTCTAAAAGGGAATGGTGTGAGTTCGTTCTGTATCCATGTTAATAGATTTTCATTCGCAAAAGCAAAGCCTTCTATTATAGGAGAGTGAGCTCATTTCAATGCACAACATGACAAAAGTATAGAATGTCAGCGTGCTTGTAGTAGCCACACATATTATGGATGCTATTCGGTGATACAGTTCCATCCAGACGCAGCATACAGTGGCCGGCTAGCTATGGAGGTGTACTAGAGAGAGACCGCGGAGAATTACTTCCCAGCTTGAATATCATATTGTTTACTTCCACTAATCGGCTATTATGGTGTAATCACGAGTCACCACGCTTGCAGTCGCTAGATCCAAACTCCTAAAGGTCACAATGATATCATGTTTAGATCATCACCGGCTCTTCTTTGTAGACACCGATAGTGCATGAACTGCAACTTGCTGGATAGAATTGTAGTCATAGCTTTAAGCTCAAGTAAAAGGCTCGCAGCAATCAACCCGTCGCTTTTGGTACGACGTCGAAAGCAGCTCCATTTTAATGTCCGAATTCATCGATATGAACTTACCTGGTACAAGCTTGGGCAGTAGCTCCATGATTGACAGTGAAGAGCAGATTAGTGGACTCCTGCTTAGCTAGAAGCAAAGATTTTAATATGCTAGGGTGTACTTGTACTGGTCATGACGATCATGATCATGAAGGTCGAGCGGGCACCCTGGTGAGAGTTAGACCGGCATTATCCAGCTGAGATCAGCAGAGGCCAAAGTCGATTCCGAGCATCAGAAGCCAGAGTGCCCGGGATAGGACGTACAGGTCACAGGGGAGCAAAAGGAGGACGCGAAGGTCAACGCTTCCATGAAATATAAGAAGAAACTTTCTGATTCACGTTTGGTCCTTGCTTACAGACGTGGCTTTTCATGGACCCAGTCCAAGGACACAAGGGGCAATTCTGGCTGCATCAGGCAGAATATCAAGTTTCGATAAGATCAATTCCGCTTGTATTTGTGGATAGGAGCGGAATCAAGTAACGAAGGAATGACTAGCCAGTCGACGCATTGTTGACCATGTGGATCCACAACCTGTTGATTCAAGCAGTCCAACTTAAGGCTAACGCCTGAGACTTGTTAAGCATCAATTAGCTTACGAGTTTCGTTCTTGTAGCGCTTCCATGATGATGCAGCGGGCTTACTTTCGTCAGGATGTTCAATGAGCCGGTCGGATGTGATCGCAGATTCAGGCGGAAATTTCCAGCCCTAAGAGTGTCACGTCAGCTCAATGCAACAGATTGACAAAATCGAGCTTGGGAGTTCACCCACATGTGCATCCTAGTCTGAAAGTTGGTTTCAAGGTGCCATATGAGTTCAAGAAGTAGAATTTCGATCGACTGGCGCAGCTGATTAGTTGATAATACCGAACTTGGAGAGAGTTGGGGAAGCTCGATCGAGCTTCGACAACGAGCGTTCATGTGATCTCTCTTCCTGATGAAGAAACGTGCGAAGAATGGCTGTCGTATATTTTCCTTCTCGTTCCTCTGGAGTGAGTTGTGGCAGTCACGAATCTCTTAGGAATGGTGTCCTAGCTTGAATTCGTCCTATTCCCAATCGAGGGACGATTCTATGATACCAGTCATAATACGCCCGAAGCTCCGTGACACTCGAGATGTCAGTGAAATCGAACTGGCTCGCAGATCGATCTACCTGACCGACGACAGGCTCATGTAGCTCCAACAAGAATATTAATAGATCGTCATCAATGCATCAGAAAATGTCGAGGTGCAAAAGGGTTCGAGATTCATAACCAAGGGGCAAGAAGTCAGACTGCTGCAGACTCTCAGAGTTTGTGTGTGTGTATGTATGTGACTCTCGGAGGGTGGCGGCGGGCCATGGTCAAGACTCCAGCTTTTCAGCTTCTCTCAGTTCTAGACAGAAGGCAAGCAGGGCTTGGGATGCGTACCTACTATTTGCGGGACTGGACATGTCACCTGTACCGCAGAAGCGTAAAGCGATCCACTCACAGTTATGATCGAGTGGACCACCAAGCGAGCAGATTGAAAAAGCAGCCGGGCAGAAAAGTGGACAATCAGAAGGTGTGCTGGGCTGAGACTATGATAATACTTTCTTGTGTCGTACCAAGGGTTGCTCCTTCAGCCCTCCTCCTTCGGACGATGACAAAAAAAATGTACTTGAAATATTTATCCATGATAATATTGGAACCCATAGCACAGAAAGCAATAAGGGAATGCTTGTTATCAAAATACAAAACCCTTCTTCAATTTTTGAGTTAAAGTCCGCTGGTGAGTCTGATCGACGAAGAAATGATTCTCAGTGAGCGTTTGGAACATGACTATAACTCCACACCTTCTATCTGATGAAATTTTGCCAATGAGGGCTTGAGGCTTATGCATGTAACACATCTGGACATGTTGTTGGCAGCAACATGATGGCTGTAGCTGTGGCTAGTACTGCTACGCAGTGCACGTGCCGAGTCAGCCGTTTCTAAGACATCACGAGGAAACCTCAAACCTCACACATAAAAATGTTTGATTGTTAGATGAGACGCAGCGTCATGTTTCTTCGATGCTCATGGACGGTTCACCGAACCACTAACTTGAGTTAGTGGAGAGAGAGAGAGAGAGAGCCAGTGCGGTTACAATGGAGCTTGGGGTTTTAAGGCCCGGGATTCTCATGATAATAGAATTGGCCAGTTGTAGGGTCTTTCTGCCATTGCAACACCTCACGCATTATGAGGAGTTTAACACCCTGCCGTATAATAGAATTTCACGTCGGCGTAAGAGGATATGAAAGGATTTATGCCAGCGGGATGAAAGCTGCAGTAGGTCCCTAGGGTCGGGCGACGCTGTAGCGAAAGTAAAGAAAGCACACGTAGCGACATTATCGATGGGCCTGCCATTAGGGAAAATCACCGATCCGACGTTCGAACCGATCGAATCCTTAAAGTAGTATTGGAATGAGGAGGTAGGGGTTGTAAACGATCTACATACCACATAGTGAGAAAAACGTGAAATATCTGCCCATCTGTTTTCATAAATTCATGCGCATGCATGCCTGCCTGCATGCATTCTCCCTCACTCACCAACTGGAGTTCCGGACGATTTGCGACTGTCAGTATCTGTAGGAGTAAACTTCAACATTTCTTTTTAATCGAGGTTCTTTTAAAGTGCAGGCGGAGGTTCGCGGCCAGACCTCTCACTTTCAGATGCCTTTTTACCTACACGTGTATAAAGGTTCAAGTATCGCCTTAGAGATAAGCTGCTGCTGTGGCGATCGGTAAAGCTCAGCTCACGGTAGACTTCTCAGGACTTGAAGAACAAGAAGAAGAACCAGTCACAGGTCCTGAAGATGATGTCACTCTCGAGCTTGGTCGGTTTTATGGGCGTCTTCAAAAGCGAACGGACCCACGAATGGATTGCTCGTTGGTTAGCTCAGGTAGTGACAGCCTGCAGCGACCTACCGTGTTATCTTCGACCAGCTCCAGCCTGACATTTGACTTGAAGATCAGACACTCCCTATAAATGGTGTGCCGTCTCTCACGAGCTAAAGTCCTCCGCTGTCTCTGCACACGTTGTCGATCTTCGGTGTGTCTTGTATGCATGCCCACAACTGAAGGGACCTAGGTAGGAGATTTTGAGGAGCTCGGCATGATTCTTGATTTGTTCTGATCCAGAAGCAAACGCACTTTTGTTCTTGGTTGCATAATCGAGGTGAAGTATAACTCATTTTCCGCTAAGTCTTGTTTTCAGACGGTCAAGTGTGTATGCATCAGCGTAGATATCCATTTTATGCTTCGCATAAAATGGATGTGTTTGTGCTATTCGGGCGGGATTCTGTCTGAACATAGATTCTGTCCATACTTCGAACGGGCGTAGATGTGAGAATTACAGACCCCGCAAGTTTTGATTTGCATGAAATTCTGACCCGAAGTGTTCGTTCGGATCGTTGCAGCAGAGGGGCCAGCACTGAACAGAAAGCCGAGCTGAAGAACCAGTGCAGCTCTGCTGCTCGTGGAGCACGAGGAGGTTTAGAGATCGGACTACAGACGTCATGATCATGAAGATTCTTCACGGTCTTCTCATTGCACAGTGCATGATCTCCGCTGCTGTCTTCGGCCAGCAGGTAAGAAGATTCCCCTACCATGCATCGAAATATCAACATACAGAACTGCCAATAAGCAAAATGGTACATAAAGCAGAGCAGAAGCAGGTTCAGGAACTCTCATGTGCACCAGAGCTTGACATTTCTGTTGCACACGGGTAATAATTCTGACAAAAAGAACCGGCCTCTCACAATGAGGCTGTGATTGCAAGAGCTGCATGCATTCCACGACGCGAGCCTAGTTCACTGTCGTTCCGTCGATGTGAATGGCAAGAGATTGAATCTACACTTCATAATCGGATGATTTAGTTTCAGGATCGAATTCCACTTTCAGGTGACTGACGATGGAGGTTGACATTTACGCACGCAGCCGTGGGCTTCGCCCAAATCAAGAAGGCTGTTACAGCAGACATTGGCGGATTGTCTTGCGCCGTCGGGAGCAAGGTTGGTGTACCCGACCGACTCAGACTACGAGTCAGCGAGGGGCCATGTCTACAACCACCGCTATCTGTACAATCCAGCAGTGTTCGTGTTCTCGACCACAACCGCTCATGTCCAAAGCGCCGTGCAGTGCGCAGTCCAGCTCAATCTCGGCATCGCTCCTCGATCAGGAGGCCATTCCTACGAAGATTACTCTCTCGGTGAGAGTCTGCATCCACCCCCGCATTTTGCAATTTACTTGTCGTCCTTTCAGTCATCACTCCTCAAGGCTACCTAGCAAGCAAGCAAGCTCAGCCAACTCGAAGCTGCTTCACGTACGTACTCGACAAGACAGATGAAAATCGATCGAGCCTGCTAAGCTAACAGCACTTCTTCACTCATGCCTCGGTTCTCGAAATCTTCGATCATGCCCATGAGCGAACTCGGAGAGTCTTGGGTGAAGTTTGAAGACATCTGGGCAATCCAAAGACCTCGTCCTTCGTGACTGTTGGTCGCGAGTGAACCTCCGGCCCGCCGGCGGACGTCTGATAGGATTCTAAAAAATCTCGAAGTCCACGCGCGCTCTAGAATTTGGCAGTCGAGCTGGGTCCTGTCGGAAGCCCGGAAAAAGGCAACCCACCATGGAATCGTCCTCAGAAACGAAGCAGTGAAGGTTCTAGTGAAGGCCCTTCGCTGCGAGGAGACTGACCACCGCCGCCGTCGTCCTCGGTCGGTGTCAAAGCTGTGCTCAGATCAGAGTTGTCGTAGACTTGCAGAAATCAGCCGATTCATGTCGTGCTTGCCCGTGCGCTTGACACCAATCGTACATGGAACTGCAAACGCAGGTGGAAGAGACGGAATCATAGTGGTGGATCTGGAAGGCCTGAACGCAGTGACTCTCGATTCGGGCTCAGGGATCGCGTCAGTGGGCGGAGGGACGAGGTTAGGCCCCTTGAAGCTGGCTCTGTGGGAGCAAGGCCAAGTGACGATTCCTTCGGGCACTTGTCCAAGCGTCGGAGTCGGAGGGCATTCCCTCGGCGGCGGCTGGGGCTTCGTCGCGAGAAAATGGGGGCTCATGGCCGACAGCTTGGTCGCAGCCGAGCTCGTGACGGCCAACGGCACGCTCGTGACCGCAAGCGCCAGCCAGAACTCGGACCTGCTCTTCGCTCTCAAAGGAGCTGGCGCCAATTCCTTCGGTAACCACCGCCGTCCCTGTCCACCGGCTTAGGAGGTTTGCAAGAGCGCCGGTCGCCCGGTCGGTCGCCACTCACTCGGTTCTGGCCGGCGCTGCGCAGGCATCGTGACCACGTTCTTCTTCACGACGTACGCAGTGTCGGACGCGGTCACGTACTTCAACTACGACTACGGCGGCAACAGCAGCGCGGACGACCAGGCGCTCACGCTGAGGGCGTTCCAGGCGTGGGGAGCGGGCGCGACGAAGGACGTGTCGGCGTCGCTCTTCCAGGCGCCGAGTGGAGGGAACTTCTTCTGGGGCGTGTTCCTGGGTCGCAAGGCCGACCTCAAGGGCGCGCTGCAGACCTTCTTCGACGGCGCGCCCGTGCCCTCCTACGGCACGACGACGGAGCTCGAGGTCGACTACATCCGGTCGGTGGTCATCAACGCCGGATTCGCTGAGTCCGACCCGATCTCGGTTCTGAGTCTGCAGGACTTCACGTACGAGTCGCGCTTCTTCAAGTCCAAGTCCATCTTCGTCAAGGGCGCGGGCTGGCCCGAGGCCGGCATCCAGGCCTACGTCAGTGCTCTGCGCCAGGGCCCGTCCTTCGGGCAACAGTCGGGAGCGTACATGATCATGGACCTTTTCGGAGGCGGCGACTCCGTTATCAACTCCGTCCCCTCGGCCAGCACGGGCTTTGTTCACCGCGACTCGTTGTACAGCATTCAGATGTTCACGTACTGGGACGGGCCGCAGGACGATACCGCCGACATCAGCTGGATCCAGGGCATCTGGAACACCGTCCGGCCGTATTCTTCCGCCGAGGCCTACCAGAATTACATCGACAGTGACATGCCGGTGTCCGCTTACTACGCTTCGAACCTCGACGCGCTCAAGGCTGTCAAACGGCGATGGGACCCATCCAACATTTTCAACTTTCCCAAAAGCATCCCTCTGAATTAGTACCTCAGTTCTACTGCACGTAGCGACTTTCCGCAGTGCGTTTGCGTTCGAGTCTAGCACGCTAGCGATCAGATCTCAACTTCAGTAGGCTGAATGTATAGAGAGCTGGTGCAGAATGACTGCCCAGCTAGAGCCCGCAGGATGGAATCCGCCGAATCTAGCTGTCGAGTGATTCTTATTCGAGCGGTGAAAATTATTAGAATGTCTGAGTTCCCAGTGGCTCGGAGTGCAACAGCAACTCCGAGGAGCAATTGAGGTTCGTACCGTGTATTGACACATTTGGAGATACTGTAGTGAATCTACAGTCTTACTACTAAGACTGAAGTCCCAATATACATACAGTCACAGTTAGTGAACTCGTTAGGCCTCATTCGGAACCTCAATGGTCCGTTTCTTAGTGATCGAAACTGCACAACGCGTATATGGCAACTTATTCGTTTTAGTCCTTCAAGCATGCATGGATGTGACGAGAGAATCTTTGAGGTATGTTCCCAATTTCAGAACCAAGGACAAATATACTGAATATAACATAGAAGACAGCCTACATGTACAGCCATCCGGCAACTACATCTGAATAAAATTATATCCTCCTGTGAAGGTTTTTGCTCGATGGAGGTGCTTGAAATGTTTCAAGGAGCACCGAATTATTGAAACAATTGCCCACTAAGACTGAGTTTGTCCACATGTACATGATTCGTCTGTATTCGTCACCCATATTGTGAACTGTAAAGAATAATTAATAAAGAAGCAAGAAGGATTGTGCAGGGCGAATGTCCGATTAACGTGCGTACTCCGAATAGAACCTTAGAAAACCCGAAATGCACATGTAGACCGTGACTTCCATAATAGAATATGGATTTCCAGTTTGAAGATAAGTCAAGAGAACACCAAGAGCGAGTGTGTCCGCTTCTGATCTATCATTTGCAAGCTTTACATTGGGCCGATCTCCATCTTGATAGAACATGAACACATGAAGATCAGCCAGGAGATATCACCTCCAAGAGCTTCTGAACCTCAGTTACCATTTTGTTCAACCTCGCCAGTACGTACTCGACGTCTCCGTCACTGGTATTAATGGAGCTTTGCAAGGAAACTTTCCACCTGCTCATGCTGCTGTCACTATCTACAACCTCGTTTTGATCCTCTGGATCCAAGACGGCTGACACTTGAGTAAAGAGAAATCCTATATCACCCTTCTTGTAGTATTCAAATACTTTACGAAGAGCTTTCAAGGGATGATATTGCTTGCCTCCTGGTGAGATCAAAGGGTCTTCAATATTTGCTCTATTATTCCAAGCTTGAAAGACTCCCTTTCTGATCACCTCGGGCAGAGGATTTTCTCTCTGCCTACTCTGGATCCTCACTTGAAAATCAACTCCTTGCTCTGCGCTCACAAAAGTCACAAAGGCGAGTCGTCTGGACTTCTTGTTGATCTTCGCTACTATCTTGTCTCTCTGCTGTAGCCTGATGTTGAAGCTTGGTTTATCTGAAGTATCCAAGTCCAGTATACAAGCGCATATAGTGTCCTCTGGTGCTCCTACCTGTTCATAACCTGAAACCTTGAGAAATTCTCTGGCCTTGTCCAGAATGTTCACATGGCAGTAACTACTGAAGCAAGGTTGAAGTGTATGTTCCGAAGTCATTCTTGTCATCTCTTCCAGCGACACATTCCAGGTACCGGGTGCCTTTAAATCTCTCCCATAATATAACATCTTTCCCAGCTGAACTCTCAGCTTTATCAGAGGCTGCCTTTCTTTCGGGGACGCGTCAATATCTTCATGAAAAAACTTGTGCAAACAAGTCGAGAGCGGCGCAGTATACAAACTCTGGTGCCAATTTCCAAACAGGTAGTTCGAATGGTCTCTATCATAGGACCTGCGCCTTTTTCTCCTCAGTATCTTAGCGTTATCCGTCAGCTGGTCAGAAGAAGTCCTAGGACCAACACAAAAATATTCCTTTCGTTGTATCTCCTGCGGAGCGTGCTGAACAACAAACGACTTCAGGTGTTTGGGCAAATAGTGTTGGTATTCCTCCACTGTCGCAAGCTTCAGGCTTATGGCATCTGCATCGTTGTTATTAGGGGGTAAACATGTAACTGAAATTTCCGGGTAATTGAATTTTGTGGCACTGCGAAGAACGATTCGACGAATCTGTTTCATTACTCGAGTTATAGCGTTTCTAGAAGAACCTTCCACCTTTACTCGCTGCATTTGGATTTTCGAATCCTGATCACTCCCTTTGACCAGGAGAACCCTCACATCCGTAATCCCTGGAATGTTCTTGAGAGCTCTGATGGTTCCGTGATCTTGCCCTATTATGTGAGGAACTGCGGAATCAGGCACTTCCATCTCTTCGGATTCTGGAGGTGGTCCAGCTGCTATCCTGGGCTTCGAATCTGCTTTCAGACCATTCGATATCTGTTGCTGGTCAATCCTTGTACCAGGCGAACGCGGCCTTGGACTTGCCTCTGATTCCCATAAACTTTCAGTGTTGGGTGTTATATCGTCGATGTCTTTCTTTCGTCGACTCTTGCCTTCGTTTTCTGCAGCTGCTGCCTCAGGAGAGGAGGATTTTCCAAGAGCATCACATGATCCACTCTTCTGTTCCGCTGGATTGTCGCTCCATCTTCCTTCGTCGATCTTGTTGGTTTTGGATCTCGTCGAATCTTTCTGCTCCTCACACCATGATATCGCCTTACTGATAGAATTCTTTACGTTTCCCACCTCCGTAGAATCAAATTTTGGTTTGACTCTGGCCCATGGGTTTGTTTCGTGCTCGGAAGGCTCGACTCTTTCCCATTGATTTACAGTCGCTGCGGTCGGAATCGTCCGTAGTTCATCTTCTTCTTCGGGAGGTAAAGGGTCTCCCCATCCTCCACTTGATTCGTTACTGTCATCCGTCCAAGCCATTGCGGATCCGGACATCGCCAACGTCGCGATATTGAATATGGTCGAAAACCTGGTACTCCAAATGATTATCATAATCGGCACAAATGAAGACAATTGTTTCAGGTTAACAAACAGGATGAAGATTTGAAAAATACACGCAATGCCCATGCATGCAGTTAAGGGAATCAACTTTATACGACATGACTGCCTGATTAGAAATGAACAGTGGACTGAGAGAATTTTTTATCCGTAAACCTAGTGGGAATTTCCATCAAAACATAACCGATAAGAAGCAGTGTTTCTTCTTTGAGTTATAGTCATGTGAAGGCCAATGAGAAGTCTGTTAGTGCCTTAAACTTATATTCATCGAAGCCTCTGATGACAAAAACTTAAACATTACTGGTTTACCCAAAGAGCAAGTGCCCTCACGACTTTATCAACTAATGCACATCGTAGAGCTGTGCCTCAAGGAACATCACAAACCATCACTTGTAACTACGCACGTAAAGTGATAAGATTGTAGCATAAATAGATGTAGAAGACGAGGAGTTGAAGTGAACAAGAAATCAATGCTTTATCTGCACCTCCGTATGCCTGTAGAAACAATCTTTGCAAAAAAGCTGGCAAAAAAATCTGAAGATTGATGCTTGCTGTGACATTTAAGCTTGGAACAAAAAATGCGACCGTTACCATGTGCTCAGAAGCCCTGAGAGAAGATGAACCGCGACAGCTTTGCACGATCCGCTTTCACATCATTAGACTGTGGAAACTGCACATCATTGAATCATCGTTGAGTCAATTATGTAGATGAACGAAGTATAATGCTCTTGTGTGTAGTAAATCAAACAATTCTGAAAGCGCTTCTGAGAAGACGACCTACTTTTGACAACGATGGAGTATCGACTTTTCGTGTTGCTAACCTCCAAATCTACAAGGGAGAATACTGTTTCGACATAGACACTGGTCTGTTGAGGATGCTGATTCACATCCAGCAGTGACTTCTTCCTTCAAAGCAGACACCGAAACCTCGTAGTTTGATGTCAAGCTGTCTCATGACTACAGAAAATGTGGGTTGTTAATGGCAGTTACAGTAATTCACTATAGCGTTCCATCTCCAGATCACGGCAACCCTAATAAGGTGCATAATCAAGACACAACCACGAAATGATTCTTTTCGCATCAATGAACCTCGAAGTTTTCACCTCAAAGAATAATTATTGACATATGAATCATACATGATATTGTAGTGGGTGTAAGAAGGCATTAGGTTAGGGTATCGGCATGGGAATAGTCCAATTGCAAGAAATATCATACGCACACCCTGACTTTCACCAGACTCAAACAACAACAAGTTAAACAATAAGGGTCAAACTGTAGTTAGTACGAGATACATCCCAAGAAGCAGCCAAAGCCTGAGCTCTAAACGGAACGGAAGGAAACGACGCACGCGACGTCGTGAGTTCGATTATATAAGTCCCATTGTCGATTACAACTCATGGGGAAAGTAAGTGAGTGATTAACCCAAGGACACCGGATCATATATGTACATTCTCAAGCCGATGTGTAAACTGCCAGATCAAGGAACCTAAAATTGCAGGTTCCCTTCTTTATCCAAGATGCGATCATGGTTCCGACAAGGTAACAACACTACATGTCTCCCGCGGACCAATGACGACCCTCTCTCCCGTCTCCCAACTTGCTATTTATGGGTCCGTTTTAAGGGGATCCTCCCCTGAAATTGATCGTGGCCCAAGATGCTCAATCACGAAGAGGTGTGCGACACCGATAAGATGCACGGAAGGAAGAGAACCAACCAACGGCGACCACACTTCACGAGAGATTGCAACAAGATTTTGGCAAGAAGAAGGGGATTACCTCCCTTATTGCAATAGGAATTACCGCACGGACCGCCCCACCAATCTCTTTCGCTCGCTACCTCGATCCCTCGATCTCGAGAACATGCTGCTGCTGATGTAAGCTCCGTAGTCGCACGGGGGGTCTGTCTGCCGTTGAAGACAATATACAGGCCACAGAGACGAAGGGCTTCACATTGTGGCCAACAGCTTTCCACGAAGGAGATCATGTGCCCTCATGTTTGCGCGCAACGTGGTTGACGCTCAACCTCGTCGTCACTCAAAGCATCGGACCAACACCCCAACCACGTAGAGCCTTACTTGGTAGATTCCTTCAGAACTGCAAAACGTGGCTGAAAATTTTTCATCTTTCTACTTGCACAAGTCTATCATTGCATCCATAATATCAATTTTGTCAAAAGTATACGAACTCTTTGCTTCATTAGTAAACAGACGTACTCATCCAAAAAACAGCAATACAGGTTTAAGATTACGTGGTAATTCCGATCGCAATCGATGTTCTGCATAATCTTCTGGAAACAAAGTGTAGATAACGAGATAAAGGTTAAATATACCTTCTAGGGTTACCCTTACCGGGTAACCCGGTAAGTGTAACTTCTAAAAATATCCACAAGGTAACCGGGTAGATAAAGATTGATATTATTGGTACGAGGTAAAAAGCAAAGGCCATGACTTACCCGGGCGTAACCTTTTACGTTGCCGAGCCTTATGCAGCATAAGGCTCGGCAACGTACTCTTGTGGATAAGTTATGCACAAGAGTACGATAGGCTCCTTCACGTTCATTGATTGGGGTTCAGTGCGCACTCTACGCTTTGGTTCGAACCTCTAGAGGACATTTAAAGGTTAGAATTAATGAGTTACCATTCTCAGCATGCCCTACGTTTGCTGTCCGAACTGTTCCTGACTCCTGACCCATGTCCAAAGGGCCCTTGTAAAAAGATGTTTCATTCTGAAGGCTACCAGACGTGTCGTTCTCACAAGTACTCGTACTCATACGAAGCACAATGTAAATATATACATACACTATAGTGTACGCTTAAAAAGGGATCAATATGTAATGGAAGAAGGGCCCCAAATGATAGCAAATAAATTGGGAAGAATTTATCGGGTTGCACAAGGAAGGGAACGAAGTGGATTTATTTACAGATTTGATAAGTTCTTTATTTATTTGAAATATCGAGTACCCTACAGGCGGATAGTAACCTCGTTGTCGATGTGTATAAACGTGCGGATCTATTTGACAGTAAAATGAGAGCGAGAGTTTAAAATCGTGATCCATGAAAAGGGTCTATATCAATGCCTTCGTTTGTTACTCACTCTCATTTCACCAAAATCTCAACTATGTTCGCCCGATCCGAGGGCTCGATGTGAACTTTACATCGTCCATGATACAAAAGTCGACTGTATAACTTCTTAATTGCGATCTTTATTCTTTGATCTGGTTTGTTTTTTAGTCGACAAACACGATAATTCTGGCTACAAATACAGTGCCTTCTTGTCCTCTGTGTGAGACTGCTGGTTGCTCGACCCTACTTCTAAAGACGTCCTTTCCATATTAGCACAAGAGACATGCTTGTATTTACAAGCAGAAGTAGGTCCAGCAGACCAGACCGGCCATTCAACCTGAATGTGTGGTTGAATTGTGGTTATTTACAAATCAGAATCTTCATATTGAACGAACGTGAACTGTACGTTTCACCTACCAGGTGGTATACGCTAAACAACAAGGAAGGAGGTATACCAGGGAGGTGAGGAACAAATACCATCACTCTTAGGACGTGCTGCACTTATGAGCCATGTCTCAGACATTGTGATGGACGCCAACCAGAAGTGGTCAGACTTGCAGCTTGGAACTCACCAGTGACCACTTTACTCCAGAAGAGCAGAGCAGAGGCTGGAAATAGAACAGCTCCACAATGTGTACGAGTTCACCTTCCTGCACGTGACGAATGATCGTCTTCATGACGCAACAAAGGCACTGTTTCCATGTGAGATCCATGTGAAAAGGGACTCCGGAGGCTCAGAAGTCCAAGGCCGGGATCGAAGGTTGCCTTTTAAGAGTTACTCTACTGTAGTCGCACATGGACAATTCAGTGCTATAATGATGACGGTTGGGTTGTTTGATGTGTGTGGATACAACAAACGAGCCATAGCCGGAGCCTGCATGCGCATGCATTCAGCCGTGGGCTGTCTGAATAACTACGCCATGTTCGTGCTGCACCGGTGCGATTGTTGAGCTAACTCTGAGTACCGAAACGATGAAGGACAGTTGAGTCGAGCCCAGGCTAGACTTTCCGATACCTCGATCTGGCACTCACTGCTCCCAAGAAAAACTATGATGTTGAGATCCGATTAGTCGTTGCATATGGCATGCACCCTCCGGCAAAACATTGGTAGATTTTCTCTCCTGCTTCACGAATACCTCTCGTCTCGGCATGAGAGAAAGGGTCGGTCGTGTTCCGAGAGAGCGCAACCTTCAGTAGGTGAGAAATAGCTTCCATGAAGGAATGCGCAGTGGGTTCGTGATGAGCCCGGACTCCACAAAGTTGATGCTAGAACAGCTTTCAGAGACTAGCTCCAGATGAACTCTATGCATCCTTGAGTCTCAGCCGTGCGTGCAGATCTGGACACAAATGACTTCAGCTCTGGTTGCGTCCAACACCTGTCACTGCATATTCTCATTGAAATCGAGCGGACGTCCCCAAATCTGCTTTCCAACTCCATTTCGTGCCTACCGTGGGCATGGAGCTCTTTCCACCACCGCCCTCGTCTTACTTCATCTCACAGCAAATGACGTAAACTTGAGGAAGTAGCTCGATCCGCAAGGCCTCCGTTCAGGCTCCTTCCTCGAGTGAACATCAATCGAATCAGGATGATGAGAATCTTCTGCGCAACAGAGAATGCCAGCCACATGCACATGGGGAAATACACAGAATCGACACATGCAGCCCGGGATCCGGAACCCTGTATGAGCAAAACCATTAGACCACGAGCCGCATGAGGCACATTCCATGATTCCATGACAAGAATAACCAAGGGCACGTACATTCGATTCTTCTTTTCTGGTGAGAAATCCAGACGGGCAAGTGCGTCCTAGTTTATCTACCTCGATCTCCCTCACCCTCGAACAGGAGCGAAGGCCCCGAATCCACACCACCACCATCGCCATCATCATCATGATTCTTCTATTCTCAAGGAACTCTTCGGACACCGCAAGAAAAACCACGGCCACAAATTATCGTCACAGAGACACAGGCTAAACCGAATGCAAGGAAGCAACGCAGTCGCAGTTGCAGTCGCAGTCGAAGCGGAATAGATTCTAAAAGCCGATGACTTGGCATGAACAATGGCCCAGATCGCCGAGGAAGTCCACTCCCGTGGGGAGTTTCATGGTGTGCCAGCGCACGCTCTGGCTGACGCGGCCATCTTTGACGGGGGCAATGACGACGATGAGAGCAGGGCCCATGGTGCCGACCATATACAGCTTGCCATTGCAGCCGGCCATGGTGGACACCAGGCGGGGATCCCACTCCAGCAGCGTCTCTGGGCTCTGGCCCTTGACGGAGAGCCAGGCGTCTTTCTCGGCGATGTACTGCTGGTAGCAGCCGAAGTCCACCGTGTACAGAGTGCCATCCATGACGGTGCTGGGCTTGCCCCAGCCCAGCTTCAAGCCCGGAGTGATCTCCGACCAGAGGTCCGTCGCGGGGTCGTACATCCCAGAGTTTATGCGCCCTGTGAGGCTCTGCGGTCCGATGACACACAGTTTGTTGTCCACCACGGCGGCGTACTTCAGCGGGTTGCAAGGGTAATTGGTGGCCACCCCGCGCGCGCTGGCCGCGAACCTCCAGCTGTCGGTCGACGGATCATACACCTCCAGGCATGGCAGCGAGTACCCCGTCAGGTGGCATATGCCCGACCCCCCTACCACGTACAGCTTGTTGTGTATCACTCCCACCAGACCCCCGAACCGCGGCGTCACCATGGACGCCGCCTTCTTCCACTTGTTCTTCAGCGGATTGTACACCCACATGTCCCTGCCAATCAATCAATCCATCCATCAATCAATCATTCCATCCATCGATCCATCCATCAATCTCTCTCTCAATCTCTCAGTCTCTCTCGCATCGCCCTTGCTCCTGGATCAGACTCTGATCGGGCTCTGTTCGAGAAGATCATGGACCTGGCAATGCATCGTCGATGGGTGGAGTTGCTGATTTCGGTCGGACGGTCGATCCGAGCGAGCGAGTCTCGTTGTCTTCGTTCGAGCAGACAGACTTTCCATCTAAAATGCGTCTTCTGCGGTGGAGGCAGTCTGGAGGTCTGGAGCTGACTTCATCTGTCGATTGTCACGGCAATTCTCCATCCTGAAACTATTGACTCTCCTGATTTCGAAATCTGTCGTCTATCCCAATGGTCAATTTTGTACAGCCGGCAGTGCCGGGAGTTCAGAAAGCGAGAAATGGGTCCGATGGAAATAATCCCGGCATAATCTGTACAGAACATTCTTCTGCGAGGTTGAGAAATATAAACACCTTTTTTACAAAAGTGCAATTCTCGTCGAGCAGTGATCGACACTTGACTGGATAAAAGCTCATCACGCTCGGTCGACGGTGGCAGTGACCGCGACAGCCGGATACATGCATCCAGGCGGATGCTCAAACATCCTCATGTCGGCAAGGTTCGCGGCTCGTGCTCGAGGTCACTCGCCGGGGACATGATCACGCGTGGATCCGAAGTCTGTGTCTCGGGAGACAAGGCCATGGGAGCAGCACGAGAATAGAAGATTCGTGACAGCAGAGTGCGCGGGATAATAATTGCCGATTCTCTGGCGCGAGCGACCGTGCATGCGCAGGGCGAGGTAACGACAAAGGGGTCGTCGTCGGTGGGGCTGGGGAGATGGAGGAGAGGGAGGGAGAGGGAGGGAGAGGGAGGAGATGGAGGACAGACCTGATGGCCGGCTTGCCGAAAGGAGCACCTCCGACGACGTACAGATTGCCATCGAACACGACGGACGACGCGCCGAGAACCACACGGCCGCCCGTGACATTGAAGTCGTAGGGGATGGGCGGAAGCGCGTGCCATCGGTACTGATAAGGGTCCAGGGCGTGCCACAAGCTGAAGCCGCCGACCATTCTCCAGCGGGAGCTCTTGCCGTCTCGTCGCTCGTCCAATCGGGGCGACGTGCCCACGTGCAGATAGAGCCAGTCCTCGGTGCAATCTAGTTTTTTCCTCAATTCCAGAAACTCTTTCGTCTCCAGCGTCCACCGCCACGGTTTACAAACCGATCGTAGCAAACAATGGTCCACGCGTGGCACTCTGGCCAAAATCTGGATGGCCACTTCGTGAGGTAATCCCGGCAGCAGGCACCAATCTCCGGCCTTCTGCCTTTCGATCACCGCCGCCTCTGATATGCAATCCCAATCATCCACTACGCTGATCTTGTTGCTAATTCCTCCTGTACAAGGGCCGACCATTGATTTCCTTCCGCTGGCTGCACATTCCAACCATCCCAAATGCGCTTTACGGTCACACCACTATGATTCCAATCCCACTCCCATCCCATTCCATGACCAAGCTACATCTACAGCCCTGCGCAAAATCCTGACAAGATTCTTCAAACTAATTTAACAACTTTGCCAATCACTCGTTCTCCCGGTTGCTGTCTCGTGCCGCCGAGAGATTTCTCGTTTGTCCTAAGTCGCTGATTGCCAGCCTCTCTGCTTGTCTCGAGGACCACGGGTTCCTCTGCAGAGACTGACTGGCAGGATTGCATCTGGCCTCGCGCTATTGCGATTCCGTTCATGCAATTAGGTCCCTGTTTTGGGGAATGCCATGCACAATCATTTCTGATCGACGCGCCCGAGAGATGATTCCATCAAATGGATCATGCGGGCAATGTGCCAGCACATCCCCTCAGGGAGCCTTCGATGACGTCGATGGTGTTGTGGGTTGGGAATAGGGAAGCGAGGAATCAGCACGTGCAAATTCAACAGCATCCTGCTTGACATTGTGCGGCATGCGAATTTGAAGCCCGTGCGCTCAAGTGGCGACAGGTTTGCATTACATGACTGGACCAATATGACCTCTCTAAGCCACCGACATGTAAACGCACGACATTCGTCTCGAGAACTGGCCTCGCTTTCTCTCAGAATTGCTGACCGAGAAGCATGCGCAGCTCGATCCAGAGCAAAGCACTTGAGGCTCGAGAAAGCTGGAAGCATGCCGGAACGTGGTTGAAAATAAAATTGAGCTGGATTAGAATTGGCATGGAAACTTACCAACCCCCTTGAGGCACATGAAGCGCATCCTTTTGCGCAATCGTAATTTTCTGAAGAATCTCCATAAAGGCCGCAGGCGGCGACGTATTGAAAATCCTCTCCGACGCTTTCGCCTGTACAGAGGTGTTTCGGGTTCCAAGGTCGACGGAGCTGCCCCCATTTCGCCTCCTCCTGCTCCTGCTCCTGCTCCTGCTCCGGCTCAGGATTCGTCTCCGATCTACTGATCTCTTGATGAGCGGTGGGCTCGCTCGCACGCTCACTCGCTGGTGACTACAATGTTGTCTACCTCTTTTCCTGCCCTTCGAGATCCGCCGCCGCTGCTGCTGCTGCTACCTCTGGGCGTCAACGCTGGACCCAAGCTCATGATCCACCTCAGGCATACGCATTCTGAGGCCAGCGCAGAATGGACCGAGACAACTGGAGCTGCTGCTATGTACACTTTGGTTCGGCTGATGATCCGTCTCCAGTTTGAGTCCGAGGCATCTTATCCGCGCAGTGATCGAGTGCGAAATCCATATCCAGCTTCATGGACAGGCCACGAGTCAGCTCGGCCCACGGCCACGCACAAGAGTGGGGCGAAGGATACCCTCCAGTCCTGATTTCTTTCCAGTTTAAGCATCGGTTGCAGGCAGAGGGACATTAAATCGACAAGCAGTGCATGAGACTAGATTTGTTCTGAAGCAGCTGACCTGGAGTGACTTATGGTAAGATTAAGAGTACGAGAGAGCGAGGAATCGGGTCAGCGTGCGCATGTGATCAAGACGAGTGCATTCTTACAGAGTCGAGATTGCCAATGGACCAGAAGCGAAAGCAGAGAGCATCTTGAAACTAGCAGCATCCAGCAGCATTAGCAGTAGCAGAAGCAGTTGGATTGTCGTCTCTCTACTGGATGCATGTCTGCGTCCATCACCGTGAGACTGCGCTGCCTTTCTGTGGTCCATGTCAATTCTGCTCAGAGCTGGCCAAGGCAGCATCAGCAGTGGCAGCAGTAGTACAGTGGAACCATTCAAGTGCTATGAGTCAAGCTCGACAGGACTTGAAGTTGTGCCACCTCGTTCCCATAGCAGCGACGCTGACGAACTCGTTCACAAAACACGCGAAAGATGCAACAGGAACAGCGTTGCAATCTTGCATGCCCATTCTGGTTTTCCATCATCTCCGATACTTCCTCAGTACAGATTTTGCCACACCCAGATGATGAGGGTCTGCCTGCCTCGGGTGGAGGAAATTGGGATGGTGTTGTCCCCACCTGCGACCTCGTCCGCCCATCGCTTGGCGTTCCGGTCGCTCGTATCGTTCTCCCTCCGTCCCTCTCCTTCTCCCTCTCCCTTTCCCTCCCTCTCTCGGGATCGAAGAATAACAATTCGCAGCAGCAAAAGGCAACAGTCCAGCTTCGGAGGGAGCGAAGCTCACAGCTTCTTCAGCTCACGATCATTCTGGTGACACGGGACGAGCGCGGTGGACGTGACGTATGGCAGTTGTACCGCTTTCGTCTCGTCCGCTGCCCCTAAGCTACTAGCTCTAGACCCAATTCCATAGCTGGAGATTGGACAATCGTTTCGCTGAAACCCAGAAACAACTCTGACCCACACACGTTCCTTTTGGCTGCAAGCACCACCTCACGGGCGCTTGCATACTCCTCGTTTCTGTGGGTTGCTTGCAGCTAATCCCATCGGAAGCACGCTCTTTCCATTTTCACTCTCGCGTTTCACCTGCTTTCTCCGCATAATCGAGCACAGTGTATCCCTGCGTGCCTCCTCCTTCCTTCCTCCCTCCATCCCTCCATCCCTCCCCTCCTCCACCCTCGCGATCCCTTCGTACCTCATTACCTCATTTCGAATTCTACAGCCCCTCCCTTATCTACTGTAGGCTCGAACTGTAAAACCGTCAGGACCTGGAGGCCAGGCAGGCCAACTTCACCCCAACTCCAACAGTATGTCTGCTCTGCCCTGCTCTCTACTTTACTCCCCTCCACTCCACTCCACTCCCACTCCCACTCCACTGACGCAATTTACTCTGCGCGGACCTTTTGAAGTACATCGGGTTCAGACTACAGACGCACGGACCAGCACTTCCATATTCTTCCCCTCCCCCCTCCTCTCTCTCTCTCTAACTCTCTCTCTATCTCTCTCCCTCTTTGTGTCTGAGTCCCGAAGGCCTGCACATCGATTCACTTATACTATGGCACACACACACACACTTTCTCTCTCTCTCTCTCTCTCTCTCTCTCTCTCTCTGTGTGCGTGGTGGGGCCTGCAACTGCAGCTTTACTTTACCTTTTCTTTCCAGTTTTCTGTCGCCGGTCTGGCAGCTGTCTGTCTGTGTCTCTGCGTGTGCAGTGGAGTGCAGAGCAGGCGGGCTTCGTACTTAAGTATGCGCACTCCTCCTCGCTGCTCCTCTAGCCCAGACCCGGACCTGCGGGCCTGCCTGCCTCTGCCTGCGCCTGACTGACAAACTGGGATTCCAAGAGCCCAAATAGTACACTGCACCTCCTGCACCTGCTATCCCTTTGTATTTAACCCCCACCCGATTTACATGAGGAGCTCACGTTGGCCCACTGTTCTGACTGGATGATCTTGCGGTGCCTTCAGCTGCAGAAGCTGGAACTGCGAAAGATTCCAACCCAGTCACCACACCCGATCAGACGACATTCAGAGCACAGACCCGGAGAGACAAGCGTCTTGGAAATGGAGGCCAAGTCCTCGCTGTCTGTCCCTCTGTCTGTCTGTCCGTCTGTGTTGTCCGGCTTCTATATACATATCCATCCCTTGTCGAGATGAATCAGGCGCGAGTCCTGGAAGGCTGGTCGCCTCGATCTCGTTCCATTCACGAGAACTCTCAAGGTTGTTATCCAGAACCTGCTTCGGGAGCCTCGGGGGGAGCCTTGATGTGCTTGACTCGAGTCTACCGGATTCATGACGTGGGCTGACACGACTCTAGGCTATGTCCGGAGTAGACTGCTCTAGTCCTTTATACTCTACTGTGTCCATGACTCGTCGTCAACTGATTCAGTTGCACGAATTTCCAGATTCTCGCCTCGCACTCACCACTCACCGCTCTCACCGTGGCGTCTGGCCGATTGTCTTGCTCTCATCCGGCCGATTGAGGCTAAGATCATATTGAATGATGCAAAGCGGCCAATGGCTTTCAAATTCTCCTCTGCTCTCTCCATCGAGGTCTATCTATTGCCATCAGGGTCTCCATTGCGATTAAAAGTTATGATGATGCGTCAAGGCATACAAGCGTACCATGGCCTTGCAAAGGTTGTCAGCGCGTCCTTCTTGTTACTACGTCTCCTCGGGTCCAACTAATAAAGTGGAGAATCCCTGGACACCCATCATTGTCCTTGTTTGTCCACTTTCACAGCTATTTCCTTGACCCCCGTAAGTACATGCCATCTTTTACCCTCACCCAAGTCTACGTCCGTCCGTGGGTCGATCAAGCTTGCGTTTACCTCATCTCTCCCTCGCTTGCCCCGTGTCCTCGGTCTTCGCCATCGAAGGCTTGAAGACTAGTTCCCATCTTCGGCATCGAGTCAGAGAGCGATCATTCTGTTTGCACCTTTTCTTCTCATTCATTCATTCCAGGACTTTTCCATGGAATTTGGCGAGCTATGACGGATGCTGTACACTTGGTTGTACACCCATGCCCCCACCTAATTCGCAGCACCTCCGACGGGCAGTCTCCACTTTCGTGACATCCTACTTCTGATGACCTGGGCCTGCACATTTCAAGTGACCACCTCAGGCCAAATGTTCAAAGCTGAAGAATGTAGACATTTGTCGATCAGCTAAGAAACCGAAGTGCTTGGGTCAGACCGCCGAGAGCAGGAGGGGTGGTTCATGGACTTCAAAGATTCTTGGGAGACAAATGAAGGACGAAGATACATGTCCTTGACTACGCCATTGGCAAAAGTAAATTGTTGTCGACACAGTTAACCAACAGTGAGCAGCAAGCAAGCTCGTCAAGAAGTAAGTCCATGCTCTTGACTGAGAGGAGTACTAGTAAGTGGCCAGTGGAGTGTGAGTTGACTGGGCTTGTCGGCATCCCAGCTTGACAACAGGAAAAGTTAACTCCCTCGGGCATTCTTACCAACATTCCAACATCGTCTGGAGCCGCACGATGTTAGCGTCGCAGAGACTTCCGGCCTCGGAAACGCCCACATGATACATGGTCGGTGTTAACTGATGTCAAACAAACCCTGCGCATTGCACTTCTCCAAAACCTGCCTCCTCGAGAGCCAGTGTTACGACACTGATGAAGCAAGCGCCCTCCTTTCTTGGGAAAAGGATTTCTGACCCCGCGCTCGGTTCCCTAACAGCTGGACCATGTAGCAAATTTGATTGTGGATCCGACGTAACTAACGTAACCATGAAGAAGTGAAGCAATCGAGTCCATCGACCGAATCTCCTCGTCCTATCCGAGGCGAGACATTGGCCTGCGTAGGGTTGGGCTTACATCTACCTCGAGGACGATTGAAGGAGGGCACAAACCGAGGCACATATTGTCTGGAGTAATCATACCTCGGTCCTTTGATGAAATTACTGTCATTCGACACGATTCTGCTTTAAACTTCTCCAGACTAGTGGAATAGGTGTTATGAGTGTCAACAAATCAATTCGGGATTGAGGATCCTATTGCAACCTCATACGGGATGGTGTTTGGATTGGATAGCCAATTTTTCACGAGTCCGTCTCAAGTCCACTCATTGAAGTGAGGAGAAGTCCTAGCTCGGTATAATTGTCCTCCTCCCGTAGCAAAGCATGATTGGAATAAGTGGAAGTTTCATGATTGCCTCAAGGCACGAACCATCTCCCATACGTGTGTCCTCGTGCGGCCACTAGCATGCCGAGATTGTCAAATTTGTCGTGTATCTCTCACGACACTAGGCCCCCCAGAGTTAGATCTCTTTTGGATTTCCACTGCTTCCGCTTCCATATCTCCGGCTCCAGTTTTCATCCATTTCCACCCTCTTTCAATTCTCCATCTCTATCCGTCGTCACCATTTTTTACAGTGCATGCATGAGTTGGATGCTTCACGAGTCTAATCTCACAACGCCAAATCGTTTGACATCTTCGTAACAAGGACCTTTCTTCAACTAGCACTTAAACCAAAATGCCATGTCCGCTTGTAATCAAGACGTGGAATATAATCCATAAAAAGAATCCAATTCGTGATGAGTCATCGCTGAGGAGAACCAGTTCCTGAACTCGTTCTTTATTTTTTATTTTTTCCATTTACACGAGCACTTGATATCCGAGATGAGCAACTCTAGCGATCCGATGCTAGATTCTTCTTCAGCTTTATGCATATTTTTAGTGTCGTGTACCTGCGGCAAATTCCACTCGAACACCAATCGCTCGCATGTGCTAAAAGTGGATGCAGTGACTTTTTGATTTTTGTAATTTCCCTTGTCCTCTTCTTGCAAGGATCTACTCCTGTCGCTGAACCAGTCAACTGTAATTTTTGCTATGCATTTGCATAACTAACCTTCTGAGGTTTCAGCAGAAAACGAGGGAGGAGTGCCCTGTCTTCGTTCCAGTGTTGGATTTTCGATGGTTGCCGCATCTATTATTTTAGATCAACTCAACTTGACTTTTTTATCATGATCTTCGTCATGCACGAACTTCAAATGCATAGCCCCGCAACAATGTTGCGTGCGCAGTATAATTTTTTTTCCACTGAACTGACGGTGTTGACCTCTATCGTGGAATCAAGCCCTCCATGAAAATTTAGCGCAGTTATCTCCATGAGTCTGTTTGAGATAATGTTGCAAAAGATTATGAGATAAGTTTGATAAAAATGTATCTGATTCACTGCAATGGGATGTCCGTTGCTTTCTAGTCATATCTAACCAGATCCGTTTCTTAGCGTAGCTTTTAGCATTTCCTTCTGCACTGTAAATTTTATTCAATTATGCACAATAAATTGCTGAAATGTGCATATACCATACATACATTATGCATTTCACTTCAAACTATGAAGTGTACATTGCATTATTATCCTGATTTTCAGTATAGTATCTGGATGTGGTGATATTCAGTATCAAAGCATTTTCTTAAGATAAAAATAATGATTTCAAAGTGGCAAGGATTGAAATGAGACCATCTAAATCTATACTGAATAATAACGTTTTATTTTATGATATATACAAAGAAAATTATTATTGTATTCTTTTACTCAAATCCACAAAAGTCATTTTAATTTGATCTTTAAAATTGAGGTACTACTTTATTTGTATATATATTAGGTATTAATATTATATTGTTGGCATATCAAATCTTATATTTCATAGTTTTTTATGCAACAACACACATTCATAATAATCAGTATGACATGATATCAAGATCATCTTCAAGACACTCTTCTCATAACAAGAATATTACAAAATATAATAATCAAGTCAGATACACTCTGTGTTTCATATAACTTTCTATTAAACATACAGTATTGAAAATAACATTCAAAAAAATTAAATTTTTTTTTTTGAATGTCCAATATTGCTAGGAAGTACATTAACTTATGGAAACTCACCTTGTCTCCAAATTAATAGAAGCTCCTCCCCCTCAATCCGGCTGAGTACTGTGAGCTCGACGTACACCTTGGACTCCGCCCCTCTCAATAAAAGCTCGTTAAAATCTGCAATTCTGGCTGCGGGGTACTACTCGAGGATTTCGCTATGCTCGATTGATCTTGCAAACGCGGACTACTATGGATTGCTCGAACTGGAGTCTTCAACGATGCAAGAATGTGACAACTTCGCCCGACTCCGTGATGGAGCATCTAGATCCTTCGATTATGAAACAGTTTAAGAAAAATGCCGAGGTCATAGAGTTGTTCCATGCCCTTCAGCGACGGTTCCATCATAAGTAACTGTCACAAGTAATGAACATATACATGAGTCTCTTGAAGTTTAGGATGAGGACCAGAACAAAAATCCGGGATCACATTCACGTCTTCGATGATTTGTTAGTAGATCTACAGAGTATGGAGAAGAAGCTTTTTAACATGAAGAAGTCTATGCATCTTCTCCACTCACTTTGTACTTCCTACGGAATGTTATTGAAGATTTTTCTTCATCATGATAACTAGGCTTTACAAGAGGGCACTTACAACCTCGTTGTAACTGCCCTCTTGACGAAAGAGGTGAAACATGAGATGTCGTCGTCATCATCTAGCCCATACACTTCTAGGACTTCACTTATTTTGACCCAAGGTCATTCACATCCAAAGGATATCAAAGATTACTGGCGTATTGGATCAAAGAGGACGAGATCCAGATCCCCTGAACAAAAGAGAGCACAGTCTAAGGCTCACTCTCGCGACAAGAAGAACTTGACGTGTTGGAGATGTGGCAAAAGTGGCCACATCAAGAAATATTGTAAGATGACAGTCAAAGATGCTGCCCCACCTCCAATGACAAACGCTCCAGAGCATTTTGACCACAAGGAGTAACAAAGGTTAATTCGAGAATCAAACTGAAGTCAACAGTAACATTCAACTATCACGACAAAACACAAGACGATGTAATGTGGTTCATCACAAAGGGCTATGTTCACGGAGAAAGCATGCGCTGAATATTACTACAAGTCTATGAAAAAGATTGTGATGTACTGAGTAGAAGTCGAAATATTTAACCCATAGTGCATGCAACTTTTACTATTTTTAGCTAGGATCCGAGTTAGTTCTTAATGGAGTTAACTTCAACGATCTCCCCCTTTATTCATATTGAGAAAATAGAGACCTCTATACTCTACGGTAATACTCCGCAGAAAGTTCTAGATAGAAATCTAACACAAGTCCACTCTTTACATGAGAGTTGATTAGAACTAAACCGTATCCACATTATGATAGAATAATAAAATTAAGAGGTAACTAAAATACCTGCTAGCATAGAATGAACAAACAATCTCATAATATATATAATTACTCTGCATAAAAAAAATTTTAAAAAAAACATAAAAGAAAAAAAAAATTTTATACAATAGATAACTAGAAGTAAGCAGTAGCCATCACAACTTAATGTAACTATGTAAAGAGACTTCAGTCTAAAAGTACTATGCTAGCAATTCTAACTTTATTCCTCAACTTGTATTATAGTAATGTGTTGTCTGAAATTCTCCAAAAAAATATCTTTGCCAAACACATCAACTGGATTGAGTTTACCGTCAATCTTGACTAACTCAATCATTTTTATCAAAGTTTGTTATCAATCTTGACTAGCTCAATCATCAGAGTTTAACTTCAATCTTGATCATTTCAATCATTTTATCAATATTGTTTGTTTGATAAAAAATACTTGAACTCCTTGTGCTTCACTCTACTGCACATCACCTGGTTCCTAGCCAAGTGTACAACGCTCCGGCTATCACGCCTTGTGTTAATTTCCATCTTCATTGTAAACCTGTTGGCTACTTTAAAAAACGTGTATTTCACTTTAGAATTCCATTCGAATCCGTGCTCATCTTGTTCATTAACCACATAATGATAGAACTTCCCCACATTCATATACGTGAGCGGAGATTTTTTTCTTGTCAACTCCATGACACAATCTTCTACGTACGTCATATTTTACAACTCTAACTATATTGCAATCCCCAATGTGACTTTCACTTAGGTTTAACTCAAATGACTTTGCGGTACCTCATTAAGGTTCTAGAAAACTATGATTATTCTCATTCTCGTGTCTCAAACATACTCTCATATTTTCTTTCCATTTATCATTCAAATTCACACACATATCAACACTTCAAGATGCTAAAAATGTCATTCTTTCATTGATGAAACAAATCTCTACACATGAACGCTCCAAACTTGTTTGAATGTCTCTTTTTTAACTCTTTATATATAATAATTGAGAATTTATCATAGAAACAAATGATTATTCTTATATATCTTATTTTTACAAAGATAAATCATAATAAATTTGACTATTTTTAAATAAGTGACAACATGATATAAACCTTTTAAACCTTCTAAATATTTATTAATCCCTAGATTGAGTTGATATATGTCATTTACATATTTTCAACTTCTAAAGTATACACTTGCCACTAAACCAACACTAGAGTTACTATAACAAATGAAATTTTCATTCCTTAGTCAAATTAATCAAAATCAAAATTTTAAAATTTAGTTTTGAATGTAGAATTTGATAAATATATATATATATATATATAATCGTTCAAACTTTCTAGAACTCTTTTAATTATTCCTCCAAATATAAATATATAGTTAAATGTAATTATAATTAGATAAATTTAATTATTTACAGTTAGATTTAATCATAACTTTCTAGATTTAATTATATCATACTAACCATGATCAACTTTTTGGCTACTTTTAATTTTATTTCACATATACAAAAATCTAACTTACAGTTAGTTAGTGTTGAATATATATAATCCAAGATTTCTACAATGAACAAATGCAAAAATACTCGCTTGCTATGTGAAAATAACACAACAACCACAAATGTAATCCTTTGTTGTTAGACTTCGTTGGTACTCTTGCGAGTTAATGTTTTTTTAGTTCTCGACTGAAAATATATACTAAATCAAATTTAACAGTGAAAATTACTTATGTAACCTCTTGGAAACTCAATCGTCTTGAAGAGATACATCAGGCGGCTGTAAGCCATGTTCTTATTACCGATTGATTTGCACTATAGAGTGGGGAGTGTAAGCCACTATGGGGCAGAGTATTTTGACTACTGCTTCGCAGCCATGTCTAAGAAAACCACGAGAACCATGAGTCTGAATTACTCCGTATATGGTCTTGCCTTGACTTCATGTTCTATTCAAAATAATCTCAAATAGTATTGGAACATATTGGATTGCAGAGACATACATACGATCCTATAGAGTAAAATGGAACCTCTTGGATACCATCAAGTGTTTTAAGTTTACCATTAAGTAATTTCCTCGATATAAGTACTCATATCGAGAAACATATGAGTATTCAAGCGAAATCAAAAGTAAACACAAAAGTTCGAGTGATTTGTCCTATTTAAGTACAATTAATCGAAGATGTTTAAGTTGAAATATGAATTACTAGCATATAATGAGTAATTATAGGCATATTTCGAATAAAATACATTAATTTATATAAAAAAAACCTAAAGCTAATTTCAAAAGATATACATTTCTTGGGATTTGATAACTTGATCTGATCTGAAGGATTTTGAGATTTGAGATTTATAAATATGCAAATTCACATTTTTGTAAAAATATTATAATAATTGAGTCGATGTTATCAAAGGAGGAGAAAATAGTTCAGCTTTTAGATACAAACAAGAAAAGATCTTTTTCAGATAGTTCTGATATTTTATATGATGACGTACAAGTAATCTAATTTCCTTAAGGATATCTGAAAGAAATGCATTCATATATCACAACGCGACTTGAAAATTGTTTAACAAACATTGACTTCAATCAAATATTGACGGATCTGCTACGTTTCCTCGGGTTTCGGTAAAGGATTAAACATGTTTGACAATGATTAAAACCGCACGTGCGAGCACATAACAGATTTTCTTCCTTTGCCAGAGCCTCCATGAAGTGAGCTTACATTGTTGACCTCTTTTCTGGGTGAGCATGCTAAGCAATATTTTGGTCATGAATGAGTATGACTCTCTTACATGGTTTAGTAAACTCTTCGGTTTCCTCGCCAAGATAACTACAATCAATTTCTAATCCGACTCCCTCAAAACAGAATCACTAAAAAAATCTGTTGAATCTGTTAAAAAACCAACAAAGTAGGCTAAGGAGGCATCGAATGTGACTCAACTCTCCATGCTGTCATTCATGAGGACTTTAATACGTAGTAGTCCAGAAGAACTTAGAGCCGCGTTAAAACTAATAATTATTAGTGTCTGGTCCGGTAAGTCCTTGTGTTCCTTCAAAACACTAACAGGACCTGGCACCGGGTGGCAACTCAAGTGACAAACTCGCCCGGTCGACAGATGAATTCCACAATGCACTATGAATGCAACACGCACACATAGCAAACGGTAATTCAAATTCACAAGCTCACAATTTACCAATCTCAGTGCATGGGAGCATTCCGGGTTAGCCCGCAGTGGTTCTCATGAGCTCCAGTACTCGAGGTACCGTACTCCCTCTCCGGCCAGAACTTGAGATATGTCATATTCCCATCCATAGAACATTGCTCCTAGCACGAATTTAAAAGAGAACGAAAATACTTGAGACGAGTTGAGATGGCATGTTGAGTCTTGCCGTTGTTATCCTGTGGTGACTTCTCAAGTTTCTCCGAAGCGGTAGTTTCACTATGATCCAAAAGTCACTAGCCTAAAGTTCGAGTCCTGCACGATTTGAGCCTCCAGAAAGCAGGCAAAGCTGCTAAGGTTCGACAGTCGAAGCATGTATTCTTGAGAAAGTACAGAAGAAGTCCAAAGTTAATCATACATACCATAGCTGTACAGACCACAAGGGAGACGCCAAATTGTCAGTGATAACAAAGATAAGAGAGCATGTCGACTCTGTGAACTTTGGTAACAAATGCAGGGTTACTCTGTCACTTATTAGGAACTTTACGTTTGTAGATACTTACGATCTTTAAGTCGTTAAAATTCGCTACACTATCCAACACCTTCAGGACACTTAATCTGTACACAATTGCGGGGACACAAAAGCCTCGGACAAATAGAAATATGTGCCTTTCACAAAACAAGGCATAAACATTTAACGATTTCTATACTATCAGAACAACTGCATGCACTAAATCTTCCTACTGGTCATTGTACAACAGGACCTCCTTTCATTGCATCCGTAAGTCAGTCTGGATTGCTAAGGCTTGATCAGCCTGTACTAGAACAATAGCGTGTTCTTCGAAAGTAACACAAGCCTTATTTGCCCAAAACTACATTGGCTGCCCTTATCCCGAACAAATGCATTGCATTGCAGTGAAAAGCGACCAGAAAAAATGTGTTTAGTATTGGCAATTTAAATGACTTCATTACCAGTACTCCTCTACACAGAGAGCACTCCAATCTCATAGATCCATCTCTGCTGTGCCCAGATATAACATACCCATTGTAATAAAAGAGCTCATCGCAAGAGGCTCTCCATTGCTTCGAAAAATAGGGGTGCCATCTCTGGACTTGGGGTCTTCACGGCACACTTAACACTTGGATATCCTACCAAGAAAGTTAGCTCTACCAAAAACGGAACATTTGGAGGAACCTTTCCGGACAGATAAAGCACTTCCTGATTTGTATCCTTCAAAGTCCGCCTTGCGATGAAGAAAAGATTGGTCTTCAGCAGCCTCTCTAGCGTTGCTTCACTGTTGGTGATTATCGCATTAGGCAAGTCCTTGGAAACTTCATGAGAATCTGGCAACGACTTCCATGTCTGCAAGACAGCATGGATAGTGGATTCTGTTATGTCTATAAACGAAAACCCGTAAGGTCAGGGAACATCAATAAGGTAACTTGAGAGAAACGCCTATAAAAACCATACAGCAAGTCAGCATTGGATCTCAGATCGGGGGTTCAAACGTTGTCTGAAGCAAGCGCCTTCTAAAGGTGTAGGAAATACAGGGGAGATGTCACATAGTTATATTTCCAACTGACTAGAAACTTATGAGTATCAGGTAGTATATATATCTTACAATACTGATATTGAGGGGTTTCGCCACTAGAATTAAACTTCTAAACGACTAAGACACTATTGAGTTCCGATATCCAAAGTGTCAGGCCTGCCGTCTTTAACAATGTCTGACCGGAAATCAAACTCCTACTGGTAAGACAGAGTAATGTACGCTACCGGCATCAAATTATGTGCGAGAAAATCAGGTGGGCCTTTTTCAATGGATTGCACCAACTATATGGATTCTGTCATATTCTATAGTGGCTTACCTCTAAGAACGTGCTGCGCTCCATCTGGCCGTCTTCTAGGAAGAGAGCTTGCAACTGGACCTTGCCTTCAAAATACCACACAGGCTGCTGGTTGTTTTTAACGGCAACTTGAAGGACTGATCTTGGTGGACCTGGAGCCACATTCTGGAATAAAACCATTGGCAACAAGGTGTTTGCGGAACCCCCTGGTTGCAGTAACGGTACCTACATCAAAGCACGGAATAATTACACGACATTGAGTCAGATTTGGAAAAATTTCGTCACTGCGATAAAAGATTACAATGCAAAGAATAACTGAATGATAATATGTTCATACACATCGACACTTAAATTCACGTATATCCACATACATTAAACAAGTAATTCTAGGTGCGGATGGCAAAACTGTAGGATTCTCTGTGAAGGTAAGAGACAAAGAACAGTCACCTGAAGTGGGCCTGCTGAAGCAAGTCCAAACAAATTCTTATTGAACTGGATCATGAAGCCATCTAAAGGCATTTGCGTGTTATTTTCAAATCTAAGGGAGTAGAACACTTGTCCATCGCGTCTTATCAGCTGCCCGCAAATCTGCAGTCCTTGTCCATCTTGGGCAGAAAGTAGTACAGGAAGAGGAGGTCTGCGTCAAGAAACAACGAAGTTCTAAGACAAATAAGTCCCGAGTTCAAAAAAAATCGAGATGATATTGTTTTTCATACACCCGAAAATACGAGAGCAAGACGTTCCAAATTGTGAAAGGACATGAAGTCGAGGGTGTGGAGCAGCACCCAACTTACCCAGCAGGTGTGGCTGGAGTAACTGGTCCAACTGGAACAAGGGCGTTGTCCAAGCCCATCAAATCTCCTAGAAGATCAGGAACCACCGCAGCTGCTGGAGGTGGAGGACCACTAGGAGGAACAGTAGCCCTTGGCGGTGCGCCATAACCACCGGGAGGAGGAAGCGGACTAGAAGGACTTGCACCTTGATACCCGCCAGACACTTGGCCTGCCTCAGAAAGAGGGGCCGAGGTATCACCAGTTCCAGAATCTTGCTCAGCGTACTCCTCGTCTTCATCTCTTTGTTGCGTAGGCCTGGTTCTGCTTACAAATGCATCGGGAGGCTTATGGTAAACAGAAGCCAAAGTCGCGATGTTGGCAAGAAGATCATCAAGAAGGGACTGATCTAGCATGTTCGAATCGTCACTGATTGTCGGCTTTTCAGCAAGTACCACATCCTTGGCAGCCTGCATCAGACGGAAAAATCACTTCAACGCGAGGAGAGCAATTTGACCGTGCAAAGAAGGCAAATCTTTCACCACCATGATCACATCCAAACTAAACTTTCCAATGGCACATGAAAGCTCAAAGGGAAGACTCCAACCTCCGGATCAGTGGAAAGCAAACGCCAATAGACGTAAGCTCGGTCTCGTAGATCAGGATTATCTGTTTCTTGCGTGGCATTGTTGAGCACAACCTAAGAAAGAGGTGTAATATTAGTCCGACGTTCAAAAATGTGAAAAATTGTTGCAACCAAAGATTCATTACCACATGACTCGAGTTGTTCCGATGCCCGCGTCAGTGCAAAGAGGTGTGCAGGAGGTATATGACAAAGCACCTGTATCATTTGTTGGGGGCCTTCAGTGGGTTTCTTCAAGAAAAGCTTCACCGCAGCAGTCAGAAGTTGCAGCTGGACTTGAGCTGGCTCCTCCGGGAAACTTTCCAAAAAGCTCTCCAACAGCTCATCAGCGTTGTCGATACGCTCGGCATACTCACCAATGATCCAGATCATGGATGCCTAGATGGCAAACACAAAACGAACAATTGTAATATCAGCGACAAATTGCAGGCTTACTTTTAACACAAGCGAGAGCAGCAAAGTAATAATAGCCAGATGAAGTGGGAAACAAAAACAAGCGTTACCTTAGCTTCAGGTTCATCAAGCGTGTCCAGACTCTCACAAAGGGTTGCAATAATAGACTCATACCTGTTCCATGTCCCAACACAGTCATTGTTCAAAAGATAACTTCACAATTTTTTCGTGCTCATTTGCAAACTTTTGTTCGTTCCATGCAATGCAAAAGAGATGGCAGAAATGAGACAAATTACGCAAAAAGAGCATGGACATCACTTTCTTTGCGATCTTACACATTCGCAAAGTTCTCCATCATGGATTCATGCGGTGCTCCACAACCTCAAACGAACAGAGATCTAACCAGGAAGTTACGGTCACTCACATATTGGGATATCGACGGAAAATATCTTTGATGACAATAATTGCTTCTTGGACAACATAATTGACTTTGATTTTGATAAGCTCAAGTAGTACGTTGATGCATCGCTCGGCAGCTCGGTCGAGCTTGATGGCACATCGACCAATAGCACGAACTGCCTTACGAACAAAGTCCACATCCACTTCGGTGGCGTACTCCTTGAACTCCAGAAGAACCTACCATCTCAAAAGGAAGAGGGAAACAGAGTCAAAACATATTGGTCAAGAACGGCATTTGAAACAACCCGCAAGCTTCGTGAATCATTTCAACCTAAAAGTTCAAATATCTTGATGACATCCACTTCAACTGATCAACAAAACGAAGTATTTAGACAACAGAAAGCACACCTGATCAATATTACGGTCAGACGCCAGCTTTATCATAATTTCCAGCTTTTCCATTTTCACGTATATAGGATCATTGTACTTGCAGAAAAACACCTGTGTTACAATGAACAACGTCTCCGAAAGTGAGCCCCATAGTCAAACTCTGTAGAAGAAATATCATCTCATAGACGGCAAAACACTTGCTGCTGTCGACTTTCCTTCATTACCTTGATTTCATGTGCTAGAATACTAGGCCGGCGTTGAACAATAAGATTGATGTTGCGTAAAGCCACATACTGTATTTCCGGCTCTGCCGAAAGAAGTGTAACCAATGGAGGAGCCATCTTCTTGCACAGGTTACGGACTACATCAACACTAGTTATGAGCTCCATCTGCTGTAGAATGACCTGCAACAATATTGTACAAAACGCGGTTCAGTCACTCCGGAGTCACACGACAGATATGAACTAGCAACAGAACACTTGCGAAAGTTCATAACGTGACTATTTCCTGCAATGCTCAATGCTCAATTCGACTTGGAGTTGGTTCAACTACAGAAGAACTCAGACACCAGAGAAAACACAAAGACGAGTGACGAGTAATCGCGATTACTGTCGGGTCCCCAGCATTCAAGGTATACGTGATGTCCGCAAGTCCGGTAGTCAAAATTTTAAGCTTTCATAACAGCAAGTCAACTTGCATTTGAAACCCCTCAGAGAAAAAAGGCCAAGAATGGTTATCCGACTTCCTGAAAACGAAACCCGCTTACCTTCACTGCGGACAATACTACAGCACAATTTGCGTGCTGCAGACGTGGAGTCACACGTTCTACAATGTTCTCTGCATCACGCGCATCCTTTGCCTTGTACTTGGAAAGAGCGTCCAGTATGAAGACTTGGCCCCATCTGCACAAGAATTTGAACATAGCTACTACTCTTCAGATGGCAACTTGTGCGAGAGTAACAGCTTCCGTCGCTTATGTAGCATTAATTGTCAACTGAACTCAAGGCTTTGACTGTCATGGCCAGAAGGCCACAAACCCCAGTCCCTGTACCAGTGTTGAAAGTTATAATGTACGATGAAGGAAAAGAAATGATGAAGGAGGAATGACTAACGATAAGAGGGTCTCTTGTGAAGTGGGATACATAATAGATAAATAACTTTAATCAGAGAGCCCATCAAGGTAAAACGCCATCTTACTTACTCGGTACATTCATTCAGGGCAGCCAACAGCTTGAACAAAGTGTGGTTGGTGATTTCGAATATAAGTTTACTAGAACCCTCCTGAATCTCGGCAAGAGCTGCAACAGCGTTTGCAACTACCATCGGGTTGCTGTCGGATATCATATCCTTGAGTGCTTCAAGAAATCCTCTGTCTTCCACCAATTCTGCATTGATATCATGCAATTTGGCCACACAAACGGCTGCGGTCTTGCGGACGTAAGGATCCTCATCCTGCGCGCATGTAACCCAGCGAGACACGATATATTACACACTGCTCTGATAGTTTAGCCAGAAGAACTGGAAATTCGCCAACGTGGTCATACGAATGCTCCTGATCTTCTCTTTGGCAGGCAAAATAATGTACCATCACCCTCACTACATACTGTGACTGGCAAGCAGAGAGAAGGGTGAGGCGCCGACCTTGAGACACCTCTGAAGGGGATCACACAGGTACTCGGTAATCTTATCCACTCTAATGCACCCCATGGTTCTGACCGCCAAAGCCCGTATGAGAGGGTTCGGATCTTGAGAGTCCTGATCATAAAAGGAGAAGTCAGAAGTTACGTCGGTGATAAAGGACTCACAGCGCTAACACACAAACAGCCTCCGCTTTTGCATTTCTATACTTTGCCCTGCGAAAATTCGAGACAAACCTGATGGATGCCATCTGATTCAGCGTTATAAGTTCAGCATTGTCTTATCCCGCTTCCTCTATGTCCACTTGGTGCTCAACGCATGCTATATGCATCTCATAAGTTTCTAAAATCATTCAATCTATAATCTTCGCATGCTGCAATCATGAACCGGAAGTTGAAGCTGCCTGACCTTGACAAAAGTGTTGACTGCAAGGATTGCCAGATCGGGATGACTCTTGGCATAGTTGATGAGATAGAGATAAACCAATTTCTTGAGTTCCAAGTTTTCGGTTTGCATACAGTTGACGACATCTGTGAACAGCATGGACACATCCTTGCCGACTGTCATAGCAGCAATAACCTTTTTGACGGCATCCTTCTTCTTGTCCTGCGGCACCAGGGATCCAAGTCAGCTGCATTGGACATACATTGCACCCGAATTCCCTAAATTGCAAGCATATTTCGATCATGAAACCTCTCCCCCACATTTCACCCGGATCCGCGCACCTTGTACTGCGAATTGAGCTCTTCCTTGAGCTCATGTATTTCTCCCTTCTTGGTAGTGGTGAAATACTTCGAATCGTGCCCACTCATCGTGCCCTATCACCAGACCTCAGATTCCCGGGGAGCAATCCAATCGATCGATCCAACTCCGCCACGCTCCCTGTCAAATGTCCATTCTAATCCCTGCTCTGTCTTGCCTCCCTCGCCCTCGCCCTCTTTCCTTCCTCCCCTCGACCTTCGATCGACCAAATTGTCGATAGTCGAGCTGCTGAAGGCGAAGACGCTCCGACGCCTTTCTCACCTTTCTTTCTTTCCTGCAACATCGATTGACGGACGCGGACGGCTCCAAGTCCGACCACAGTACATGCCTGAAGTATATACAACCATAGCACGGCTGACCCATTCTTGCTCTTCCTCGAACCACGTTACATGTCTTCCCTAGCCCAACCCGACCATGGTAGCTGCATTGGGAGTCTCTCAATTCCACATTCTTTACTAACCAGTCCATTATTATTTCCGATTGCGTTTCAATCCTGATCTGGCTTATTACTTATGATCACATGTGAATCTGAGACGAGATTAGATGCAGGTCATGTTCACATGGGTTGAACGCAGGGTAGTAAAGTGCATATAGATTTTCTAGCTTAGAGGTATGCAAAAATCTCCTTTTTTTTCTTCAATTATTGAATTAGATAAAAGTTAGACAAACTCCCATTTAGACATGTTTGTGAAAAAATGCTACCATATTAAATTTTGTGTATATTATTTCTTATTGAAAATTTGAGTTCATATAAAAAACATAATTTAAGGTAATTGTATCCATTCTATGTAAAACAAACATCCTAACACTAATCGTAAGAAAAAAACCGCATTGGTTTATGTCTAGTTAAATGTTCATGTTGTTGTACATTATATTACCTAGATAACTTTCATATATTGTATGCAGTATAATATTTTGTATGATGATAATGATTGCTTATTTTTGTATATACTACACATTCTCTTCACAATTTGATTAAAATTTGGATTGTGATAGACATTACCTCTATGATTAAGCTTATACAAGTCCCTTGGATTTTAAGCCAATCTTGTTGTTATCTATGTGGCAATTTTTTAAAACTAAGAATAATCTTAGCCATGCAACATTTAGAAGCATATTTTTATCACATATATCTTGTTTGAAATTGCTAACTTCAACTTGATAATTGTATCATAAAATACATAATTTTATCACAAGAAGAAACTTTATATCTCCTAACAAATAAAAACCTTGAAAATATTTATGCCAATTTGATATTTTAAAAAAAATCACTATCATTTAATCATTAATTCAAGATTTTGTCAATGTAACTTGTGCATATGTTTTATTAAAATAAAAATCATAACATTAATCATTTTATGTATACACATCATATTTTGTTAAAATCAAAGGTCATTGGTTAAAAAATTTATGAGATTTTAACAAAATATGATGTGTATACATAAAATGATTGATTATTGTTCTGCAGATTTAATAGTTTTCAGTTCAAAATCATTCTAATATGTCAAAATATCAAACAAATGCCATGATTTTTGAAAATAATTTAAAAACTTGTGTTGTGTTTTATAATTGAAGCACCTTAAAAACAACTAATTATACCAAATTTTGAAGAAAAAATTATTTCTTATCCTTAACATATAATCTCCATTTTATAATATTCTGAAACAAATATTGAACAAATCTAAACTAGTGATAAAATTGTAGTGATTTCAACAAACTCTACAGCATAGAGCTTAATCATATATGAATTTCCGAGGTATTAAAATAGATTTTTTATATTTAATCCATCATACAAAGATATCTGGATTTTTTGCTTGTAAACTTCATCTCTAATAATAATGCCAAATCTCACTTCTGTTCCTCAATCTATCATGTCTTTATTGACAAAAATATAGATCATTGATCATGTTGTTTTATACTTTCAATGATCATGTTCTTTCCTTTACCACTTTTCAGCTTTCACTTTTGCACCACTATCGTGACCATTAATGATTTTCATTTCGTCCACAGTCTACGAATGAGCATTCATGCAAAATAAATCAATGTTACTGAAAACTTTTTATTAATAAGAAAATGTTGTTATTTAATCATCACACTGTATATTCTTGTGTTTCTGGTGTTGAACATATTAATGAAAAAGAGGCAAGCATGTCTTTTGCCCCAAAGACGACATTAAAAAGCACACATGCATCTTCAGGCACATATCTACAATCATCAAAGACACTTAGGTCTTATCCTTCTGAGTAATTCTTTTTCCTTGAAATTTTTGCTACATCCCAACCTTGTGTGCACACCTACCCAATCTTCTGCCATACGAAAGTTATGTCTTGCGCACAAATTGACTCAAAACATTACACATCTTAGACACCAACACAAGTAAATCATCATCGACAATTTATTGATGATTACGATAGATATCAGGCCTTACGTAGTTAATTCAACTTTAATGATTCTAGTCCAGAATATGATACTCTTTGTGCAGCTATGATCAAGAGGGCAAAATGTGACATGTCTTCTAAATTAAGGTGGTATCTACCACTCTTGCCTAGTATCTTAATCTAGTATTGTATACCTTATTCCATCAAATCCACGACTACATTCAGATATATGCCGGCATGGTTATATAAGTCAGTCTCCTTAACTACCTAAATCAACTTAATTTAGTCTCCTCAAGAAAGTTGGTTTAGAGGGTCTCCTTAACTACCTAAATCAACTTAATTTATTCTCCTCAAGAAAGTTGATTTAGAGGCTTTCGTGTTAAAAGTAATTTGACTGCACCAAGAAAGTTAATTCAGGCGCTTTGGTGTGAAAAGTCGTTTGAGTTAACTTGAGAGAGAGTGTTTGGGGTTGGGAGGTACAGTAGTCTCCCGGTTAAGTACGCACCCGTTTTAGGTGCGCTTTTTTTTGCACAAAAATAGGGTTCAACCCATGACATGTCGTTCATTTGGTTTATGGTCAAAAATTTTTACTCCTCCTAGTGGTTGTCTCATATCTGATTAGATGCGTGAACCTCTAGTGGCTCATATATACTCTTTAACATTAAAGACAAACTCTCATAGTAAAGAAAAAAGCAAGCCACTATGGCAAAATAAAGAAAAGATTATATCATCTTTTTGAGGTTTTAGATTAAATTGGATTGTAACAGTTAACGTTGCTAGAGTCCATGATAAAATTTCAAATCATTCTCCTAGAAGCAACACCTTTTACAACTCACTTGGCAATTACAAATATGTGCTGGAGTTCATGTATGAAATCAATAAACTCAATGCAATATTTTTTTGTTTGGCGGTGTCAATAGATGTTAGAAGAGTGAGATTACAAAATCTTCTCTTTAACTTCATCATACATTAACTCAATTTAGCTTCGTGATTTGTTCCATTTGTTTCATCTTCATGATCAAGCCACTTGCAAGTTAGATGGAATCATGATTTTGGTCAGTTTCTCTATGATATCAAATAGCGCCGAGTCATTTAGGAGTGTCCTCATCTTCATGATCAAGCCACTTGCAAGTTAGATGGAATCATGATTTTGGTCAGTTTCTCTATGATATCAAATAGCGCCGAGTCATTTAGGAGTGTTCATATAAGGTTCCTATGACATTACACTCAAATCAATCGATTAGGAAGTCAATATTCTTCAGTACGCACCTCCGATTAAGTACGCACATCACTCCCGGGTTCAAAGCGCGTACTTAACCGGGAGACTACTGTACAGGGAGAAAGAGTCACCATCAACTGGCCTGCAGTTAATTTAGGCGCCTCAGTTCGCCTAAAACCATGCCGGGATATATGACTAACGTTTATACCCAGTAATCCATTCTAACTCCTACAAGTCTTGCAACTTGTCACTCTTCTTTTCAATCATACCTCTCGATTCGATACCTCACGGAGAAAGCACAATACCACAGCAGCATGTCCATTACACGTCTCCTCTTAAGTACTCATGTCCATGATAAATAGGTGAGTACCAACTTTTTGACCCGCGTAACTTCGAAAGTTTCTGTATATGTATATGCTATTTGGAGTTATATATATATACACGAAACTGAAGTTTCTGTATATGTGAGGACGGTAGCTATACCAAGAAGTTCCTGACCAGACATTGGCTATTACCCCCACATAAAATTCAAACTTGCCTCTGTTTGTATAGGTAGTCTAAACTCATGGAGGCAAGGGAACGGGCAACGCAAGATCATATCCTCTTTCCAAAACCGCTACTGCTAAACAAATTGTGCCTAACGCTTTGTCTCACGCTTTGATCCGCCGTTTCACCACGAAAAATTCGCCATCTCGACGTCCACTATCGTTAAACTTGTACTCAGCGATATTGGAGACTGACATAGCAAACCTGGTGGTGATTAGGACTTCCCTAAACTGCCGAATCTGAGATATATGATGATCTACTAGAGACAGTAAAACGTCGAAGCATCCATAAGATTGCACCTCGATTTTCATGGAATTAAATGAAAACAATAGAATATTGGAGTTAGAACTTCTGAAGTCAAGAGTGTAGACAGAAACGGAAAAAAGAAAGAAATCGGAGTGTTTGGAAAAAGACCAGGAGAATTTTCCGACAGGATATTCCAAGGCGAAATTCACATATAATACGAAACTTTGAAGGACGTGATATCGGCAACATAACCAAGTTTTGATGCGGCCCACAGATACTGAGCTATTGACATGTCACTGTCAAACTCCGCACCTCACGATCCAGCTTTTCCTCCGCCACTAATTACAACAAAGCTTCTCTTGATCCCGTGTTTGTGAGATGTATTACAATTTTGCCAATGTTTCATGACGATACACATCCTCAAGGATTGAATGATTCCTAGACCTAGATCGCTGGGTTAAACATATAACTTTACATATTCTTCACACATGTGAAGAACTACTTCAATGTTCCTCAATTCGTACCCAACTGTTAAGGATACCGGATTCGAGGAACCTGCAAGACAATGCTACTCTGATTTTCATCTAAATAAGGCCAGCCAAGTTCGTGCAACTAAAAGACACTATGCTCCGAAGCACCGGCCAATCTGCCACAAGACCTACCTTCCTCGCCTTGGACTCAATTGAAGTTACTCCTTGAACATCCTTCTAGAGCTCAACTCGAGACGACATATGAAAGTTCTCCTGATAGTGACTAACCTCCACGCCGATCTGTACAAAAGGTCAATTTACAAATTCACAGCCCTTGCCGAGACATCGGGATCATTATCCAATTCTTCATCTTCCCCAAGCTTCCCTGAGCCAGTCTGAACACAAAAAATATGAATGTTAGATTCATGTACATTCCCGGCGGAAACAGACTTTTGAAATTACACTAAAACTACGAATATAGAGGACCGTAAGGACCGACTTCTGTAGCAATATTTGGGCTCTGCAGTAATTCGAAAAGCGTCTGAAGGGATCAGCCAACTAAAACCAAAGAAGATACGCAAATACTGACAAAACTTCATTTACCCTCATGACTCAGGTGCATTAACAAGCCTGGAAAGAAATTGACTTCACAACGTAGAAAAGTCTCATAACAATAATTCTTACACACTGCAACTAACGATATCAAAGGAACAATATCGAATGAGAGTCAATGTACTAGCAAATATTAGAAGTGAGGCCTTTACTTAGAAACAGGCAAAGCTATATGTTACCAAATATCATGCTCTCAAAAAGGATTTGCTCTGCAAAAGATACTATCTCGTTATCTGCTGCAAACGTAAGTCTCTTCAGCTAAAAATCCTGGCCGTACCTCAAGGTGCAATACCTCAAGTAATAAAAGGTAGCATATTGGCTGCTTTTGTTCAACGAGAAAAACAATCCAGCTTCACACATCACAAACTCGGTTTTGACCTCGGTATATACAATATTAAATCCTTTCACACTACCACAGCTGGTAACTGCCATCCGACGCCGGCAAGATCCATATAATTCACCAGGCAATTCATTCACTCCACGTAATGTGGCTTCAATACATATCGTCACAAACTCGGCTGCTTCTGCCGTGTAGAATCGGCAGACTTACAAAAGGCCGTTTACCGCCCTCAGAAGTGCCGATAACACGAAATTTAGATAAGATCTGGCGGTTTTAGTCTCATGCTGAGCCAACTCCAAGCAGTTCCATGACTTCAATTACCTGCGGCTCCTTCTGTTTCTTTGACTTTGACAGGAATTGCTCCAAAGCACCCTCTCCACGCAGAATTTTGGCACCAGGTCCTTGCTTGTCCGGTGGACCCACCGCATCCTCATCAAGAACCACTGCGTCTATCTTTTCTTGAGTTGTCGTTACATCTGGGACCTGAAAATATAAACCACAACCAAATTTAATTGACTACCTATCAATTCAACGCAACATCAAACTTTGTACATTTAAAAGCTTAGAATCCGAGGAAAACACCCTTTTGACAAACAACTGAATAACGTGATCAAGCAGGGAGAAAAACAAGCATAGTATTTTGCTTGTGTGTTGATACTACCCTTTGGTTGTCCAAAGGAGCATTATCAACACACAACCAAAATAGAGACATCAACTGACGTTTCCTCATAAAAAAATGACGATGTACTAACTCGGTAAATGCTTACCTGATACATCGCTTCAGTAAGAAGATTTTCCATAATAGAGCGCAATCCTCGTGCACCTGTATTCTTCACCATAGCCTTTTGGGCTATCTGACGAAGTGCTCCGTCAGTATAGTGAAGCTTTACCTGCAAAACAAGTACGGCAGATTTGTGAATTGATATCAAATAATTCACATCCATATCTGGTCGTTCATAACATGAAAAAGCACTAAACGCGATCAAAATGCAAATACATACATCAGGTAGCATGGGTCGTCGTCTCATTCGTGGTAAGCAAGATCCATGAAAAAGTTGGTGCAAGTCAATCACATATCTCATATAGAAGGTGGAAACTTACATTGTTCATTGAAAACATTTTCTTGTACTGCTTGCCGAGAGCATTCCTTGGCTCTGTTAGAACCTGTCATGCAAGACAAACTGCGATTCTAAGTATTCGCCTGTGGGTGAGCGGAGCTTTAGAAAAAAGAAAAAAAAGGAAAAACAACAGGACACGAATGTGGGTAAGAGAAAAGGGAGGTCAATTGCCGGCGGGGAGGGTCGCTCTAATAATGGACTAATCTCGTAAAACAACCAAACTAGCCAAATCCCCTGCCTGTGAGGAAATAAACTGTTTGTCTCCTGGTAATTGACTACATGATTATTCTGCAATTATCATATTGACAAAAAGTTAAAGTTCCTACTAAGATTGATAGATAGGCTACAAATATTTTAGATGTGAGTATGAAACTTCCAATCTGCCACCAGCGTTAAGCATTAGGAATATTGTCATAGCAGAAAAATGGCAAACCAGAAGATAGCCCTGCATGGGGAATGCTTTGATTATTTCGCCCTTCGAAGGTCTTCATAACTGCTTTTGGGTATTGGAAAAAATGAAGAATATAGTTTTCAGATGAGGGCCAAACCTGCACAAGCTGGTCCTCGTTCAGAGCCGCAAGACTAACAAGAACTGGAAACCGACCAATAAATTCAGGAATCAGCCCATAAGCAATAAGATCACTGCTCTCCACCTGCACAGAGGAACATCACACAGAGAAGTTTCAGACTAAGTCGAAGGTGCGGCAGGACTGAATCATATACTACCCAGACAATGACTAGCTGGTTCTTTATCTTCGATTTCAAAACTATAACGTACACAGCAGTAGGAAATGCTTAAACTAGACGATATAATAAGCATTATTGTATAATTATATTCACTACGAACAGCGGGATAATTATCTACTAATGCCGTTGCGGATGCAAATTTCGTGGGTCACCGTTTCCAGCAGGGATGACGTCAGCGCAGCATCAGTTGGCCTGTTGCCTCTCATACTAGCACGAACTGGCGCCCCAAAACCTATGGATGAATCTTGCCTCCTACATCAAAGAAAAAGACGAGTAAACGACATGCTGGAAATGCTTTAGGCAAATAGCGAAGAAGCTGAAAGCTTTCGTCTACGCAACCTACGGGTCCTTTAAACGATGGTACTCCATAATATTGACTACTCTTACCTCTCCGCTATAGTCTTCTCTAACTCCACAAATGCTCCTCCACAAATGAAAAGAATATCTTTGGTGTCCACCTACAGAAACAGAGAACAAATCACAGTTATTGACTGATTGGTACAACCTTACTGACGCCCGTCTTGGGGTCAACCAGTCGTTCATGATGGAAATAGAATTGAACTTGTAGATATATAGCTTTTTTGATAATATCAGCAACAACGCTTCCAAACACATATACAATGGAGCAGATTCCAAGATATGAGGAAGACTCACCTGAATATGATCACCTCTAGGATGCTTGCGAGCTCCTTTCTCTGGTACATTTACAACCTGTTGAATTGAAAATATAGCTCAAGTTCAAGTAAACCACGATAATAGAGGAGCTAACTAAGTATGAAGACAAGCTGGACTTTGGTATATGATTGGGACGAAATCTGTCGTTATTTCGAGTTGAATTGGACAGTCATAAATTGTAAATCGTCTGCAACTGAAGCGATAATCGTAGTAGAAATGACTTAAAGAACTTCAAACTCTTGAGTCGCTTTGTGACCCTCACGACTGTACAGGAGAGTCAAACATTAACTGTCCCTCAGATTGGCATTTTGACACACTAATCTATACCCCCTGCAGGCCGGATAGTGACACTACCTGGAAGCGCAAACTCCTGCAGTGGTTCAGAATTAGTTTGCTTATTATCTTCGGAACAGTTACACCCGAGATATAATTCATGGGACAAATAGCTAGAACTGACATCTAACTCATGTATGATCTTTCACGAGAGATTTGTCGGAATATTATTTCCAAGCGATGAATAAAGATAAAAGAAAAAATTGAAAAATTGGACTGAAAGGCAATCGACGGATTACTTGTACACAAATCTCTAGCAAAATACTGGAACGTCAAATAAAGAAAAACTATCAGAGAAACTTATGACGAGTGCCAAGGCCAACTCCCGGATAAGAAAGACGGCATTCTGAAGAATTATTCTGACTACTCGCCTTGGTGGCCTGGCTTGGTTGTGTTTCCTTTCTCTCACTACTGAAAAGATTTCTAATTGTAAAGCAGTGCGTCTGCCACAGTTTCAATACTACGTCAAAACAGTTTCGAACTATAGTTACAGCTGCTTTATAGAACTAAAAATCTCTAGCCTCGATCATCCGTGATTGGTTTTCCCCATCAAAACATTCATGAGACAAACTTTTATGCTTACATACGTCTGATGCAATAAACGCAGGCATTGATTAAGGTTTAAGATACCGAATGCACTCGACACTATACCGATTGGGCCAAAGGCTCCTTAGACTTCTCGAAAATTAATCTTTTGGTTCAGGTCGAAATATCGGAAACCAATTTCAACTCATTGTGACTAACAAAAAATGAAGAAATCTCAGAAGATCAGAAGGTCATCAAAAAAATCATGGCTACAGACCAAATCACAAGGGTGAAACGGGATCATAGAGATCTTGGGAGACAAACAGACTGTACGGAAGCCTCTAGCGTTCAATCCTGTTAGTTAGGTGTGACAATCATGGCGTTCCTTCGGTATCATAGAACCGTACCCAACCTTAACACCACGAGATGACCACAGTCCGACATTTTCACAGCCGGTGGCGGGCTGGAAAGCGATTCCGTTTCGAGCTTCTCCTCGGGGCTTCCTAAAGTTTATGCAAACCTGGTCACCATATTTCGTAGCTCAGAGTTGAATATAGATCGTTCATATTTCTAAACCTCTGTTCGCCAATTTGGAAGAGCAATTAACCTTCCTGCTGAGCTCGGGCTAAATAGAGGAATGATCGTATCAAGAGCTGTTTGAGATATCAATTTCTACGTCCCCTCATTGTGAAAACCTCTCGCGGGCAGCACGACGTAATCAACGGTGCAGCTTTCATCTTCTATACATTCATGGCCGCAAAATGCTGAGTAGGCAAGTAGCCTGAATAATATAGTTCATCTTTCAAATATGAGCTTTACGGGTAGTTTCTGACAGAAAGAATCGAGTGAAGACTAAAAAGACCAACGGTGGGCAGTTTCAACGACGACGAAAAGACATACAGCTGCCATACTGCGTAAAAATTAAGAGGGGCAAGGAAGAATACATCGGAGAGTTCTATTTCTATTAAACATCTAAGTAACCAGAAACAAAGGATAGAGGGCCAGGATCGATTTCGTCACGCACAGAGGAGTTAACGAGGGAGTAAGAGGTCTAGTGCGGAGCCAAAAAACAGCACGCGGTAAAACTTGAATGAATGCTATTGAAGAGAACCGCCACAATCTGTTTAGTGTTGATAGTTGAAAGTATGCGGACCTGGGGTGTATGAAGCAGACATTGATTAGATTCCGTTGAATGCTTATCCACCAAAGGTTCAGCGGTAAACCCATTGGAAAACATCAATCCAAGACAAAAGGATGGAATGTTTCCATCTGACTACTAAAAAGTGTTCACTACTTTAGGGTGAACTTCAGACATCAAGGTTTGAGCGAGTGTACGACACTGTAGCATCGTCAAGACAATGAGGGATTGAGGGATTGTCCAAAAATTTAGTCATGAACAGGCAAAATGAGTTGACTACTAGCTTAAAAAGTAAGATACAAGATGGCCAGCTTGGAAAACCAGTAGCTGAGTAGGCCCTCCTCATGGGTTTCCATAAAAAGCAAGATTGGCAGTTTTGAGGGATTAACACAAATCACGTGATGTAACTTGATAAGGAAAATTCTTTGTATTCACACTCAGGCACGGAGAGGTATATACCAACGGACACAGTTCAGAGAATGTACTTGATCGACGAATTAAATTTCCTCGCATTAGGATGACTTGTGCCAAAATGACTTCCGACCACGACGCAAAACTTCCATTATAACTACAAGCGGAGAACCCAAGAGAACACTTACAGTTCCTTCCAACATCTTCAAAAGTGCTTGTTGAACACCTTCTCCCGAAACATCCCTGCTTATGTTTAAACTTTCGGCCTGCACCAACTCCCAGTGCCTTATACATCAGCTTCCATGCAAGACCTAGAACCAGTCAAAATATTGTAGAATGGAATCAAAGTTGGTTTTCTAGCTGACTCTCTCAACGAACACTCTTGAAAAGAAAGGTCGTAACAAAAGTACGAACCTTCTTTGTGATCTTGTCCACCTCATCTATATATACAATACCCTGTTGTGCTGCTGGAACATTGAACTCAGCAGCCTTTTAAAATACGACACCAAACTGTTAGTTAATCGGATTCTGTAGTTATAAGAGCTCCCCATATAGCAAAACCACTAACGAAAAATTAGCAAACTTAAAGTCGATGCAAAACTTGGTTTCAGATTCTAAAAATGTTGAAAATCTCATGCTTACTGCAAATCCTAAGTGAACGCGAAAAGGACAAACTCTGATGCCTACAGAAAAAGAAAATTGCACATACCATAAGCAGCTTGTAAAGTATAGACTCCACATCTTCTCCAACATATCCAGCCTGAGCAAGACAATATACACCAATATTACTGGTTGGTTATTTTAAATATAGAGGAATCTGGCGGAAGCATACAGTGGGACTACGCCAAAACATATATATTTATGAACAACGCTTACATCATGAAACGACAAGGTTCCCCCTACCTGAGTGAGGGTGGTGGCATCCGCAATCACAAAAGGAACATTGACAAATCTGGCCAGCGTTTTCGCAAGAAGCGTCTTTCCTGTACTACCAAGTAAGCCAAATTTCGTTAAGACGAGAAGTTGATACACATGAAAGTCATTAGATATATCCGTTGTTCAGGTTAGCAAAACTACACTGGATTCAATTCCTCGTTTCATTTGGAGCTTTTGAGGAAAAAAAATGTAAATGTGCGTTGTTCTTGAAACATTCTTATCTCAACTCATAGGCCAAGACGATGATCATTGATATGTTTTAGATACAATAGGTATTCAGCTGAACATATTTGTGAAAAAACCAAGTGACTAAGGCCAGCACCTGATCCTGTAGGTCCCATCAATAGAACGTTGCTTTTTTCGAGTTCAACACCGTCACTTTCCTCGGAGTCTTCATCGTAAAGACCTCCCGTCGAACTACTGAGTCTACGATCCACAAATCAGACAGTTTGTGGTACACTTCAAATATTGTTGCGACCAAATGGGAGCAAACAAAAGGAATTGAAAACATCCTGACAATTACGTGCCATGCTATAATATTTCGCCTGGAAAACATATTTCATGACGAGATGTACCCTTCGGAATTTGAAGGCTTGAAGTTGGCTTTACGCATGGATTCGAAAAAAATGCGCTTGTAATGGTTGTACACAGCAACCGCTAGGATCTGGAGAAAAGACGGTTAGACATCAGAGCTGCAAGTACACTTGTAGGACGAAGATATGCAGGCGTACCTCGCGCACCGCTCGAGTCCTTCTACGTATGGAAAAAAATCCGTGAGTAATGTGGTAGTCAAAAGCTTTACAGGTGGCATTCATTTGATCAAGATTCGTTTAAGCTCTTGATCTGATATTGAACTTCGGATTTCTATTACGTCTGGTAGTCCACTTCATAACGAACAAAAGCCAATTATTGCTCATGCTACTGTTACAGTCTTAACTTTATCATAACTGTAAGTAACAAAACAGAAATGCAATACACATAGCAAATAGGGACTGAATGCTCAACTTTGTAAAGATAAAGCGAGCAGGAAAACCAGAGCACAATAGACTTCAAAAAATTGGTGGTAGGAGTTCAGTACTCTCCGATGCGTTCTGTGTTTAACTTACTTTTTTCGCTCGCTCTTGCCCAACGACAAACTTGTCCAGGGCGGCACAAATTTCTTTGGGTGTGGGAAGCTCTTTGGTGCTTCCATTTCCTGCCCAATTCTCTCTTGTTCCAAAAGCACCACCCCCGCCAGAACCACCTGTTCCAGGCTGAGCTCGAATCAAATTGGTGTTGGGAGGGAAAGGCGGGTTAGGTGGTGCTGGCACTGCAACTGCAGGTGGCAAAGTGATACCAGGTCCCTGGTGCCAGTGTTGAGGTATATCCCCGTGTCCATGCCTTCTAGATGCTTGCCACCTTGCGGACTCCAATATTAAATTATCGAGTTGAATCTTATCTACGATTGAAGCAGGTACCAAGCTGTTTTCAGCATAAGGCTTGGAGCTGTCACTCCTACCTTGATCTTGATTCGTAACAGTTGCAACAGGTGCGACGGATAGACCTCTTTCTTCTCTTTTCCCATCTTGTAAAGTCACAGTTTGCATCTTCTTCACGCCTGCAGTTCGTGCCTGGCCTGACTTGCCTTGCTCCCAGGAAGAAGAATTGGAGTCATTATGCTTTTGAAACATCATGGGCAGGGTATGGAAACCATTCGAATTATGTACAATTGATGAATGAGAAGAGGTGGGAGCCACTGGACTAGAGAAAGAGGAAGGAAAGGAGGGCATTAGGGTTCGTGCGCTGAGCCTAGACGATGAAAGTCCACTTCCACCACGTCTTGCGCAATTCCCAGCTGCCGCGCTCAAGGCAGCTTGCAACTTTCTCCATCGGACCAGCGCCATTCTGGCAAATTGAACCGCGAGTGCAAGGGACAATTCTCGTCTTCGACTCAACGCAACTCAACTCCCTCCCCGCATCATCGAGGCATCTGTTCCGCCAAACGAGTCCAGCAAACAACAGAAGAAAATTGTTAATTCTGGTTCCAGCCACAAAGTTCGCTCCCAGTGGAAGAATCAGAGATCATCAGAAGTGCAAAAAAAATTGCTAGACGCTCCGAGGTCGAAACTCACCAATCTTCGGAGGTAATTTAGACGTCCGGCTATTATCCCAATTGCATCGGCAACAGACGCAGCGACGAGAAACCGTCACGAACTCTTGGAAAAAGTGCCAGACACCCTAGTGGCTCAGAACCCGAGAGAGACAGGGACAGAGGGACAATAGGACTGAATTTTATCTACCCGGTGTAAATAGCAGTCCACATTACACAAAGAGACACTGCGAAATCGGCAATTTCTTCGTGCAACCGGCCACCCAACCACTTAGCCCTTTCTGCCCTCCCCTCAAACCGGTGTCATCGCTCCCCGGCTCCCTCGCGCTCTCCACACAAATCGAATGCTCCCAAAGTGACATGAACAGTTAAGCGTCCGGGCAACACGCAATTGCCGAATTCACCGTCGCAATCCCAAGGCAGTCGAGCGTCGAAGTAAATCAGATCACCGTAAGTACCCACGGATGAGGGAATGACAAACAATCAGGCCCCTTGATTCCCCGAATGTCTCCCTGTCTGTCGATAACGAAGCACGCGAGGGAGAACGAAAGCACCGCAGGCCACGAAAACAAAATAGGGGAGATGTTTCCTGTCCAGGGGAGGGGAGCGGAGGGGAGGAGGGCGTCCCCTTTTACGACGTCGTTGCCGAACACAGTACAGTAGAACTCCCCCGGCGACTATGACGTGGTTGGCCTCCTTTCCTCCTCCATACTCTTTAACTACAGTAATGTGTTGTTACTGTAGTTAAATGCAGTCTGCATCTGCGTCTCATTTCTGAACAGTATCCGGCACTCACCAGCGTGCCGGATACTGCTTCTCATACTTTGAAGGAGTCGGGACGCTCTGATTCGTCGCTTTAAGAGCTCCACGCGGCGCTCTCATATACATCAGACCTGTCTTGTATCCTCGTCAGCGTGTAAGGACCAACCAAAGTATGCATTTCGAGGTACTCCCCTCCAAGATAATCCTGAGAATGATGAGCTAGTTTTTGTATCGCTTTATAGTCAAAAACCATAGAATTTAACAAGTTTACGATAAGCCTTTCCTCTGTTTGTAATGGGCTATTTGTTTAGTCTCCTATCGCTGTGATAATAGTGCGTGTACAAGAATTACGGTTGTATTGTATCTATTACCGTAATTCTTGAACGGGCAATTCTACCATAGCTAAGAGTATTTTGACATGGCTGTCGAGAACTTGGTTTTAGAGCACAAAGTGCTGTATTGTGTCAAGACAATACAGTCATTTAATACCTCAAAAGACTAAGGAATAGGCAAATACGATTTAGGATGAAATATTGAAAGATTCGAAGAAAAGCAAAGTTACTGTTATGGTCAATACTGGTCTCTATATAGTTTCAACCTCTTTTATGTAAAATTGCAGTGTACTGAAGCTTTACGGCTCTTCGGCTACGCTCTTAAACAAGCAAAAATTTCGTTGACTCGCAAGAAATCAGGGTTCCAATATCCAAACAACATTTAAAAAAGCTGCTGGTTATATATGTCATGAATGTAACAACATCTTTGGTTAACTGAATGCATATATAAAAGACTCCTGTGCAATTAATGGCGTTCGACCGGCCATCAGCAATGTAGGTCTATCCAATTTCAAGAGTTAATTTTAATTCAGGATTTTGAATACAATCTCCAAATCTTATTTTTGATGTTGTAGTTATGAAAGAATAAATTAGCGCTTAATTTTTAAGTGTTTGAATCACAAGCTAGGTGATGCTCAACTGCAAATTTCTTGTGATAGAATCATGAGTGAAGAATATTTTGAGACTCAATATCTTACTTCAGAACCTCAAATTTAATCTAATGATAAGAATATAAAATTATCATAGTTGAAATTAACAATTGTTGCAAGTTAGTATCATAGCAGATTTTTTTTCATTTCCATACTGGGCAGAACATTCATAAAGTGAATACTGTCAACCTATGAAATTTTATTTTCAATTTCATTTGAATTAATGTAAAATATCAAATATTCATGAAATTTGTTAAACAAGCACAAGCCCCAACAAAATTGGATAAAAATGTTTGAAGGTTTTTTTAAATTCAAATTTTGACGTTCCAATTTTTCGAATTATATATCAATAAATATGATTTTTTAAATAATATTGATTAATTAATTAATATAAAACTATCAAATTAACTTTGTGATTTGCAATATTTAAAATGAAAAATTTTGATTATCTTGAAAAACTTACAAATTTTCAAATTTAGAATCTGTAATATATACAGCTTGATGATCTACGTTACATTGATATTTTCAATTATTTAAAAACTGAATCGCTTTTTCTAAAATGATACTTCTATATTATATCAGTTGAGAGCAAATTGAATGAATCTCTTCATGTATAATGATATTGATGAATGTAGTGAAATGTTGGAAACATATATTCAATTAAGTTAGTAACAATTTGATTTAAAATGATTTGTTGAAATTTAACATTTACTTAGGTTGTACTCAAATATGCATGTGCACTACAATGTGAAGAAAGTAAAGATCAATATAGCATGAACATACACATATTTTGTGTGTCTCATCTTGATTTTATGAATTTGTTTCACGCTTACTCGACATTAAACTTTACAAAAATGTTATAGTTATTATAGATGATAATTTTATACTACAAGTATATATTAAACTGTGTCTAAATTTGATTTTCGTCCCGCCTACTTACTTTATACACATTCTTCGGTTGCATTCGTTAAGAGTTTCCAATAGTCTTCATGTAGACTTTTTTCATTTTGACTTTTTTAGTTTATATGGTTACGTGTTGAGATCTTAGCATCCATTTAAAAAAATATTTTGAACAAAAAACATGAATCTAGATATCTTTGAATGAGTGACATAAATTACTTACTCACATACATTTTTTGGGTTTAAATATACAGCGTTTGATTACATAAGTTAATCAAACTCCTCACTTTAAATCTACACGTATGTAAAAATAACTTATCTGATTTTTATTTAACAAGGCTGCAAATCCACAAGATTTTTTTACAGAGGTTATTCTTCTTTTTGGAACACAGCGCCTTCTTAGCTGGGGTTCAAAGCACCAGAGAACTGTTGAGACGATGATCACTTCGTCCCTGCAATTCCGAGTTCGCAAACCAAGTGAATGTCTTTCCCTCGTTACCCTATAGTTACGTTCTAAAGTGTTACATTGATAAAAATCAGTATGTTGCGATGCCGATTTTTTCCGTCTGTTTTATCTCTTTCATACGTTTGTAGGTGTATACCATTTATTGAACATAATAATTTCTGTATTCAGTACTTTGTAAATAGTATCTGAAACACTGATCATAATTAACAAACGACTTCTTTGCAACAATATGGAATGTTTGAGCTTTTACAAATAAATAAATACACTTAAATTGTTGCAAGACCAACAAACTTATTATGATTTCCGAAAAAGAAATTGGGCATAACTGACATAAAATTTGGAAAATTTTAATAAAAATATAATTGAAAATATAATCTATTAAATATGTAATAATCTATTAAATATGTAATAATAAAAAATAAATTAATTTATCACATATATTTTTTTAACTGAAATGTGAGCTCAATATTCAAGTTGACTTTACGATTGATATTTAAATAAAATCTTAAACATTTCCTTTTACTTCCACGTTTGAATTCACAAAAAATTTCACTGGAAACGAATAATCACTTGAAATCAATCAATTTTTTTTCATCGTCCAATTCTCATATAATCATCATCATTTATATCCTAACTACATTCAACCAACATTAAATCCATGCAAATTCAACATAACGTTTATACTGTTCAAAGATTTCATCATTCTCTCTCGTGGTAATATCTCAAATTCAAATGAATTGATTACACTTATTTTGGAAAAAAATTGAAAATTTTTGCATATAAAAAAATGATGATAATATAGTAAGTAGTGATTGGCATTATTACGCGCTATGTTACGTACAATCTATCATGTTCATATAATTCCGTCCATAGGATTGATTGAAAAATACACTACAATCAAAGAAAGTATAATGATATTATTTCTACAATAATGTCAATATGCATATGACATACCATAAACACTAATTACTTTGTTTGCGATTGCCAGCTATGCAACTGTGTTTCACTTCAAATTTACATGTTCAGTATAGTCAAATAAAACTATACTACTTAGATTTCAAAGAACTTTGATATCTCTGTGCTAGAAGAATCACTTCCACTTGCTGGACACTTCTACATCACAAGAAGAAATTAAGGCAATTGTTGCACATGCAACTTATTTTTACGAAGGTAAACAGTTTTGAAGACAACTAAATAATTCACATAACATGAGTTAGAAATACCATTGAAAAAATTAAAATCTGGTTATTCAATAAGATGTAATAGAAGTTGGCTGGTTGTTCACATTCTGAAACCTAAGTGATCCACAGCAATCTAGTTTTTTATGTGTCCCTATATTATTATATGTTTGATGCGCATGATTAATAGGGAGCACAATAAATCAGTTATGGTACCAGTTGTGAAAGGTTCAACTTCAAGAATCATTTGAACATGTTATCTCAGTGCATGAGGATCAAAATATAATCATATGAGAGTGAAGAGTCACATCCGTTTCAGGCTAGATGAGAAGTACTACATCAAATGCCATGCAATCAGAAGACATTGATTCATTTCGTGAAGGAAGGAAAATTACTGTGCAGCTAACATTCAAACTAAGCAGCAAATTTTACCACTCATGTCTATATATATATTCCTGTTCATATCTATCTATCTATCTATCTAATTCGTATTCCAGTAGAAATTGCTCCAGTGTCACCAATGTTACAGCAGTTCAAGAGATTATATGCAAAGAACAAATAAAACCATGGCCACTTAATTGAACTAAAAACAAATTAACGTACATGAAACTGTGACTGGAGTATGCATGTAGAGAGAGTTTCTTATGTACGGAATTTGGATACGGTATACCTTCGGAGTTGCTGTACGTGATGCCATACGCTGACGAGGGAGGTACAGTACCACCAGAATCCAGTTGCCGAAGAGAGGGAACGAGCCATCGAGGAATCAAGCGCCTACCTTGCTGTGAATTTGATGCAATTGTCGGCCAGTCATGCGTCTGGCAGGTCTGAGTCTGGGTCTGGGTCTCGGCGGATTTCGAGCGTCGTCGTCTGCATCTTCGAGGTCCACCGTCTCAGCGTGCAACGATTTGACAAGCAGAAGACTTCTGTATTCAGACGGACATTGCTCTCTGCTCGGCAACCGTGGCCTCAAGCCGCGCCTTTCAGTCGGTAGCTGTGCAATTTCGGTGAGGGCTTCGGGCACGAGCACGGTCAGAAGCGGCAGTGGTTCTCGTGACGGTGAGAAGATGGCCCCCAATCAGGAGCAGATTGAAGCGGCATTTGGATCATGGCGGTCCCCTGTCACTGCTGATCTCGTCTCCGGAACCACCAAGCAGTTTGGAGGAAGTGCGCTGGATTCTCACGGTCGTTTGATATGGTGCGAGGGGCGCCCGTGGCAAAAAGGGTGAGGGCTACGTGTTCAGACTCTGTGATTTTGTAACGCATTGAGTCCGAAGAGGTGGAGGGGATATGGTGCCGGATAATCATGAGTCCTCGTATGTCAATTTGGCAGACATTCTTGGCAGAGATTTCTTGCAATTTTGAAATGCCGTGCTGAGCATTTGATTTTGCTATCGTTAGCAGGCTTTAACTCAATGCGATTTGCTCACAATTTGTCCCATTCAGGAGGTATGTGCTTGTCAGAGAAGGATCAGACTCAGGTGGAGCTGCAGAGGATTTGACTCCAGCTGGTTTTAGCGTCCGGACTGTTGTGCATGAATATGGTGGTGGTGCATTCACCATCAGTGACGACCTCATTGTTTTCTCGAACTACGAGGATCAGCGTCTGTACAAGCAAGCTCTTGATGGAGGTATATGGTGGCTAAAAGAAGATGCCTGATCGAATTTTTCGATCAGGCATTCACGAATGCTTATCTTGACTTTATGCCGTCTCTGAGTTGGCTGTTGCACGAGGGCAAGAAAATGTTGTTTTGACGACTGCATCTTCTTTCTATAGAGTTTTTTTTTTGGAATCAGTTTCCACAAGTTTTGAATTCTGTTGAGATGTTTTTGGTAAGTTTGATCTACGAGGCAGACAGTATTCGGATAAAGTTGTCAGTCTACACATTACCATGTGTTATCTTTTGCGTTCGTTCGCTTGTTCACTGTTCTGGTCGGTGATATGAAGTTAAAGCTTATTGTTTCCTTGCAGACAGGACTCCAGTTGCACTGACTCCAGATTACGGTGAAAGGAGAGTCCGCTATGCAGATGGCGTAGTCGACAAATCGAATGGTCTATACATCACTGTACGAGAAGGTGGATACCCACAACCACATTTTGGCTGTTATAGAGTGCAGTGTTGAGAAGTTGTCATGAGGACTTTGCACTCAAGAACTCCAGTTTTGATACTGTGCTTGTTTTTGTAATACTTCAGAATATGTGACGGATCTTTAAGGAGCTTTATCTCCACTTAAGCTGTAAAAACATGAAGAGAAGATCGTGAGAACCATGACTGCACAAGTGATAGATTTGCCCTTGTGAGCCTTTTACACTACTTGTTAGCTTCTCTGCATAAGATATTGGTTGCAATTGTTGTACTCCCACCTCGCTTCAAGTTTGGAGGAAAGGAAGAATTTGCTCTTGGAATTTATACTCGTCACAAGAAAAGACTAATGTACTTGTTTGCTCGTCAATTGACCACAATTTCACCCCAATGATAGCATAGCATACACTGAACTCTACCTGAATCTACAGATGAAAGGATGCGTGGCAAAGAAGCTACCAATGAGATAGTTGTTGTACAGCTCAGTGGAGATTCCAGTGCAGGTAAAGCCTTTTCACAGTTTTCAACTTAATTCTGTTCGTAAGTCCTACAGCAGGTTTGCCGGGTTCGGCTTTAGATGTCTTGCACGTTGTAACAATATTACCTTTAGATGTCTTGCACGTTGTAACAATATTACCGAGGCAGTCGACGTAGCCTGAGATACCTGTGTCATACAATTGAACGAGCCGAAGTCATCTGATATATGTGTCTCTCGGCTACCGCAGAACCCAAAGTCTTGCTTTCGGGTAACGATTTTTACGCCTACCCGCGGCTCAGTCCCGATGGTAAGAAGATTTCTTGGATGGAGTGGAGTCACCCTAATATGCCATGGGATAGAGCCTCAATCTGGGTTGGTGATATCTCGAGTCACGGGTAAGCTTACGGAAGCTCAAACCACTAAGATTTCTTGAACGTTTTTTGCTTCTTACAACTGACAACGTCGCCGATGCTTGTTATGGTTCTTTCCTGCTGTTATGTCTTTACATTGTGTTAACATCAGAGGACGTACATTCCGATGGTTTATGTGTTAAAATTTTTCCTCTCATCGGACGTCAATCGAACTTATGATATTGTCACTGAAGTCAATTAAATTGACACTTGTGATCCAAGCGATGTAGTGAATCGAACGTGTGTTGCTGGTGGTGATGAAGAGATTATGGAGGCACCGTCAGAACCAAGATGGTCTCCAGAAGGTAATTTAAACTTGAAGTTTCCAACATTACTGAAGTAGAGACAGGTTGTGGACAAAAGTGTCGAAGACAGCAACCACGAAGACATTGTCGTGATGCCCAAAAGGTTTCGGTGTTCTGATCTGTCAGTCACGAGGCGCAACCGAACTGTGTAGGAAGATATCTCATCTGGGTCACCTATTCACTATTTATTTTTCTGAAGGTTGGAACCTGCTACTTGCTGCTTGGAGATACAGCCACTGTGTAGGTTCTTAACGCCTGCAATAAAATCGACCGCCATCTGTCCTTGCCTCAATGTTCACATGAGCTTTCCTGTTTCATTTTGTACAGGAGATCTTTATTTCGTTTCCGACAGAGGCAGTGGATGGTGGAACTTGTATCGCTGGGTAATCCATCTGAGCTGCTCACATACTTTGACAGATAAAGTTTAGCTTTTAGAAAGCCGCATTCAGGGGCAGATGGAAAGTGTTCGAGGGATTCCTATCACGTTGCTTATTTGCTCGTCTTTACAGGAGAGTGGTAAGTGTTGAAGCCTTGAGTGTAAATTAAGGACCGTGCGGAAGGTATAGCTTTCCTCAAATCCTTGCTCAAAGCTATTTTCCTTTGACATGGCAGGGTATAGACACGAAGGTTGAAGCACTTTATCCTCTAGAAGCAGAGTTCACCAGGCCTCTCTGGAACTTTGGCAACACAAACTTTGCATTTGTTCGGTCCAAAGAAGCAAGTCTTCAGAACAAAATTGTCTGTACTTACAGGTGTGTGGAACTCTTTATATGCGCCCTTTGTTGTTTAATTATAGAAATATATTTCAGGCAAAGAACCTGGTGTACATTTAGCAGAAGATTGTCTTACGTCATTTAGCACAAGTACCTCATATGTTGAAAATGACAACGTAGAGATTTCAAAGGTTTAGTAATGGGATTTTTTTTTAAGGTTTTTTCACGAAATCCGTTTCTTTGTTGCTTGGACAGGCAGCGAGGTATGTCTCATTTGGGATTATTTGATGTGTCCACTCGAACCTTCTCAAAGATAGAAACCCCATTCTGTGACATCTTTGGCTTGGTAAGCATTTCAACCATACTTTCTCCCTTGGCAAACTTTCAACTGATGGAATTTATTAGAAGTTAGTAGAATTGGTTCTAGAGTTTAACCTGCTACAATCGCTTGCTTGTCTTCAAGCAGATGACCGAGGGCGAATATGTTTACATCACTGCAGGGTCGACTCTTTGCCCTCTGTCAGTGGCCAAGGTTTGCCTCTAGAAAACATCTATCACTTGATATGTAGCATTGAAAGGGTTTTTGAATGTGTCACGAACTATGCTGTCGTAGACCCAGCCTGCAACATGTACAGGTTCTTATGGATAACGGAGGTTGTTGTTTGTTCTCATAGTTTGTTCAGTCAGATTGCTCATTTTGTGATTGGAACTTCTTTAATGCACGCCTTCTGTGTTGCAGGTCAACCTGCTGGAAAACGAGAAAGGAGAATATGGGTATTCAGTACCTTGGACGTCTTTTGAGGTTGATATAGAAAACTACCGGTCGTACATCAGTGTGCCACAAGTTGTAGAGTTCCAAACAAACGTTGAAGGTGATACAGCCTTCGCAAACTTTTATCCTCCGACGAACCCCGACTACAAACCTCTTGCGGGAGAAAAGCCACCGTTGCTCGTTCGAAGTCATGGTATGTGCGCCGAGATGATTCCAAAGCATTCTCCCTTCTCATTGTGTATTTGGTTTCCGTATAAGCTCTCTCTTTATATTCTCTTCCATCAGTTCTGGTTTGGAGATCGTCATGTGACGTCGATAAGTAGGCCAGATTTCGATTTTACTTCATCGTACATCCGTAGGAAATGTTAAACGATACACCCACAACATGCCGTCTACTTGTCGAGGCCTTTAATTCTAGTAGGCATCTCTAACATCATAAGTATGCCGTCTGAGATACTGTCACTGGTGGTGAAATGCAACGTGAGCATCCTCACCACTTGACCTAAGTTTCGTTGAGTGATATCTCTCTCGTATTTCTGCATATGTTTTATCTTCTAACTCAGCTTGGGATGTTTATGTAACTCAGGGGGTCCAACGTCAGAAGCCAAGATTACTCTGAACTTTTCCATTCAATACTGGACAAGTCGAGGTTGGGCATTTGCTGACGTCAACTATTCTGGAAGTACTGGTGCGTCTTCTCTCGACCGATCGGGCCGGATCTGTTTCAAGCATTGCTTTCGTCTGATAATGGCCCGTCTTTGAACATGGGCAAGTTGGGCAGGTGTTTCTTTAGGTTCTTGTTCTTTTTCTCGTTTCATGGTCAGTGAACCCAACTGATTAAGGATTATACTAATTTGTAAGATGTATTCACAATTACTCGTGCTCTCCTGATTCATATTATGAGGATATTTCACAAGCTTTCACGATTTGCGGATGTCTTCATGAAAATCTTGGTGACGATTTTTCTACTATCTATGAGTTAACACTCTTGCGTGTTGATATTGCTAAAGGCTACGGTCGCGAGTACCGAGAGAGACTACGTGGACAATGGGGTATTAGAGACGTCGGAGATTGTTGCAGCTGCGCCGAGTTTCTGGTCATGATCTCACCATAGCAAGCCGCTCTTTAGTACTCTTTGTATATGTAGTAAGTTTCCCGTCTTAAGAAGATTCGGAGTGTAAAGACTGTTGCTCGAAGTCATAGTCGGTTGACTCTGTTCTGGAATGTTTAGGCCGAGAAAGGTATGGTTGATGGGAAGCGGCTCTGCATCGATGGACGTTCAGCTGGGGGCTACACCACTATTGCTTCCATGGTTTTTGCCAATACATTTGCTGCTGGATGTTCACTGTTCGGGGTACATTTGTAGCCTTATCCTCTTCATCTACCTCCGTTTCTGCTCACGCTGCTCATAATCACTTCTCAGTGCAAATTGTGATGAGGGAAATGTTATATACGGTTTAATCAATCTCTGATTTGGCTCTTAACTGTACTATGGTTTACTTCCCCTTCGTTTTCGATAAGTTAAGTGTTATTCGTTGTATCATGGTTTGTGTCCATCGAATGAACGGGTGGGCTGATGAGAGCTAGTCTTGAGAGTCGACTTGCTAAAAGCTCGTTTTTTTTCTCGCAGCTGAGTCAGTTGGCAGACTTCGGAGACGAAACTCATAAGTTTGAATCGCGCTACGTACAAGCACTTACAGGTAGGGTATCTTCGCTTTTTAAAGAAGTCAAGGAGAACATTTGTCGGTCATATGCCATATTCTCCAGACCATAACTGTTTAGTGCTAAACATTGTTAATTAACAATGTGGCCTTAACATCTTGGGTATATTGCAGAACATGGGGTCGATGTCCGGCTGTCCCAGTTTTGTCTTTGAAGTGTTTGATAGCTGAATCTGTCCCGTTAGACGTTTAGCCTCTGTCATATCTCATGATCCTGCATGTTCACACTCTAGTGTTATATTTCTCTTTAACGACGTTCATGTTACGGGCATTTGGCTGCCTGGCCGAGGAAAAGGGTCGGTGTACACCTCGCAGAATGCTCGGACAATGACTTCACAAGATTGCTTGGAATACAAAACTGAAGTTACACGGTGGATGACGTTTTTGCACTGATACAGGAGGAGATAAGGACAAGGACGCTTTGTACAATCGCTCACCTATCAACTTTGTCAAAAATTGGTCTTGCCCTATAATACTTTTTCAAGGCCTCGAAGACAAGGCAAGATTCTTACCGGCTTTGATACGCCTGTAGATTTTAATATCTCAGCGCAGCCTGTGTATGTCAAGTTTTTAATGTTTGTGTCATTCTTCCGTTGCTGGCAGGTGGTTCCGCCAAATCAGGCGCGAATTATCTATGAAGCCGTCAAGGCAAAGGGTCTTCCTGTTGCCCTCGTCGAGTACGAGGGAGAACAGCATGGTTTCTTAAAGGTTCCTTCTCAACTTTCAAGTCGTTTTAGCTTCCAGACTAGACATTCACACTGAGTTTGTCTATGCTTTCGATATAAATTCGCTCTCCAACCCGCCTCGCTGACAAATATTTACCTCTTTCCTCCGTTCTCTCCTCGCTACCTCTCCTGCTTGTTAGTTTTTGGTTGCAGGGAGTAGAATTCTGATTGGTTCGTGATTTCCTTATTGCTTTATGTACACTTTCCAGATGCCACTACCGTCCTCTGTGTCTTCCAAGTTGTTTGTTCTTCCCGCTCTCTTGAGCACTCAAGGCTTCACTGTGTGTTACACGACCAAACAAATCAAATCTCTTCCGCTCACATATCTTTATACATTTTGTACAGTCATAAATCTCGAAGGTCATATATGTCCATCAGTTTACATACCTTCAGCGCTCATCTTTTCCTGCATATGTTTTGACTTTTTTTCCCATCCACTGGTCCTTGTTCTCAGGCGGAGAACATCAAACACCAACTGGAGCAGGAAATGACATTTTTCGCTCGTCTTATTGGAGGCTTCAAGATGGCCGAGGAAGTGACGCCTCTACGTATCGAAAACTATGACGATTAGGTCTATTCACAATAGTTCCTGGATGGGATTTTTGATAAAGATTTAGCACCGAATAACTCATCTTGGCAGTTACTGAGAATCTTAATAAATACAAATTTCGTAACAAGTGTAGAAAAATTGTAACATATTATAAACTTTTTTTTTATTCATGTGCTAGTATGATGTTTAGATGACATATGTGATATGTGTTCTTAATTTTAAAATACTACCAGTGTCCAAATATTATAGCAGAAAGAACGGAAAAGCAATCAAGCCCTGCAATCTGGAAGGAATCGGGTTACATGCCAGTAAATTATGGTTTCTAAAGAACACGACTATTCGACAATAGATTGAATTCTTATGTATCCTGCAGTCTAAACACTGCAGCGAAACTGACATCCGGGAGTTCCTCCACTTTTTAATAATTATCCACATAGCTCATCAGACAGGACCGACCTCCATCGTCCTATAAGCTCGGCAAAGATGATAATAGCCAATTAAGCGTCTCTCTGAATCGTGACGAAATGCAGTAATAACGTACAGCAGCTCCCGAATCTCTGACTGAAAGATAGTTCTGAAACCCTTTTTCTATAGTCTGGTGAGACTTTACTAGTGGAATAAACTATTATAATCGTGGAAGATTCATCCTCAACATAGTCGATAAAAGTCCAGCAGCGACGGGAGAAATATGGAACCGATCAAGTTGACAATGTGCACTCGAGAGCTCATATGCTGCCACTGGTCTGGACCCAATCTTTGCGGCCATTTGATGAGCGAGCAATGTGTGTCGATTGTGTGTGTGATCGGGTTCTTGGGAAGGCACACTTGGTCCTGCGGCTTTTCACATTCTTCAATTTTTCAACGATTGGACGAAGTGGGCAAAAATGTGCCTCCCCTCTATCTGCCTCTTGTAAATTAACGCAGTTATCTAATACTTCTCTGCTTGTAATTGCGACACAACGACCATTGTCTGACTGCAGTCTTACCAATCCTGTTCACACTGCACATCAAAGGCTGCATCGCCTAACATGGAGATTCGGGGCACTCCAGGATTGCCTTCCTCAGATCTAGATTTGACTCTCAAAATGTGGCTCTGAAACAGTACCTGGTGAAACTAAAGTTCTCATCACCGTTTCACAAATTCATGTTGATTGGCTGTGTTCGTTCTGTAACGATGGCCCATGATGTCAGATGGTGTTTGTGTCGCAGTTTGTTTTTCGATCGAATGAGTCCTTGTTGATACTTCGCTCTGGCAGTTGGACTTTGAGGCGGCAGAACCATTCCATCTTGCTTAGCTAAGGGAGTACCAACAGCACTTGAGGACCTGGTACCATGATAAGAGTAGAAGGGTGACTAAAGTGCTGGTGCTACTGACTTAGCTAGACGGATGTGATACCTTGATCATAATAACGAACTTTGAGGAGCTCTCCAAATCTGCGGAAACGAATCAGTGTCAGCGTCGTCTTCGAGGTCTGATCAAGCCTGATCATTTTGGAGTTTTGCAAGGGTGCTATGACGACTACAGGTTTTTGCCGGCAGCTGGTCGGCCAAATCCTGCAAAGTTCAAGGAATTCGACAGGAACTACTCGTCTGTCAACGATGGAGGAGCGGGCTTCGGCCATTTCCAGCCCATGAAAGTTTCTGCCTCGACCTCCGATAAATTAGTGAAGCTTCCATGGTAAGTTCGTGAAGGTAGTTTCACTTGGAAAGAAGAAGGTTGAGTTCTAAGGAGAGGTTTAGAACCAGAGCTAGAAGTTATACGAAGGGCATCAACAATCTAGCTGCCAGTTACCCTGGTCATATATACACCCGGTTATGTATGTTGTTGAGGATTAATTCAGTCAGTCAGGCCATAGCAATCAAAGTAAAGTGGATTGTCTTTAATTTTTAAGACATATTAGCAATTTCATTCAGGGTTACATTGGTGGTCGACGGGTCACAAACTATAGTGGTTCAAGGTTTGTGTGATGAGATATAACGTTTAACCAGACCCTATAAATTGCTAGTCGGTCAAGTAAGAAATAAATAAATAAAATCTTGCAAGAGAAGCTACGTATATATCACATCTAGGAGATAAGTGTGGTGATAGCATTATACTCATATAGTATATTGAATAGAATTAAAGTTTAGAATGGTATATTGAGAATTCTGGCCTCTTGAATTTAACCTCAAAATGCAGTTGAAAGTTGAATTGAGCGGAAGGATGTTTTCCTCACGAGAGAAGAGCCAGAAATTCAAGGCAGCCAAGTCGAAACCCTAAAAAGTCATGTGGTTAATACACAACAAATTTGCATAAGCAGTCTCTTAACCAATGATTTGATTGGAATTCACGATCCCTACCCAAAGATCGATGCAGACTTCTGTGCTGTGCACAAAGTTACATTGATATTCAAGAGCCGTTTAAAATGTTTAAACATGTATTATCTGTCAATATGGAGAGAGAAGAGAAAGATTTCCTCCGGTCTGAACTCTGTATCATTTATGCAAAGGAAACTGTTATGGGCCTCAAGTTCGTTTCAGAAACGAGATTAGAGGTCTAGAAATTGTGGAATTCGTTTGCTAACATCTCCGACGATTATGAAATGAACATTCCGTAACCTTTACTCGTAACTCAGGCAGCGCCTATGACCACGGAGAGTTGCAATGATTCTTACTACACTATTTCGCTGCTTGACAGTCCACTTTGGAACACTTTCGCATCTTGAAATGAGATTTAGTTTAAGGGAAGTACCCAAAGCATCAAGGTGGTTATATAATAGTGCAATTCATAAAGAAAATAATGCTTTTCATGGAAACAAAGATCTGATTTATCCACTGAATATCCAATTTTTTTTTAAAAATTGTGATTGAAGAATTCAACTGAACAATTGTGGGGCAGTTTTCATGCACACGTTTTGAAGTGGGAATCATGTATAAGCAAAGGCGATCAGTTCCGCCAGATGATGACAGACCAAAACATGCAACTGTTAAGGAAGAATGGAAACGAACGTTAATCGGAAATTCAGAGAAAGTTTACTCTCCTCGACAAATCGAACTTGGCTGGCAGTGAAGATTCAGTGCGGACCACTTGGCAGCCTGAGCGATAGAAGTAAGTATTCATTGGGAAAAGTAGCTCAGCATTGGCATCGGCAGCTTTGGTGACGCCACTTTTGACACTGTCAGCATCTAAACTGCCAGCGCTGTAAATCCGGATTTTTCCATGGCCTTATTTGTTCTAGGATGGACCACACACCGTTGTTAAGGAGTCCATGTTCTGCTTAAAAATCTCGATGGAGTTGGAGAAATTTTTCTCTACCTACATCGTTGCGTTTGGTAGGTCTTGGTGCCCCTAGAATGCGCAGTTCACTAGAGCAGTAGATGTTTTAAAGTGTGACTTGTAAAAGACATGAACCTGTGCAGAAATTCAGAGCAAGGAACTCCGTACAAGGTCCAATATAATGTCGATGCTCTGAATTTGAACTCTGAGTTTACAAATCCAGGTTAGAGTAGGGTTCATGTCAGAGATCCGGAACACATGTACTGTGAGATATAAGGAGAAAGAATATTGTCATGCCTCACCTGAGGTCCCTCCCTACTAAGGTGCGGTGTTTGCCTTCTACTTTGCCAGGCACAAAGATCGTAAAGGTACCGAGCTTTCTAAAGTCATTTGTCAGACCTCGAATAAGATTGACATGTGAGATGTCCGGAGAGACAAGTAAAGTACTACTGTACAGCACAAACCCTCTATCTGTACTCACCTCGCTGTCGACAAGTTGAAGACAAAGGCGGTGTAATAGTCGAAGGTGTAACACTACACTGACGTTTGGTGCTATCAAACAGTTGGCAACAATGTCAATCTCCTCTGACTTCTTCATCGGGAACCCGAAACAGAAGTAATCAGATTCACAAATATCAATCATAATTCTTGGTGTTTTTCTCCATGGGGGACAACTTATGAGGACCAACTTATAAGCACTTCTCTTTACTGTACCTGGCTCAAACCGACCCTTTAGAGACGCAAGACTCTAATCTGATTGTTATGCACTGAAATAATTAACATAAAAATGGTTGTGCCAAATTCATACGAAAGGCATTTTGTTGGCTTGCTGTGCTGGTGACTTCTGTTCACGTTGTGGGTGTGTGGGCATAGCAGAGGCCCATAGGCATGTGAATGAAGGTCATTCCAGCACATGCCTGCTGCAAGCGCATCTTGATGCTCGGATGAATTTGCAAGCTCCCTGAGATAAGGTGCAACTTGGCGGAACTGATGTGGCCCCCCAACGGATCGACAGTAATGAATGAAGCTCTGACCACTGACATGCTCGAGGGTCAAGAGCACACACCATCGTCGTGCTGCTGCTGCTACTCCTTCGTTCGTTAACAGCATGCACGAAGATGAGCACCGAGTGCATGCCCTGCGTTGATTTGCTCCGGGTCGAGCCACTAGAAATCCAGAAAACGATTTGTGGTCCTGAGCAGATGGACAGCAGCCCCCCGATGGAAATAAAGATCGATCCACCAGCAGCAGGCGCTTAGGACGGTCCCGATTGTGGCCTCCATAGGAGAGGAGCCACTGACGGAGCCGTCATGCTTTGTGGACTAGATCAGACAGCTCGAAGAGTTCGGTGATGAAATTTAAGTGAGCCCCGACGCCATTGGTCAATCAGGCATCTATTATTGCATACCAGTTACATGGACCCGCGTCAACGAAACGATCAGCCAATTTGGGCGATGGCAGGGCCGAGCAATCTCCATCCCGAAGCCCAAAAGGCCCACCCGATGCTTAAATTAGAAGCATCGGGTTTCCTTGTTCGACAAAAGTTGAAATGCGTAGTTACAGAGGTCAACTACCAGAAGGATCGGCATCGCAATGATCTGACATCCGTGGACGAGCCCCCGCAGAAAGATCGATCTGCACGAACATCTCAATTGTCTCCGTGAGCAAAGTTTGTGCATTAATTTTCCTTCTCCCACCGACGACGACGGGGCGCGACGAGGCTGCGATCGCTGTCCAATTACCGTCGCATCTATTTCCAACACTCCCCCGGAGACGAGCAATGCGTTGCACGAGTGGCCCGTTTGTCCGATTCGCTGTCGAGCTTCATTCACTCGCGTCGACGTCATCCGCATCACGATGCTCCGGTCAATTCGGACTGGTCCAACTCCGCGTTTCATTCCTCACAGAACCTCCGAGCGCTTATCGTCACCATCATCATCACCACCATCATCCGTGTCCAAGCAGTCGACCACACGTCGCAGGCAGGCAGGCAGGCAGGCAGTCAGTCAGTCAGTCAGTCAGATTGCAAGCACATGGCACGACATTCGATCGTAATGGCATCCGTCGAGTTCTTTCTCGATGGAAGAAATCCCATCCCCGTTCCATTTCTTACACGACAGATTCGTTTGCTCGACAAATTGCTTCGCCGCGTCACATTCGACGAAATTTCTTTTCATGACATTCAGCTCAGAGACGCACGAACGAACGAACTCGTCGCCAAATTTATTCGTCTTCCAGCTTACACGAAAATCATCGTCACTTCGACAATGATCGTTCGCACAGTGCAAGATGGATGGCGTCGTCGGACGTCACTTCAGAATCTGAAACTCGCAGTTCCGAGGTGGTCGCGGGACGAGACTTTGGCCGATCCGATCCGCTCGGCTCGCGAAATTTGAGCAGCGACGGTGCGCGGGTGTTTGTTGATTGCCGTGTAGCATCCGATTCGAGGACGAGATGTAGATTCACTCGTGCATCTTGCGACGGGCGCACAGCCCACGGCTGAAATCGCTCGTGGCATGAAGGCGATCTGTACAGACTCTCTTGCGACCCGAATCGGGCAAGACTTTGCGCAGATTCTCGCGCAACAATGAGCCCCGAGACTCTTCACGACTTGCAAGCGCTGTTTCTCTCCGCCCGCTAAGGATCACGAGCGATCTAATTCCTGCAGTATTCTCGCACGAGCTCCCATTTCTGAAACATCTGTTCAACTATGCGAGGGAGGTGCGCTAACCTTGTACGACGCATGACTTGGATCGTAGCCCGATCCAGAGGGCATGGACATTACATCCCACATCCGATGCAATCCACATCCAATTGCACGGAAACCGCTCGACAAAACCTAACGATTCGAACCAGAAGAAGAGTTCTCGGTGAACTCAGTTCCGAAGCATAAAGTGGGAATCGATGCGACCGACACACGAGGAGCAGTCAACGGAGCGCTCGTGACCGGTAATTATTTTCAAATTTCAAAGACTTTGCAAGCGAAAAGCTCGCAACAGCTGGTGCATGGATCGCAGCGGACGAACAGTCGGACTGACGGGCTGCCAGCAGGGCGCTGCGCTTTCACGATCAAATCCGCATTCCGGATTGGCCCCCAGAAGCTCATCGGCCGAGCGTCGGGTCGGCGCTTCTACGGAGCCCACTGTCGTTGAAGTCTCGGTACCGACATCGACCACTGACAGGACAGGGCAGGGCTGGGCAGGGCAGAGACGAAAGCACTCTCTTCCTTTTCCAATCGACATTAAAATACACATCCCACTCGACATAGAATTTCACAATTATGGCCTCCATGTCAAGTTCCTGTGCCTTTCACCTCTGCTTCATTCACCCTGAAGGGCAAAGTCTACGGCTTACCAGGACGGTGTCTGGGGAGCCTGCTCTTAACGATTCTGCAAACCTGACTTTGTCCATGATTTCTCACTAAATCTCCATTCTCCAAGTTCTCGAACCAACGCCAGAAGAGCTCAATTCCATCCCCATCCCGTCGAGTTCAGATTTTGGAAGAATCAGGCGAAGCCATCGAGAGGATTAGAATGCCTCGTGGCTCTCGTGCTTACTCCTCGGGTGTCCGTCTGGACGAGGGGTTTACAAGTGTGGAGGTTAAGGCTGCTCGAGATTTTTTCACTTTCTGTGCATGTGATCGTCTCGCCATCAGCAGATTGGTGCAATGGCAAATTGCGCAGGTTCCACAGTGTTCACTGTTTGGAAACGAGGGAACCGGTGGGAAGGACGGAATCTCTAACGAGCTTATCGACATATCTTGCACTTTGTCTGCATATTGAGGTTACGAGGATTTCTCCTGAAGTCCATAAACACTCGATTGATTCACCGCGTTCTTCTGTGTTACAAACGATGGTCCACTTTTCTTGAAGTACCCCCCGACAGGGTTTCGTGATTCCTCTGCCGAGAAACTTAAGCCATATTTCGATTATTTCTCGAGCTCTCTCTTGTAGCACGGATGGCTCACAACTTTGCTTTCCTCGGGACTTTAGCCCAATAATAATAACAACTTGGTCGTAGCGTATGTCGAATACGGATGCACCTGGTAGCGGATCAACACTACTTCTAGCAATTACTGCTACACTTTCTCGAGATAAGCCATTATTCGTTCCAAGCAAGGTCAGGGTTGCACGCGAGGAAATTAAGAAGGTTCGAGTTGTCTTTAATACGTCCTTTGACTTCGAGTGGGTTCATCGTTTCTCTACAATCTTAAACTATGAACTCGAATTCACGCAAAAGTGTACAAAAGATTCACATAATTGTTTGACAGTGTTCACTCTTTTTTCACCTTTTCGTCCAGCCTTGGCCAATGTTATATATACGATAGATATCACGTAAATTGGTGTGCCAAATTATGTTCTCGTTGTTTACAGGCTATTGAAGGTGGGTATTGATAGTTTACATAATTCACTTTGGGACAAGTCTTTGCTGTTTGGTTTTCATTCCCATCACTTATCTTATTCATCTCCTTGGCGCAAACTTGAACGATGAGAGGTGGTTGGCGGACCGAAGCCAGAGCCTAACATGGCTTTGCATTTTTACATTGGCATGGGTATGAAAACCACCACTTCGAGTCACTCTTCCCTTCATCGATTTACTCTCTCATCCCAGAGGGGGTGAACAATAGCGTTGTCTTGCCAAGTTTTTCGAAAGCTTCACGAACCTGAACAACAACGAGGGAGTCTCGAGATTCATGGCATGGCACAAGTGCCAGCAGAAATAGGAGCTCGAATGAGTCCCTGAATGAAAAGACGAAACCACTAAAAACAGGCTCTGCAGATGATGTTCCGAGCAAGCACCCGCGCACCAATGCCGACGAAGATGAAGAAGAAGGAGCCCGAGAAGCTCGTTCGTTCGAGGCGCCAGAGTCATCGTCGAAGCTTCAGATTTGACTCTCAGTGTCAGGAGAGGACGCCGGATGCTCTTTCCCCACTCCCCCCGCCCACTCTCCGAGCTCGCGGGAAGGTGGAAACTCCGCCGGAAGGGAAATTCAGGGGACCGGCAGAGTTCGCCGTAATCACGTCGCGAGTAAGAAGAAGCCCTGAGCCCGTGTTACTTATTTAAGACCGGCGTGCAGGGCGCGACTTTTATCCAGCGGACCATTGGCCATCGGGAGGGTCCTTTAAATTTCACCCGCGCACGACTGACTGCCCGCGAGACGTATTCACCGCGGGGCTCGCTAACTGGGGAGGAGCAGCGGCAGCAGAGGCGCCATGATGACCCGCCGGTCCCAACAGCCTGACGAAAAGGCCGCCCTTCGAAAACTCCGGACCTCCGCCACGCCTCTTGCGGAGCCCCGAACCGAGCGGGACCCGGAAGAACTCTCAATCCAATAGCCACCCGACTTAGCGCACCCGGTGGACCCGACCCTCTTGGCCGGTGGACGCCTCGGCGAAAAGCGAGTTCTTCGGCGCCAGCTGGACACGTCCGGGCTGCCGCCGGTAGAAGTGCGAAAAATTCTGAGGGCGGAACGAGTGGCAGGCCACCGCGGGCCCCGGTGGAGAGCTCGACGTTGTGGCTGCAGCCGGTGCCGGTGGGAACGGGGGCCTGCTGAGGAGAATATTTGGCGAGTTTGGGCATCCGGTCGGCTTTTTGTCTGGTCCGCGAGCGAGCCGAGGGAGCGTCTGGGACCCGGGACCTGGGACGGAACGGGACGAGGCGAGGCGCGACGAGAGCAGAGCGCAGCGCGGTACGAGGAAGCGTGCGTGCGAACGAGCGAGCGAGCGGGCGGGCGGGCAAGTTTGATGCTGCTGCTGCTGCTGCTTCAGCTTCAGCGATTGCTGTCGTTGTCGACGGCACGAGGTCGACGAGCTGCTCCAGCTGCTGCTGCTGCTGCGGGAGCTGGATTTTCGAGGCCGTCTCGTGCAGCGAAGCGAAGCGATGCGATGCGATGCTGTGTTTCGTGGGATAGCGGAGCGAGTGCGTGGAGGCAGAGGCGGTGGTGTTGTTGGTGTTGTGGTTGTTGTTGCGAGGTAGTGCGCGGATTTGCGTAGGAGGAGACGGAGAAGGAGACGAAGCGGAAGGAGGAGGAGGAGGAGGAGGAGAAAGAACGAAAGAAATTGGGAGGGAGGGGGGGCAGGTTTGGGTATTGTAGGGGGGGTGGGGTGGGGGGACGGGAGATTGATGAGTAGGTTGGCGAGGACGCTGCAATTGGATTGGGAGGGAAGGCAGGGGTGGCACGGGCGATCGATGAAGGAGAAGGAGGAGGGTGTCATGTGGAAATGGAAGGGGAGCACGAACCCGGTGGTGAAGTCGATGTTCCAGGCGCAGCTCGGAGGAGCGGCATGCAGGACCGTGAAGCAGCTGCCGGTGGCTGTGTACGAGCGCTTGCCGCGGGCGTCGCAGACAATTGCCGCTCTGTGCGTGGAACTGGCTTCGGCTGTGGGCGGGATCGACTTGTATGACTGCGGGAGGGTGGTGGAAGTCCTCGCCCGCCAGCTTCGGGTGGTCGGGGGCATGCCGCCCGAGGTCAGCCGCGAGGCTTTTGTGGCATTCGGCGGAGATGCCCTGCTTCTCCAAGTTTTGTTCTGTCCTTTCGAGAAAACCCATCAGGCTTCGGTCGGAGGACTGGCGAGGGTCGGCACGCTGCAGAAGGATTGTTTGGATATTTTGCGGGAACTTTGCTACACGGTTCCTTTTTTCGCGGAGTCACTCGCTGCCAATCGTGAATATCTCGTCAAATGCTTCTCACAGATGGCGAATGAGGGGACGTTTTTATCTGGTAGGTTTACTGTACGCTACGGACTGACTGTCATTTTGTATCCCAGATCAACTTCCAGTAGATCTTTCCTGTCTGAAGGTCGAATTTCGAAGCTGCAAATGAATATATTTACGGAGAACCGCGAAGGCCATCTTGATTCAGGCTGCCTCCTTTACTGATTCTGTTTCTCCTGCTTCTTCCTTTGGACGAAGCTGAGCTCAGCCGGATCGTCTCTGTTAAGCTCCTCAATGACGCCTACGCCTGCAGTGGATGTATGGCAGTTGAGCAGTGGCCAGGATGATGAGCAAACTCTTGTTGTGTCGTTGCCTGTGCAGCAATTCTTCTCGCTGAGGAGATTCTGGCAGTGAGGGATGAAATTATGGACCTACGAGACGTTCCTAATTATATCGAACTAGTGCATCACTTCACACCCCGGCAACTGGTTTCTTTTTGCCGCATACTTGCAATGGTTGTCTTCGAGGCCGAGGTAATTATGACTTTGCACTCTTCTGCGCCTGTCACAAGTTTCGTATACTGCACAATCCTCTAGCCGATTGGCGATTCTCCCTTGGATCCCACAGAGGATTCCTCCTCTGTTACTGGAATCCGTCAGTGTCTCGTTCGAGCAGATTGTCTGTATCATAAACTCTGACCGAGTTTCGAATTCTTGTTCCCAGCCACTTAAGGTGGTGCCCGGAGATGAAGTCTTCACCAATACCGAAGCGATGACCACAATCGTGGACATGAACCATGAAGTTATTTTGGGAATTCCAGATGTGTTGTCTCGATTGGTGAAGCTGCTCTATCATTACAAGCTTCCTCACTCTTCTCAGGTATGTATGTATGCACAATTTTCTTAATTCCCGTTTTGAACTGTCAATGGTGGAAACTGGTATTGCAGCAATTAGAAAGTCTCAATTCTGGCTTTGCAGCGAAGAATTTCTTTTATTCTGGCTAGAGCTCTTTCTTTCGGAAAGTATGTTATGGGTCACATTCATTTTACCTAAAGAACGTTCACTCAGGTAGTCAGGATCTATATGCTTGTCAGGTAGCTGTCTTTTTGTTCGGAGATTTTTGGTGGGCTTGCTACTGTCGTAATCGGGTGTGCCCCTTCCCCCTACATCGTATCACCACAGGGGCTTCGATGACCTGCCTAATGTAGTATCCCTCGCTTGCTTGACAGGCTAGAAGTGCGAGCTCTGTTGCATTCGCCAGTACTTCTGTCGATTTGGCGGATCATGTCGATGATCCTGTGTTTGAAATGACCTTGAGGACTACTCGCCGTTTGCTGAGTACATTTGAAGACAATGAAGTCGGAGCAGTTATTCATGGATATCTAGCTGATGAGAGTGCTGATGTTGACATCATGACTGAGGACAGAACTTTTGATCTCACTGCTCTCACCGCCATGCCCGCTCCTGAAATATTCACAGCTCTTAGAGCAATACCTGCTCCTGAAATCTTCAATCTTCAGGTTCGAGTTTTTCGCTTTACTTTCTCAGAGACCTTCTAGGTTACCGATACTGTTGACTCGCACTTGTTCCTATGATCGGCTTCTTCATTTCCCAGCTGATACCACCTCTTTACAGTGGTACAGATGAAGTGTTGAGTTTTAATCTAGTGCTGAAATTTCTAGAGCTTCAACACTTGCCTACGCATGTGATGACTGTACGCGATTGACATATATCGGGTCGCAGTTTCTGAACTGTTCAAGTGCAGACTGAGGATGAGATAATTTCAGCTTGCCCATGGGGCTCTATTAAAATTGTCTCTTTTGAAACTCACGCCAAAGCATGCCTCTAATAGTCTTTCATTACTTTCTTTTGAATTTTGTGCTGGAAAGAAGTTTTACCTTGTTTTACGTTGCTCTGAAAGTCCTCTGGCTCTTTGCGTGTTTCAGAACCAAGTGGAGATTCTCTTTGTTCTGTGCGCCCTTTGCGGGAGCAAGAAAAGAGATCAGGTCGGGCTTCTGCTTTAATTACAAGTCCTCTTTTGAAGCTTTATCGTTTTCTTCACTTATTTGTATGCACTCTAGGTTACTCACCAACTCAAACTGCCTCATTCAGGTGCAAGATGCGCTTGCGCAACTTGGTTTAGTGGATGTTTTGGATCACATGTTCGATAAACTCGACTGGACGACATCCCATAGTTTGGCAAAGCCTGGTGGCATTCATGGACATGGCTGCGAGTGCAATCCTAAATCTGTAAGTTCCATAACTTCTTCAGCCGAAGCAGTCCTTGTTGAACTTCCGAAAGTACGTCCCGCTCGGCGATCTAGAGTTTGATGATTTCAAATTTATCTTATGTTGGCAGGCACTCAAAATTCAATATCTAAGCTTGATACACAATTTCTGTGATCGTGATAGCTGCAACAAAGCTAACAAACATCTATTACTGAAGTCCACATCTTCCGCTTTCAAGGTACTCACGAATCTCCATCACCTTCGTAGTCCTTTCCTGTGCACCGTCGAATGTTGTCCTTTTGCACTTCATAAGTCCTTGGAACAAGAACGCGTGTAGTTTTGACTTCCGTTACATGAACTTTTTTCTGTTTTGCAGGACAACACTTCTTCTAGCAATAAATTAGGCAGCTCAGATGGCTTAATGATAAAGGTCGTAAAAGTTCTCATACAAGAACCAGCGGACTCTGTTTACAGGTAGACCATATCGTTTCATGATTACATGTACTATGATCTATACCAACGTTTTTGTGGTCATTCTTGAGGAGTAGTTGATACGATAGGCTGCACGTTCAAACCTTGAATGATTTTATTTGCATATCAGCCCTCTTCCCTGTAAATGCGAGAGCATCTCCCCTAGTCCTCATGTAGTCTTAACGCAGTTGGGATTTGAGCTGTAACTAAGGTGTATCGTGATGACAGTGTTATTCGTACTTGTAGGTTTGTAAGCTTAGTAATAATGTTAAGAGAAATTGGTCCCGTCATCTTTCCTCCGGTGTGTGAACTGTTCGTATATCGGACCTCTCAAAAGCACTCTCGAACATTGAGTCAGCTCATTGGGACTGCACCTTCTGGAATAGGGTAGCAGTCAGCCGGAATGTGTTCACATTAGTATCCTCTGAAGATTAGGAATCTTATTAGTGTCATCTGGGTTTGCCGTTTATGATTTCAAAGCCGACGGTTTCGAACTTCATTCTTTGATCAGAGCAAGGAATGTCGTGCACTTCCGGATCCTTTATTACTTGGTTATATATTTCGCACTGCATAGTACTCTCTCTATGTTATCTTGTCAGTCGTTTAGATAGGTCCGTCGTTTGAAGCGTACCAGTGAAAAGTTTGAACAGTACATTTCAACCTTGAAATGCACTTTTCAAACTTAACACTGATTTTTTGAGTTACTCCTTCTGGCTCTCTTGCAGTATCCCAAACATCAGATGCCAGTCTCCACAGCTAAACTGATAATGAATTCAGTGGAGATGGAGGATTGCGGTGTCTTTTCCAATCTACGTTATCTCTCACCTAGTAGTATACTCTCGAGTTTCTAGGCCAATTGTGAGTATGGAATAAATGTCCGAAAGCTTACAGAGTTACTTGAATTTGATCAGGTTTTGGTTAGCCTCCTGTGTTGAAGCGTTTCTTAGAGGTGCAGATGTACAAGATCAGGTATGTCCACAAGCTTTGGCTTCATCAAGTAGTAAAGTTTCCAAGCAAATAAGCAGTAGGTGGTGACCATCATGTCGTTTGTTGTTGCTTGCGAGCTGGCATTTATAGCGGATAACCTGACTTGCAGGTGATTGTGGCTTCCACGGGCCTTATGGAACATCTGCTTACTGAAATCTTGAAAGGAGGATTCAGCTGTGCGTCATCGTTGCAGGTCTGTTAAAGACCTTGTCTTTTCAAGTTTCCATGTTTGTGAGGAACAGAAAGGAGTTTTTCCTCTGCATGCTTGTGACTTATTTTACCGAATTTCCTCATATTACTTACTTTCCTCATGAGTGTCGTGAACATAGTTCATCTTCTTCTCTACTTGACGTTCGTCGATGTGGTTGAAGCAGATAAATTTTGACCTCCTAGGGGAGCTTTTGAAGTTCAATCGCATCCTCTTTACGAGATTCACCAGTCTGCTCAGTGGAGACAAATTCGACAAGTTTGTTGAGGTGACCTTCACTTGCATCTGCACAATTTTTACAGTTATTGTATAAGAACAAACTTTGAATTGTCCTTGTCCATTACAATTTTGCTTACAATTGCTACAATTTTGCTCTAGCGTCAGTTGCTTGCATAGCAAATTGAAACCCGCTTCCAGCCAACAAATCTTGGTATCTGGACTTGAGATTTGGAGGCGTACGCTCAAATTTTTGAAATTTTCCTTGGTTTACTGAATCTACTCATATCTCGATATTGTGGTGATGTATAATTCTGCTGCAGAGCAAAAGAGAGAACGCAACAAATGTTCAAATTTCTGTCCTACGTTGTTATCATTCGGGAATTTGACACGCGGTTCACATTCTTGACCTTTGTGTGTAGGCCCTTGTCACTAATCTGGTTGATTCAAATGTCTTCATTCGGTCTGTTCTGCTGTCTTTGGAGACCTTCAAAAACTGCCGGTAAGTCATTCACCAAGTTCAGAGACTAAATTTAATCTCTCCTCAAGCCTTGTGGAATAATTGAAGAAGTTCGGGCCGAACCTAACTTTCAGCGATCGTGTGCTCACAATTAGGCCTAATGAGGAGTCATTTTCTATCGCCAACTTCATCGTGCACAACGAGTTTCAGTTGCTGCGGGATCTTATGTCTGCTGTTCCTCTGGGAGATGTTAATCAGGTATGTCTTGGCATTAACATGTTTTCGCTTGACCTTTGGGAGGTATGACCTGCGCTGTCGTTATTATCAGTATGAGTGATGCGTTGGCATATTTGTTACTTGGCAGGATAATATATGTGTACTCAACACGGCTCTCATTATGTTCATCTTGGCTGAACGCAACGGCCAATTTAATACGTACTTACAAGTCCTAAAACTTACGGAGGCCGGTGGAGCTGGTCACCTTTTACACAAATTTAGACAATTATTAAGTTTCTGGAAGCAATATTACCTGAGAAAGCCTGGTAGAGATTCGCTTACACTGCAATATAGTACAAACATTCCCTTTGAAGAATGGCTCAGAGTTGTCAACCTGCTTTGCAAAGAACCAGAGGAGCTGTCACCATCTATTGATCTCTCAGCACCTCATCATGATTCAACTTGCAGCTCGAGCATCCGTGCCTCCACCTCTGAGTCTTCTACGAGAAGATGTTAGTCTTTGTATAAACTGTACCATAATTCTCTCTCAACTTGTAATTAATTTTAGAGTCCTGTGTCTGAACTGGTTCGCTTTTGACATAGAGCCAGTTCTGGAGAGCGCATGTTGCAGTTTTGATTGGACGAGTCAGGTGGATCTGTAGGTCTCAACATTTAGGTGAAGAATGAGCTGAACTGAAGCTAGCACACGTCTGGGGCACCATTTAGTCCTCCCTGGAGTCATCTACATTTCATATCGTGGTAACGTTCGTTGCCGCTGTCTGGCAATCACTCAGGCCATTTCTGTATAGTAATGCTTGTATCTCATAAATCAAGGTATTTTATCGGCATACATTTCACACTTACTATTTCTTGGTGCCGTTCGATAAAGTTCATGGCTGAGCAGTTTCAAAATGACCTTGCGGATTCACCTCATTTTGTCGATGTTGATTTCAATTCGGTTGTGCTCTTTTGGCCAGACAGCAAGCCAGGACTCAGATGTTTTGCGCCGAAAAAATGTAATAGAATGGCAGAGAATTTGAACACTTGGTCTTTTTAAGACATAATGGGGGTCTTTAGAAGAGGTTTCGATGCTCACGTGTCATTGATCCTTTATTCTGGGGGATGACCTGTCTGTCTACAAGTTATCGAGGTATTACGAAAGAAGATGGATCGAGTCAAGGTGAGTAACATCCAATCTGGTGATGTCTCAAATGATCATTATTCTCAACAGAAATCTCATGAGTGTACGTGCACCGATAATGTGACTTGGACATTGTTGGAGACAGATGAAATATCTTCAAATGAGTCTAGTTGCGTTCTTTGGTTTTGCAAAAGTTAGTAAAAAACTAATGTTTCACTTTTGTTTTGGAATAACTACTTAAAGATTCTTGTGGTAGTCCAGGGTTATCGGATTTCCCAACTCCCGCTAATTTTTTTATGAGTTACCTCTGATGAAAACCCCTAATACCTGCTTCAGTCAAACCCTGTATGTTATCGGCCATAACATAAAAAGTGATAGCAAATTTCACCAACCGTACAGTTTCGCCCAATAAAGTGTTCACATATCAACGAAGAACTCAAATCGTACTAGTGTTTAATGTTGATGTTCTACACTTCCACCTAACTCCACATGTTTGAGCTATCGAAACGTGTACAGGCCTGCTAGGTCATTGGCTCTTTTCAAGACTTGAATTGTAGGAACCTTGATCACTTCGTCAACCATAGCTCATATTACAGCTGAAGAGCCGTTGGCAATTTAGGCCAATAAAGCCGGAAGTGGCTTGTTGATGCGCACGAAGACTAAAAGGAGAGGGGACGGGTGAGCACGTAGTGCCTCTACCTAAAGTCTCGGGGGCCATTGGGCCGTTAAATTAGACTTTTATGGGCTGATTGGCCGCGCCGCAGAGACGAGACAATGTCTTGACATGCAAGCTGTGTACGGGAGAATAGTACGATAAAGAGCTAGCCGCCCTCACCGCCAGGCTGGAATCGTAGATCCGATCGTATTACGAGCGCTCCAAACCTCATCACCCAATGTTGTAAATGTATCAATTGTTTTTTCTGTTATATTAGTAAAAAAATTAGTATTCAAATTTTCTTACTATATTACAACTGGTGATGGTATTATTTTTATAGGTAATTTTTTATTACATATAATCATTTCTATTATTTTATGATCTAAAATATATTGAAATATAGGTTATTTTAAATTAATTTCAATTAGTGATAATCATGATTAATGAAATTAACTATAGTTAGATTGATTAAGATGTGCACCTAATATTTCCTAATATTAAAATAAATAAATAATCATTCACTAGGTAGTCAAATTTTGAATAGTTTTTACTCAAAATTTGAAATAATTTTTCGCTGATTCTATGTAGAGTAGTAACCAAGAGTTGATTACACTTTGATGAAAGAATGTGATTGTTTCAATGAGTAATTAGAGAGATGTTGGAATTTTAAGCGAAAGAGATTTTTAACATTCTATTGTCATAAAAATTGTTTCAATTTTAAAAAAATCTGAATTTTTCATCACTTGATTTTTTGATTTTTCACATATAGGGTAAGGTAAAGATAGAGTCTCACGGGTTACCCAGTAATTATCGGATAACCCAACAAAAAAAATGTTAGGTTTAGGTTGCTCCTCGAGAGACTAGAGGAATTACCTGTCCTTGATTTCGCAGCAAGATTGCTTGAGGAGTATATCTCTCAAAATGCTTTCTTTGGAAACGAAAGCACAAGCAAAGAAGGATTGTTGAACTTATTGTGGGTTTGAAACCAGAAGAGCATGATGAGAAGGACGAGCACGAATGAATTGGATTGAACCAAAATACTTTATTCTCCATCCAAGTTGGATTTGGACGACAAGGAAGAGCTCCATCCAGCCTACTGTACACCGCAACTTGTTTGTTTGTGCCCAATAGCACATGCAGCACCAACATATTCTTCACTCAGTCCGTACACAGATGCCAAAATCTCCTTTCATTGTGGCTTTTTGGAATTCAAAGCTTAGTTTTCGTGTTCTGTTCCGCAATGATGCTATGGTAGATCTGCGGCTTTTGGAAGTATGTATTGAGTTAAGTCCTCAAGGAAACATAATTCCCTTTCGGCTCTGGATAGAAGCTCTCTTATCAACTATAGATCAGTTGCCTTTCCTTGACAGTTTCTAGGCTGCTGGCTATGTTTGCTTTTGCTCTTGCATACTCTTTCCATCTGCACACAGATATCAGTGAGGTATGCGTTCGATATATATAATTGACAATTTTACCAAAACAGCTAAAATATGAAGTTTACTAATATTTTTGTAAGCCCAAGAGACCACTAACTTCTCTCCTCATGCGCTTGTGAAGAATCGCAGACAAAGCAGTTGACAAGATGAAAAAATGATATTCTCTTTGAAGATGTAACCTTCTGAGACTACAGCAACTCCAACTCAATCTTGTGTATAGTGAGTGTCTAAGTTCTTGCAAGTTCAAAAACTCTAGCATTTCCTCCATAACCAACCTCCCTGCTACTCTCACATCCCCCATTAAGCTGCGACTACCACACTAGTAAAGGTAGATTTACCAAGTAACCCTAATAGGTTAACGGTAAGAGTAACTTTTAGGTCCGTACCAGGTAATCGCGTAATTACCCTGATGTAGAGGTAAAGGGTAAAGGTAGACCATAGTGCTACTTCTAAGGTAAAAGTTAGGGTAAAAGTAGAGGCCCATGCCTTATCCGGTTACCTTTTACCTTACTTTGCCGAGGCTTAGTAGTATGACGATCTTGTACCGTTTTTATAGGCTAGTTTTAGGGCATTGTATCAGATGCATGTGATACATGAACAATTGTGAGATATTTAGGACGGCTCCCTGGCCTTGTAGTAGTTAGTTTTTTTAGAATCATGTCTGAGGTGGAGAGTGCAGACGCCATAGCCACTCCGTCTAAAGGTTCGTTTCCGTGATTCATAGAGTCTAAAGTTTGAAAGTGCAATCTGGCGATCTTTGTGCTTGTAAATTCAATCTTATTCATTCCAAAAAAAATCTAGTTTGACATTGCATGGCTCCGTTTGGTTATTCTTGTTGAAGTAGTGAAGAAGGTTTCTTGATTCTGATTTCTTGATTGAAATTTTTACTCAAGTTGGTTTTCATTTCAATTCGAGGTAATGGTTACATGCGTGTAAGAAAAACATTTTCTTAGCACAGGGTGAAGAAGTCTAGGCTGATTCTTGCAATCGTGTGATGAGATTATTTACAACATTAAGCTGCAATTCAAAGCTTTGAAGAGCTCGCAAAGCCTGTTTTTCAAATACATAGGTTTTGCTTGTATTTGTGAAATTTTTGGTTCATCATACTTCAACGGAGAGTATTTCAAGTTTGCTGCCATTCTTGACGAGAGCCTTGCAGTTCTGGAGCATCTAGCATGTTCACGCTTTAGTATGTCCTTTGGTGTAGTATTTCTACTTCATCAAGAACTTCACCTTATATGCAGTTGAGGAGTGATCCACAATCATTTATTCTGATTTCATTGGATTCAAGATCTTTCCGTGAGCGATTGTAACTCGCTTCTCTAACCTCATCTCCTAGCAATCTTTTTGCTAGAAGCTTCGATTCAAGTGCAGGTTAATTTACTTGAATAGCAGATGTAACCATCTTTAGCTAGTTAGAACTAAATGTTCATATAGATACTTTAGCGTGCACTAGTCATAGCTGCCACGTCAATGATCCGCGCGCTTGATAGGTAGAAAGTATGTGTGTTAGTTGAAAGTACCACGTCAAGAATTCGTGTGCTTGTTAGGTAAAGATTGAGTGTGTTAGTTAGTGTCTTAATTAGGAGCACCATGTTACCAATCCATGTGCTTGTTTAGGATTATTCATCACGTCATCTATCCACGAGGAGTGGAATGGATGGCGGAGTAAAAGTTTATCTCCTTGTACTTATTGGTGAGAGCTACATTAGAGAGAGTAGAACCGTTGTTGGTATCTCTCATCTTCAAAGTTTATGTTTCCATCTTCGAGTGAACTAATCTCTAAACCCTAGTGTTACAACAGATCAAGGTGTTCAACAAGCTGAAAGAATGTGGACGACGCTTCAATATGTAGCCACTTTGTTGCCATCCACTTACTCTACACAACAGATTACACCCACAATGTTAATTTCCACCATGGATGTTAGTAGCTCGTTGGACGTGATGGAGAATTTCAATGCAAGACCAAGAACTATTCCTCTACGAGAATTCAAAGCCACCTTCTCAACGGTGATTGCTAAGCTTGACCTGAAGTATCATAACAACTACATCTTGGCCTTTGACTTCAAATAGTTGACAAGGTACGTGCACTATGAGGCATTAGATATATGTGCCCATCATGCTGCTCATCTTTTGGACATCAAGCAGATTTTCAATCCAGAGTATGCTGCAGCAATTGTCACGATCTCACAAAATGCTTTGCAAATTGCAATCCAAGTATACAATGCCGTAGAGAACAATTAGCATCCTATGCCACCACCGTGACTCTCACTTCAAAGCAATTAGTCACAATTGTGGCTTAGGTTTGTCGTTTTATTGAAGTGTCATATACTTACGATCCAGTGAACGAGTCTTTCAATATTCTTGAGCTAGAATTTCCATCAAGATTTCTGAAAAAAATTACAGTTGATTATCTTCACCTGGCAAAAGGAGTAAACTCTCATGATGCTCTAAAGACATTTTTTCAAGCTGAAAAAATATCCCCAAATGAGAAATTATTTATCACAACGGTGGTAGCTATTGTTGATAATAGCACAACAGCCATCAAGGTGAAGGTATACACCTCCAAGGTGGTGTTATTGAACACTAAAGCGCAACTAGTCATCCTTGGCATTTAGTTTGCCAAAGAGATATGACTTCACAACTCCAATTTGCAAATATCTTTGTTGCTAATTCGGACAGCGAGTGGTAGCGTGGAGGAAGTTCTAGGTGAGAGCTCTAAATTGCTCACTTTGTCTTTCAACTAGAGCACCTACTAGGAGCTTCAATTGTAGATGCAATGTTTGGTTACAAATGTCACCAGCTATGAGATTTTGAATGAACAAGAAACATTGTCTCGGCCTAGTTTCACCATCGACAATTGGCATGAGCATGCTTACTACCGGATTGACTGGAAGATAAATGATGCAAATTTAGGTTATATATTTATGGATTTACATGCAAACCATGCTCCATTGCATGCTCCACATGTGCATCATTGCTTATTGAAAGAAGTCAATACTCTTTCTTATAATATAGTCAATCACATGAATATATGGAAGAGTATGAGGAGAAGATTGATGGTGTCCAAGCAGCTGCAAGCTTGATGGGTGGTTGCTTGGAGGTTGTGCATGGACAAGAGATTTTGCATAGACTCAAGGTGACACACGTGCTCTTATATTACAGCCATGAACAGATTAAAAAACCTGAAAAGCGACAAGGAGCCAATTCAATCATTAATGATGAAGACGGTGGCCTCGACTCCACATTAGATTAGAGTTGGAAGGAGCAGACTACGCACCATTAAGTACCACTACAAAAATTGCACACCATACCGCTTGCCTAACTTTGATCATAACATCTTTACCTCCACGTGGATTCCTCCACTTGATCATCCATGTCAAGTATTTTAAAGTATAGATGATGCTTATCACATGGTGTTATGTGACAATTGCAATGCAAGTTACCATATGTTTTGCCTTCCATCAGATTTCATACGAGTTTCGTATTGTCTAAGTGTACTCCATAACTATCTTTTATTCTTCAAACCTTTCTTATGAGGTCCGAGGGGGTAGATAATGCTTTGATTTGCATTTACTGTACAAACTCATTCACTTCAGTTTGCTACTAGCTTTTACTTCTTTTGTTTAGACGACACATAACATTGGATACCGTGAACAAGTTTTTTTACTAGAGTTATGATATTCTTAAGACACTACTTATATTATGTTAGTATACTATATGTCACCAAAATGATATAATTATTCAGGTTTTAGCTCACAATAAACGTGAATCACAAGCCATAAGAATAAAGTATGTATTTTTACAATTCGATTTTTAAATTTATTCATAAATTGGAAAAACGATTGTTAACCAAAAGGAATTATACTTTTAACACGTTTGTTTACACCTGGCAATCCTCCGGTCGTTGTTGTCCCTCCGAAGGACCCGAGAAACTGGAAAGTGCATCGCGGGAGGGGCTTTGGTCCCCCCTGAGTTCGGCTCACAGAGCGGCTGCAGTGAGTGCAGAACGGACTCGAGAATCGAATTTTTGGAACTTCTACCGAATCACTGACAGAATGCCCTCCGATCATCGATGTGCTCACTTAGGGTTCCATGAATTCTCTCTTCGTTGCCCAGAATCTCCATCTTGTACTCTGGCGAGGATCCGAGCAGGGAAAGCGAGATAAGCTGCTTTTAATGGATGTGGATGTGAAGAATCTCCAAGCTGGCCTCACTGATGTGGAGCAGTTAGCTGAACAGCTTTTGCTGGCGCGGCAAGAGGTGCGTCTGAGCTCGATGATCGTGCTTTAGACGTGTTGGAAATTCTGGGTTGTGCATTTGGATGTTACAGTTTGGGATGGTTTTTCGGACGAATTTTGTTTGATCTTCAGAGCACCCTTGACTTCATGAACAGATCGTGGAGTGCGACAAGGCACGCAATGGACACAGAGAAGCGCTCACTGCCATGAGGAAGCAAGCTCGCACTTCTCGGAGCAGCGTGCCCGTGCTCGGAAGACCTCTCATTGTCGAAATTGAGGAGGCGGTTGCACCGGAGAAGTGTCCCACTTGTGGCGATCACGACGCAGCAGCACCGATGTATTTGATGAGCCGTTATTCGGACGTTTTCATTCGCCTCCCGTTCCATGACACGCACCTCCTTTTAGAAAAAGGTACGGATTTCATGAAACAAGTCCATGGATCGGCTCGACTAGAAGACATGTAGGGCTGAGCTTGGGTATCCTGAAGTTATGCAAACGTATGATTGTCGGACATCGTTCAAATTCAGATCAGTGAGCGCCGTGAAGCAGCTAGTTTCCACTTCCGAATTCAGTTTCAATGTCACGATTTTTTGGCTCAGGACAATGAGCAAACACCTGTCGAAGAATTGGAACTCAAAGCTGACAACAGAAAGTGCCAATTGACGTTTGAGCAGAACAAGAGCAGCTGGAGCACACCATGAAGCGCCTGCAAAGTACCGTGAAGGAAAAGGCAATGTCGCTGTCGGACAAAGGAGGTCTTTCAGACATAATTTCACCGAGTTTACTGAAGTCTTTTGTAACATTAAAGGATGAAAAGAGGTGAAGGTTTCGTAGGGTTCACAGACGAGAGCAGATCCGAGAACAGACAGCTGAAGCAGAGTTGCCCGGAGCAGAGATATCACAATGTGTCGTACATCTCTGGCTAGTTTTATTAACTCATATGGTATCAGTTGAGCTCCTCAAAGGGATTTAGGATGGGTTCCAATTACACCTAAATCACGTTATGAGTCCACGGAAACCTTAGACTGCGCCTCATATGTGAGCTAAGCAACCGCACAAATTGTCGAAGCGCCGGGAGCTCTCACACGGGGTTTTATCATCAAACGCGGGGTCTTCGTTCCTCGAGCGGTTCCAGCCGTGCCACCTCTTTCGAACTCAAAATTCCTCGAAGGGTTTTTTCACCTGGCTCTCTGACCGAACGTCGTGGCTCTGCGAACTGGTCCGTGTTGTATTCATACTACATTCTGTCTACATGAGGCCTGTTAAAGGAAAATGCCTCTAAAATCATTCATGTCAGCCGTTTGGTTCTGATGACTCTGTCTCAGTAAACATGCCAGTGCTGACACGTGCGAGGAACCTGAGATCAGAACGCAGGTATACTCTTCTATTGCCTATTTCCCAATGAGAGCGCTCGGAATCGATGTGCACGGCCGTTCTTCTCTTTTTTGTCATCCGTCGCGTGTTTTTCTACTGCCGGGGAAGTATCGTAAAGACCGTCGATGGAGCACCTCAACACGTGAAACATGAAAGTACTTTTAGTGGCAATACCTTGTCCAAAGTTTGAAAGTTGTGGCATCCTAAAGCATAGGCCACACAACCTCGATGCTTGAAGCGTGACCTACAGAAAGCAAGTCAGGTAAGTCAAGAGTAGATAATTCGTGGCATCGTTGCTGTTATTGACGACGTTTCAGACAGACCGACTGACAGACTGAGCAGTATGGGTCACGACGATATTTTGTTTGTAACTGGAATTTCCAAAATGTATGATTTACTGTTACTTGTACCAGGTCTCTGGGTAGATGGAATGCATGAAATAATGTTGATAGATCTTACCCTGCACGTATACATACATTTAGTTTCTCTCATCTACATGCCTGTATACTCGAGTCCTGAAACGGCAGGGCCATCTGTTTCAAGGCCGTAAAGTCGCCAAAATTGTGCAGGTGCTGATACTCCAATCTGCAATATGTCGGAGAGAAAGCCTGAGTAAACTTGGGATAGCCTCAGAAGGTAGTGAGTGATGTGGATTCTATCGGTGAATCTGAAAGTGGATCTCCCCGCTCAGAAGTCAGGAGGAGTTTCAAGTCTTACACTGAGACTTACCTGTAGAAGTTCCAGTGTCCGCGTCGTATCACCTCCAAGGTAGCCAGAACAAGATCTACTGTGTTGCGGTCAAGGTCCGAGGTTTCTTCCACGACCACAGCGAACAACCAGGCCATTCTTAGAACGATATTTGTTACCTGCAGCATGTCCAACACATTTCGTTTTGGTTTGTTTGACGTGGATGTTCGGCATTCTTTTGTTCCTCAGTCAATCTGGGCATTGACAGACTAGGTAACAAAGGAATCCCCGGACTATGTCTGAATTTAGGTGCGCATATGCATGCAAAAATAAGAGTGTGCTGAACCTCACCATCGAGATGTAGTACACACCCCTATGCTTCAAGAGGAGATGGTCTCGCAACCAGGGATTGGCTGACTTGGCCTGCAGAAGACCCCAATCGCGCACGGTGTCCCAGTACACACCAAACAGAGATGAAACTAACGAGCATGCAACGTAAACGATTAGCCAACCTCCAGTTTCACTTTGGACGTAAGCCACCCTAACTACAGCGGCGATCAGTGCCGATAGATACTTGCCACCATTGAGCACTTGCTGAACCTCACCGTCGTCCATCCATCTTCTTGCACACTGCATATGCAGCGAACTCTTTCGTCAGTAGCGTAATTGGCAGCACTGAAACTGGAAACTGTGCATGATTTTGTAATTCTACTCTGGAAAGAGAGAACATGTTTTACTCTTCTGCACGAACTGCGAGGGAGAAGCCTGTACCTGCATGAGCCTCCACCATGAAGGAAGCATAGCTACTACATATTGAAGGTTTCGAAATGTCGGACACTGGGAGGTACAAGCTCTCTTGTCTTGCAAATCAAAGTAGCCTTCGAAGTAATAGCATATTAAGAACTGAATGTTTCTCATTGCGGTCACCTGCACTAAAATTATGTCAGTTAAAAACACTGCAGTCACAAAGCCAGATCTGAATGAACGGAGGCAGATATTTGTTTTCAGAATTCATGATTTACCTGGCTACAGAGCTGATCTGCTAAGAAGATATCCGCCAAAACGACCTGCGTTCATCAACTCGAAACAGATGTCATCAGATTAATGTGCCTAATTGTGAATAGTTGAACTGCTTGGCTTGTTTCTTCAATCCTAGGCTACAGACGAGTAGAAGATGGCTTTGGAATCAATGAAGATATGCATTTGTTTGAAATCAATGAAGATATGCATTTGTTTCTAAAGTCATGCTTCCAGATAAGCATGCTTAATACAGCAATCTATGTTTAATGTACACCATAAGATGGTTGCTGAGACATTCCCTCCAGTACCTTATGAAACGGGGCGCTCATTATTTGTATCATACAACGAAGAAATACCACCCTTGTCGATCGGTAGCAAAAGTCAAGTGGAAGGAAAAGAATAACAAGAATGACCTGCAAATGTTCGTCCAAATAATTTCCATGAAAGAGCCAACGAGTTTTCCCACCTCACTGAAAGTTGATGAAATGAGAACGACATTATGCTGTGCGCAGCTATCTATCTCTACTTATGTCGTTATAGCTCCAATCACAGGATCATGTAGGAGAGGAAGGAGAGAGTGTCAGAGATCCATGAAAGCTATGAATGGGGAGACAAGTTACCAGGAACATGAGAAAAGGAACCAGGTCACTGTACGGTAGAGTTGGGTACAACTTCACCACGATCAGAGCCAACATCCACAAGGAGGTGAGTCCAGTGCTCAAAAGCAGCACCTGCTGGTACTGAAGCTCTGTTCCTGGCGCCCACTCAAAAATGAGAGCATAGTTGACGCGAGCTCCACGCCAAAGATATACATTCCAACCATACATGTACAAATGTAGGAGAACCAACCCCACAGTACTGTTCAGGTAGTCAGAAACATTGACTTGTAAACCATGTCTGAGAAATTGCAATATACTACAGTGGCATGCATATTAGCTGCAGTGTTTAGCTGGTCACCGTTTATGTAAGAAGTGGGAAGCAGTAGCGCAAGGTCTATATATGGAGTCTCGCACCTTTCTTCATTCTGAAACCGAGAACAAGTCCGAGAATACCTACCGCTCTTCCTACTAGCTTGCTTACCTGGATACTGAAATAAGGGCTCTCATATGCTCTCCATGTGTATTGACACCAGACTCCCATCTCAAGGGAATGATGCCCTTCAAAACGAGTATGCTAAGTAACGCCACTGAACATCCTGTAAATATGCCTGACATAACAAAGTCAGTCAAGTCAGCTGGATCCTGGAAGCTCAACGCAGACGAGATGGACTGATGGCATTCCTGCAGATGAATTCATGGAATGATGCTGCAACTCGGACACTGACCTAGGAAAAACGAGAGGAAGTTGCTCGAAGAGTCTTGCAAGGGTCTCAAATAAATCATAGCTTCACGATGATTTCTCTTCGCAAGGTGCAGCGTGAAAATGTTCTCGACCCTGTCCATTAACTTGACCACCTGCAAGTCTGTGTTAACAGCGATTCGACAAGGTATGAACTCTGCACAAGCATGGAGAAGAACTGGCCATTACCTACAATCTGCAGCTGGATCGACGTTGTAGGAAGTCAACCTCGTCATGTGGCCTCGCGTTCCCCTCGCTGACTATGCAGTGCAGGTGGAGAAGGAACTCTCTTACCTTCTCTGAACTCGCAAAGTACGAGGTTTCTACCGCTCTCAAATATGTTGCTGACACACTCCATCCTGTAACCTGCCACCCAACTACTCCACATGAACGATTGAATATAACTGTAAACGTTCACGTCATGAGGGCAATGCAACCTTCGCAAGCTCAGACTTAAGAGACACATTCAATGTCAATCCGAAATAAAACGTGTCGCAGGCAGGCTAGCACTTCGGTTTTAGCTCTCGGTAAAATGCATCTCAAACATCAAGGCTTCAGATCGAGAGTTGAGAACCTTGCCTTATCGAACTTTTTCAAAATCTTCGAGAAGGCCATGATGTTTATAGAACTGCATCCACTCCCCAATTGGATTCGATTCAGGAACAGCACAAGGAAGGGCGTTAAACTCGTCAATTCCTTGAGATGGGCCTACTTTTGCCGGATTTGCCGTTGGAGTCTCGATCTCACTTAAAACACTAGAAGCTACTGGTGATCTATGATACAAAAAGGTGCTGAATGAAATGAAATGAGGTGAATTGCAATTTGACCATGTCACGTTGTCCTTGCAATGGCAAAACGAAATTCCAAAACTTCACGCAGAACTCATCGCATCAGTCTCAGAATGGCACCTGTAGCTTTTCAGAAGACCTAGCCCACGGTAGAAGTCAGCAAACGCAGTGCGCAAGAGCTTTTCGGCGTGCTGCACTTGCTTTTTGCTGATTGCACCTTCCTGTCCGGGCGGTATGCTCCAAACATCGAGTATTGCTTCTGTACAACACACACAAAGTTGTCAGCAACGGGAGTATTGTCACTTCTAATCAAAGTGACATACCTTCCCAAGAAACAAACTTGAATATGACTGGAGTCCCTTTCATGAAATGAATGGTGTTACTTCTGGCAGCAGTAGGTTCCGTGTCTGCGTAACCTGATTTGTTCTCGTCTTTCGCATCGGATACGCAGACTCCAGTACCAGGACTCTTGCCGCCATCGCGGGCAAGAGCTTTTCGCAACTCAAGAAGTGTGGCCATCTGAAGCTGCAGAGTATGCGCTCGAAGAGTGTATTCTTCCTCTTTCAGCTTGTAGAACCTATTTACTCTGTTCAATTCTGCATCCAGTCTTCGGAAGAATTCCAAGGCAAGCTCCATCGGTATAAGTGACGAGTCTAACAGCTCGGTCTCGTAGAGTTCTGTGTCGCAGAGATCCTCCTCGCTACCAGGGCATCGGAGTCCACGAAAATGAACCTAGTATGCACAAGAATGCGTTCTCAGTTTCCATCCACGATCGTAGTTCACATTGACTTGAGAGGCATCAGCATATTGCGCCAGTCACATGATTATGTCAGAGGCCAAACGAATGGACAAAGGAATCGATTACCAACTTGAGTATATGTGTAGTTCTTAATTTGCAAACTCTTGAATTCTTTACGTGGCATAATGACGAGCCATTAGATTATGACATCTCACACATCTCATGAACGAACTGTAGTTGAGAAGACATTTGATTTATCGTAAGCAGTAATAATACCTTGCCCGCTGAAGGAAGTCAGTGACATCATTTGCCCCTTGCTCAATATCTAGCTCCTTAGACACACACACTGGCAAGCCTACGAAGTCATGGCTATGAATTGAAATGAACCGAGCACACAGAAGGTCGTTTGTGAGCGTGAGTCATCGACGAAGTACAGAATATGTTTGGCTAGAGACTGGGAATTTAGGAATGATATGCAGATATCTGAGGCGACGATGCATGCAATTGTGAGGACAACGTCGTACCGTAATGTTCTCCACTCTGTCCCACAGGAAGCGAGACTGATGGACGAGCCTGTCGGAGAATGCTACCAAAGGACTGCCGATATATTTCTGTACATCCACCTCGCCCACGGGCTTTCCGACGTCCACATGTTCTTTGATTCGCTTCACATCCCTCTTCAGCTGCTTATAGTCACAGTATCCTTCTTTCCATTCCGACACAATTTGTCCCGCGAGCTGTTTCTGGAATTTCACCATTTCCTGATGGGCGTCCCGTCCTCCTAGAGTCCAAGCCTGTGGGCAAAAATTTTCATGGTTTTAAGAAATTCGAGTACTGCCGTCACCGTATTATTCATGACGGACGTTCTCGTTGCTTCTTCGGCTCGCCTCGCATGCATATACATCATGTACTGCTGACTCTCTGAATATATTCAACAGCTCCAACTCAAGTGGCATACATGCTCTACGTTAGTGCCCGTCAAGATCATTCCAGCACAGCGCAGAATGAGCAAGTTATGCCGTCCTTCTGATCCTCACCTCGGGAGAACGAAGTGTCGAGTATAAGTTTTACGTGACCTGATGAAACCACAGATTCAGCCACTATCAGGAATGTTAGTGATCAGATATGGATGCGCTTATAGTTTCAGCAAAATCAGCTCTTGAACGATAGACATGTCCACGTTCAGGACTTTATGCATCCTCGTACCGAATTCTGGACTTCTTCTCCCTCCGAACAATGAAGGAGGGAAGGATGAAATCTTTACGACACTACTACTGACATGCTCATAAAGTCGTAGACTCTCGAATTTTAACATCCATCCCGCATGCATCCAGACCCACACGACATGAATGTACAACCAGAGGCTCATCACACAGATCCAGATTTGACAGTCGCCGGTCCAGTACTACGTTTACTACTGATAATACGGTAGTCCAAATGTCACTGAAGGAAGGAGCAGATGGATTCCAAAAACTAGAGACAGGCTGTGCATGGAACAATCTCGGAAATGAGTTCAGAGTCCGGATCGAGAGAATCTCAGCAGGCAGACCATTTTCTACAATGCACGGCCATGTGTAAGATCTAGTAAGGAGAAGTTAATGATAAATCTGATGTCGAACTTAGCGCTAGGTGTGACAGACGAAAAAACACCTTCAAGTTCGGAGACCATGTTATGTGATCAAGCAAGCAAGGGGCCAAGCTGGTGGTTGACTCTGAATCAGTTTATATTTGTCACTGGAAAACATCGTCGTGCAACTCTGGTTAACATGAGCTCGGTAGCTATGGAAACAAGTATACGTGCATCGTCAGATCCTATTCATACATGTCAATAACACAGGGCGTTCACAGAAGAATATATGGAAATCAGCGTCTCTCTTTCTCTCTGAGTCATAAGGACCAAGTTGTACATGAACTATAGGCACCGAGAAGCTACTGCAGGTTTCTGATGTGGGCGAAAGAGATTTGCATGACGCTGTCACCTGCTCGAGACGAAGGGATAGAGTTCTGAAAAGACGGTCGTTATTCACGAGCTGCTCATCGATCAAGAGATGCTGCGTACATGCAGGATTCTGATCCTGGCTCCGCTTCTACTCGGGCCAGCGCAATCACTTAAACAAGCAAAAGTTGGAAAACCGTCCACAACGAGCGCACGGCCTTATTACTATGAGTACCCGACGAGAATCTGGATCATTTGAGCATGTTCTCATGGTACGGGTATGGCTCCACCTGGAGGGTACTTATATAAAGTCCATACGTAATGCTCGCCCTCCTGCGTACAGGACTTGTGGACTCGACGATGGCAAAGAAGTTGCTGCCGGTGCAGGCCGCAGAGTAGAGTTTCCAATTGTCAGAATTACATGCCGTGAGCGATGGGGAAAAGTCAGGGCCAGGTTTGCTCCAGGATTATACGTCTCGTGTCTTGCATGAGCATTCATGAATCCATCTCAGCAAGTCCGGACCCGATGGAATGACAATGGTTCCGAAGCTCACCCGCCGATTGACAGCGTCAGAGTCGTAGACGGGAAACTGAAGATTCTGCCGGACCTCTATCCATCGATGCACGCCATGAAAGGACTCCCTGGAATCCTCTCAATTGCAGGTCGGCGACGCCAAGAGGCAGGCACCGCGAGTGCAGCCGTGCGAGCGAATTATGCAAATCGCACATTAATGGCATAATCGGCATAATCGGCAGCGAGCTCGTACGAGCCCGCGATCCAGCGGCCGGAAGGTCGGGCGCACAGACTCACCGGGAAAGCGTGTCGTCACGGCCGTCACGGCCCTTCCCGCCCCGCCCCGCCCCGCCCGCCGTACATGAGACGTCGTACCGCGGGCCGGGTCCCGTCCCCCAGTCCCCCACGTCGGGAACGGGCCCCTCGGGCGGAGCCGCGGACGGAGACTATAATGGCACACCGGGCAGTCTCATGGCCCATGGGCCTGCGGAGGCGGTTGGTTGGAATGCAAATCGCATGAGCCATCGATGGATGACATGCGTCCGCTGGTCCAGAGTTTACCCGTACCGTGCCTCTCAGTAGCATCCTTCGTGTCTACCGGGTCCTTGCTCACAGTAGGTGGTGGTAGCCTCCGGATCGACCGTCGAACCAACAGTCACCAAACCAGTCTAGAATGGAATTCTCCATGTAAGGTCGAATCCTTACACTCCATCCGCTGACTGACTGACGGACTGCCTTCGCTCCGTCCGTGGTCGTGGTTGTTGTTGGAACCGACGGACTAGCCTAGCGGCTCTAGCCGGCAGCCACCTTACGGAACCGTAGCGTAGTGGTCACCAACCGAGAACCGAAGACCGGCAGCCCAGAACGCTGCGCTGGATTGACCGGTCGCATGCAACGCATTTGGTGTGATCGAGAGTGCGCTCTGGATGTTGAGGATACACTCGAGCACCGTGACGACCTGCTGATCCCGGTGCCCCCGCCCCTCGTGTGACTGCCTCTCTGTGGACCCCACTCACACTCGTGGCAAAGAGGGCATTCCATTTACGACAAGTTCCACTAACGTATGCCTGTGCGAAGGCGACACGTGGAATGCGGATTTGACCGGTCAAACATACTTCCCGTCGAGCTTCAACGACCGGCTACCAATTAAGACGGTACCTCCGAGTCTGTATGACCCACTGTCCTGTGTGTTCTCTTCAGACCTCCATGTATTCAGCACTGGTTCTATGGATACTTATCCAGGACCGGCATCAAAGTGAAATTGTGCATGATCCAGTTGAAGGACCGAAAATGGAGCCCAAGAACTTAACAAGCACAAGTTTCTAATGAACTAGAAATCGACCTCAGTGGCAATTTTAGTCACTCACGTTTTACTTTCTCAAACTTTCACCTCCTGAAATTTACGCAACATTGATAACCTTGGAGATCTAGAAACCATGGCCATCAACCATACTTCGTATCATTCTCTCGTTACTTCTAATTATGTGGAAGAGATCCGGATTTAGGTGTAATTATTTGTAGTAACCTGAACTCTTGGACTTGCATTATCATGATTTTTGAGGTTTATCGTGCTTTCATGAGAATTCCTTTGAATACAAGTGTTGATTCATGTCTTTTGCGTAAAAATTATGAAGAATCTTGCTGTAGCTTATGCAAGCCGTTCCAACTATGAGGGAGAGAGTTTGGCACCTGTTTGGATGGTGTCATTTGTCAGATGTCATTTACTTCATAACTCTTTTACTTTTATCATTGATCGTCACCCATTAACATGATTGATGGGAGCTTGCCATTTGGGCTCTGATTTTATTAGAGAGTATGATTTGACAATGGTGCACAGACCGGGAATAATAAACTGTGATGTTGATGGATTAAGTCAAAAGTCATGTACAAGTCAAGTTAACAAAACCGGATGACATCCAGTCAATGTTAATATGAACAATAATATGAACATGAATGTTAATGTGAACAACCAGCAATTGACGCCTCTCGGTGTCACCTCAGTAACTGAGTCATTGCCCCAAGCGCAAAGATGTCGGATTGACATGCATTTATTTTCTTGAGGTTGTTGGTGCTGGAGAGCTACCTGACGTATGTCTCAGATCAAAAAGTGAATAGGTCACTTTTGGACGCTGAAATGAGGACGGTTGATGGTAAGCCTAGACATCCATGATGACTTGATGATGTTGGAGTATCTTTGTACTTGTGTTATGATGGGATTTTGAGTTACAAGGAGCAAAATTGAGTTTTACAAAAAGACATTTTATGTGGAATGGTAGACACATTTTAAGAGTGTTGAATGATGGTATCATTTGTGGTTGTATCTCTTTTATTTCAAAAAACTAAGTTGTTGATACATATTTACAAGGAGTTAAGGTCTTTCTAGATTGAAGTAAACGTAAAGTTTGCTTGGAGTAACAGAAAGAATTGCAAATAGAGAGTATTGGAAAAAGAAGTGCAATAATTTGTGACATGATTTGTGGTATATGATTGTGATCATTATTCAATGTTTTTACGCTACGATTACAGCAATTACCAATCGTGGAACTTGGTCATTATTGAAGCTTGGATTGTGTATGCACTTTTAAGAAGAAACTCAAATTCACATAAACACTTTCATTGACTATGATACTTTAATGATATGTGTTGCTTATGATAAAGTGGTTTTCCAAGTGGATTGAATCAAAGATGTTGTTTGAAGATTCAAGTAAAGTTGCAGCGTATGCATTGTTAGCATAAACGCTGAATCATTTTGATGCACCAGCAGATTTTTTGACAAATCGTGGGATTGAATTTTTTGATAAATTTCAATCGTTGTATGATCAGAAGTAGAAAGTATCATCATACAACATCGAATGATCTTTAATAGGTTAATTATCTAGCAGAGATAATGGTCCAACAATAAAGAGAGTACTCATAGAAATCATCTTGGATACCTGAAGAATCCTATACCATGGTTGGCCATGAGTTATCAGGTTAGCCGGCAAACATTTTTGACATCCCTTTCACTCTTTTTTTGTATATGATAGACATTTAGACTTATATCCTGCTATTAGTCAATAATCAAGTGAAGTTTGGACTTAGATAATCCTGAGTTTTGTAGTACAGTGTGTTTTCATCAAGCAAAGCTCTTTTGTTCAGTACATTATTTGAAATTAAATGATTTTCCAGCCTATAAATACCTTGTATATTCTAGCATTTGACAAGGAGTAGTTTGCAGACTTTCAAATTGAAGATTTTACGTTGCTGATTGCAAATATTTGAAATAAGTACTTGCAGTATTTACCACATTGTAGTTTACTGCTTGTTTAACAAAACTAGATATTATTTTCTCAGCTCTTCATATTGAAAACTTGTTATGGTGTGATTTTTAAATGTCAGGTCCGTAAGTCTCTAAGTATTTGTAAGTCATCTCATCTTTTAAAGTCATCTCATTGATCCAAGCTTTTGTTGATGATGCGATCAAGTTTGAGATGTACTTCATTATAGATCATCTCATCTTGTAAACACTTTTGGTAGCTCTGATCCAAGCTTGGTGGTGATGCTATCAAGCTTGAGATGAATTTTGTGTGAACTAGGGTTTGGTATGTTGATTTGTGATTCTTGTTTAAGAGTATTACACTTGTCATAATTGACATCTTCTCTCATTATAATAACTATTGGGCGGTGAAAATTATCGAAAACAAGTTGGTTTGACTTTTTCATAATATGATTCGCAACTATGTTATTCACAATGAAAAATATTAAAATCTTGTGTTTTAATATTAGCTTATATATTAGATGCATATTATTTTATGAGTAAGTAGATAGATATCAAACCTGATGTGTATCTAATTGCTAGTTAAAACAACGTTTGTGATATAGTTGTGCTTGTGTATTGTATTGTTTGATGTGACATCTATGTACGACGTGATGTGTAATATATTTATTTATCTATTTATTTATTTTTAGATAAATTTATTTATTTATCTAACAAAAATCATAGCTTTTGTAATTGTTCTCTTAATGAATGGATAGTCAAGTGTATGTTAGTGATAGTAGATTGTGTAATTAAAGTCATTTTATTGAGCTTGTGGGTCTATTTGATATTGTGATACAATATAAATATAAATATAAATATATATATTATATTATTCAAAATAGACATAAATAATAAATTTATATTATAAAAAAACATCAGAAAATAAGAGTGTCATTGACATAATAATTGTATCATGAACTTGAATTCTTGAACATTTTGAGATTCAAAGAAAATGTGATTTGATTTAAATTTCCTGTATGCTATACTCTAGAGATAAATTAATGTGTCATTGGATAAAACTGAAAATAAAACATATGATTATGTTGTATTTTTATTAAATTATAAAATATATTTATATATTTATATATCACATGTGATAAATACATGCTAAGTTTATGTACATGTTATTAAACTTGCATACCAAAAACTATATACTTAAAATTCATACCTGACACATCATTGATGATTGTTTAATATAAATGATGTCATGTAGTTACGAGTCGGCTCACGAAGTTTAGACACTTACTATATTTAGCCGTGAAGTTAGGGTTCGGGTCACGAGGGGTATAGAGTCGGGGACGGCTCGAAGAACGTTAGTTCTTCGAGTCGAGCCTGGAAGCGTTGGGAGCGTAGAGTGACTTTCCCCTTTGCGTCGGACCTGGATTCTCCGAGTGTGGAGTGGGTTGGGCTTGACTCATGTTTGTGACGGTGACGGTTTGTTGCCAGTAGGGTAATTGACCGACGGGAATTCCAGTGGGGAATCTCCCGTCTATTTCACTCGAAGAACTCTGTTCATTGAAATCGTTACCGCCGACGGTTTCTGGTTGTACTTGTTTTTGTGTTTTTCGTGAAGCAATTGAACGACTGAGTAATAAGTTGATCAGACGGAACTTTCAGACAGTTTATTGATTATTCGGTTGGAGAGTTTGTTTAGTTGCATCGATTGTTCGTTTGACTGTCAGTGTCGTAAAAACGCGGGTTGGGATTTAGTAGGGATTTCAAATTCTCTTCGCCATCTCAAGCCGTGCATGGAAGGGTGAATCTGTACTGAGGATTTTTGTGCTCACGAGTGAATGCGTCTTCGGCCAAGAGACGAGTTTTAGGTGTTGCAGAACGGAGGGAATTCGGAGCTTGAGGTTTAGGGATTTGGTGACAGGGGAGACGGGCGCCGGAGACGCCAAGGGCGCTCCCGTTCTACGGAGAAGAAATCCGATTTTCGGAAATTTGGCGAGGATTTTGATCTCGTGTCACACTTCGATCTCTGGGCGAGCGAGAGCAGCTGGTGGGCTTGCCTGTGGCGTGGGGACACGGGCCGCAGCAGCGAGGTCGTGTTGGATTGTCGGCCTTCTCAATATTATGCGAAGCGTATTCCTTGAGTCATTGTAAGAATCAG